TGATAATTAACTTCAGGAATGGATTACGGTCATAAAATGTATCTAGTTGGTGCATCGAGGAAGTCATTTTTTGATTTCCTATACAGTTTTCTAAATAATATTGGGGAAATCACGGAAACATGTTTGCAAAAACAATTTCTGTTATTTCGTTGCACCTAATTGTAATAACTGATAAAAACTCAGAAGTTCAAAATATTCGTCGGCACATGATATTTTCACCGAATACTTATACAAGCTCTCTGTAGACGTGTTACAGTTTTCAAATTAAACTGTTGATTTTCAGCTACCTATTTATAGCAAATTGAGATTTTCGAGTTTTTTTTTTGTTTTTGTTTGTTTTTATGCGGACAAATAACTGTTTTAGCCTATAGTTGAATTAAATTAAATGCTCGGAAATGTAATACAAGGTCCGTGATGAGTTGTGTACAACCCTGCTGTAGACATGTTGTATATACTATAGCGATACGTACGTGTAATAGGTAATAAAGTAAGTGCGCTTTATACACGTTCATTATATAGGTACCGAACAACAATTGATTCCAAACAAAATCGAACGAGAAAAATTATTGTATCTGTTCCAAGAAAAAAAAAAAAAATGATTGTTATTTGTCCTTGACACTAAGATAGTATTGTAGCTCTTGTTATTACTTCGTATCATATTTGTCGTCGAATTTAGAATGTCCGCGACGATATTTATTGCCGTTCACCTACAACATAATATATTGGCTATATATAAATACAGGTACTTTTTACGTATAATCAGTCTTGGTCTGGTAAATATGGCAAAACGTTAAGGCTGTACAACGGAACAACACAGTTGTGTATCGGGGGGGAGTGGTACCGACAGCTTTTTTTCTCCGTAAATATCATTCCGAGGTCCCAAAACTCGCCCTATTTTTATTTAAACCCCAATATTTACGACGGACTATAGTGGCTTCCTCAACATCACTATAAATACGAACCTGGGACGACTCGAGCTAACGAACAAAAGACAATTTCTTATTTTAGATCGGATCGTGGTCCCGACTGCAAGCTCGCAGCAGTCCATTTTGTTTAGTCCTCGGAGGTCATGAAAGGCGAACCTTTAGAGAGGGGCTTGAGGAGCAGATATGTCCATCCGTGAATTTACTGTCTCAGTCGGCTGATTGGTTTTACTGTTTTACCATTACGGCCGGTCAAATCAACACTGGAATCAAATCAAAATATTATTAGCGTACAATATATTGCTACTGAAATAAAGACACCTATTGCATTATAAACGAAAAATAAAAATATTTTTCCGTCAAGTTAGTTAGCTGAACTTTACTCGCGTTTAAAAACTATGTACACCATCGCGTGTCAACGCTTATGATATCAATTAACACCATTTTCAATTATTTTAGATTCTGAATATAACGAAGAAACCAAGTACTTACCTAGATTTGTTTTACCAAGATGTGTTTTAATCTCTGAAAACACTTATTTGGTTAGTATAAATACTCCAAAATAATCATATCCTATTCATCGTACCTTAAGAGATGCAGATTTTTCACTCGGTGGTACTTTATTTGAAAAAAAATATCTAGTTTTCGAACAATATGTCTAAAAAAATTAAAGAAAATTAACAAACTGTATACATTACATGCATTGGTTTTATTTTTGATTACTGGGCTACCTTGGCTACAAATGCTACAAGGGAAAAACTCACGACTAATACTATATAATCAGGAGCAGATCTAGGACAGGATAACGGGGAGGGTGATTTAGAAAATTCCTAAAAAGCACACATTTATAATGAAAATAACGCTAAAAATATATTGGGAAGTGAACGAGGGAGGGGGCGATCGCCTCTGGACGGTCCAGGTGTCAGGTACAGCTTAGAAATTTTCAAATAAAAAAAAACATGTCACGGTTCATAGTCGCAGTTTTTCACGTGACAGTATCGCAGATTCAATTAAACTTTCCCCCTCCTCCGCGTTATACGCGTATATTATAGTGATTAAAGTACCTACCTTTGTGCAATTATATAGTATCATTAACTGTCCCGCCCGGCGTTGCCCGTGCTATTTTTTACCCGTATTCCTTTTTTTTTTTTTGTTTTGACCGTGTCAGTAATGAATAATAACAAATAAAAACAGATACGTGGAAAGTGGGTAGTCCATCTTTGGCGGACTAATAGTTCTCTGTTGTAACATTTCTTCACGAAAGGCAGAATTGTACTTCCGCATATTATCGGGAAAAACTTTAGAATGACCGTGAAGCTGTCCCGCCCAGCGTTGCCCGTGCCATTTTTTATTTTGTTTTTTTCAGCTAAATTATTTGGTGTGTGTGTATATATATATATATATGTAAGCGAAAATTCTAAAATCGCGATTAAAAAAAAAAATAGAGGGTGTTTTGAGGATTATATTTCTGAATTATTCTTATTTATATTAATTACCATAGATACGTTTTGACCTTGAACTATGGTGGGGGTAGGGTTAGGAGGGCGAAAAATACTTTACGATCTATTCTCATACCTACAGAATAAACAAAAAAAAAATTTCATTGAAATCGGTCATGCTGTTTCGGAGGAGTGCGACCAAAAACACGTGACACGAGCATTTTATATACGAGAAATAATACACTCTACTTCGTAAAAGAACGAAAAAAAAGAAAAAATCAACACCGAAATTCGAAGTGCATTATGCTGCAGCTTTGACGTTGAAAATTAAAACCAGAATTCAGTCGTCATCGGCAAGGAGCTAAGTGGATTGGATACGTATGTAACCTCAGTACCAATCTACCTAAACTAACCTATTATTATTATTTTTTTTTTTTAAACGGTATTATAATTCGTATACAACGGAAAACGGCGTCGGCCTCGATCGCGGTTGTAACCGCCGCGGTAGTGGGGGACGGCTATTATATTACGATATGCGAAGTGTTGGAAAACGATCAATTAGAATTTATGAATATTCAGAAAATAATATGTTCGAAAAATCGATCAGACGGTTAGGTAGGTCGCACGTGATAATAGAATGAACATAAAACTATCGAAGAAAAATAAAAAAATAAAAAAAAGCGAATGTAGAAAAACAGCGCAGAACCGTATAATACGGTTTTCGGAATCTTCGACGATTCCGAGACGTTTGAATCGTGTAAAGTTTTTCATCGGTACGTTAAAAAAACACGCTCGATGTTGACTTCCAAGCCCCCGGGGGCCCTTCGGGGCTTGGCGATTTTTTTTATTTCGTCGCCGATAGTTTGAAAATAATATCCGCCTAAGGGTGAATCGGGTGGATCGTATACAAATCGCAATGCTGTTGCGATTAAGCAGGTAGGTAGGTACATGCGAAGATTTCTCCGTCGGATTTAAGTACGTTTATCCGCTTTTCTGCATTAATTCCCGTGGGTTTTTTTTTTTTTTTTCCCCCATCATCTCAATTCTCTGTCGATCGTTTTCCCCGAAAAATCACACTATTGTCGTACTCGCCGAGTTCCGTTTCCGAAAATATCGACGCGCCGGCGTTTTAATTTTCCGTTTCTTCTTCGGCCGCCGTCGCCGCGGCAGCGCGCGGTGTGGTACACGGTACACGCACACAGCAACAGGGCCCGTGGCGGCGGCGGCGGCGGCGGCGGCCTCCGCACGTTGTTTATGGCGAAAGGCGCCGCGCGCGCGCGCATTTGTGCGTGTGTAGGTCGTTCTATAATATAGTGTTCTATAATGGCCGCCCGACTGGCGGCGGCGACGACGGCGGCGGCGGCGGCGGCGGCGGCGGCGACGACGACGTCAACGGCGGCGGCAAGATGATATTGTATATGCATACAGGGTGTTTCGCGAGTGCCGCAGTACCGTCCCCGATTACGGCTCTCCGGCGTCGAACCGCCAACAACAATAATATTGTTACGACGACGTTTTTCGAGTGTGATATTTTTTTTTATTTTTTATTTTTTTTTTTTTTTTTTAATCGTCTCCTCGTCGACGGTAGGAGCTGGCGCCCATCCGGTTCGCGCGCGCGAAATCCGCGGACGGCGCGAAAATATCGAGGAAAACGTTAGTTTTTCGATAATCCAAAACGCCGGGTAGGTCAATACACCTACCCACCGTCAACGTCAAATTTTCAACGGACACGATCCTTCGGTCGTTGGATACGCCGCCCGACAATGAGGATAATTTAAAATCCGGATTCGAATATTCGCGCAATAAATCCAGAGCTTTTCATCGTAACTCGGCCGAAATATATAATATATATATATATTGGCAGATTTCGAAATGAAATTACTAGGTTTAGTTTTATTTTTAGTTGTAGTATTTTCAACCCAATATCGGAGGGGGGGCATATAATCCCCAATCTCCCTACTCGCCGTACACATCGCTGTATACTGTTTAAAAGTTAAAAGACAAGTAGTTATTAAATCTGCTCCGAATGACTATTTTTTATGATTGTTTTTTTTTTTTTCCTACGACCTCGAATCGCGTGAAAAACGTATGTTTTTTTGTTTTTTTTTCCGATGGATTCACAACGCCGTTGTTGAACCGTACGAATTCTTCATCGCGCCGAGATATAAAATATTCAATCGGTTTGTCGCGGGGATACGGACACGCTTTGAAACGCTCTGTATGCACGCGTGAATGCGAGCGTGTACGCGCATCCACGCGGCGGGCCGCCCGTTTTAACGCGCGCGCGGGTGTGTGCGCGCGCGTAGATGTGTGCGCGCGTGTATTTGATGTTATAATAATAATATTACATTGTCCCGTATTGTGTGTGTGCGTGTGGAAAAAGGTGCACTGCCTGGCGGACGATGCCGCCAATACAATCCGTTATCACGTAGCCCGTTATCAGTGTAAAACAACGTTTTAATTTTAAAAAATTTATTCAATTTCGGAGTGCCTTCCGTTTTTTCGGTTTAATAGCCCATTGTTCCACTTAAGGCCCGCGACGAGCGCGTGTGACGAGTACGTGCCCACATACCGCTGTCGTCTTGCCAACAGCATCCGCGCGCCCAGACGAACGCCCGTGGCCCCCCCCGGGACCAATATGCCTTCGCACATGAACTGTTGTTTCAACAAATGTACAAATTCCAGTAGGAGCACCCAGAACCTGTCGTTTCACAAGTTCCCGACCAACGAGAGCCTGTGAGTACCGACTAACAATATAAACATCCGTGGCCGCGATGTCTCGGCGACGTCAACGTCAACGTTCCGTGTGTTGGTCTTAACATTTATTTCTTATCGTCATTGTCTATATAATTCACAGATGTAAACAATGGGTTGAACTGTGTCAAAACGACAAAGTCATCCAGAAATTTAAAAACCACGGTTCTAGCCAAGTTTCCAAGAGTTTTAGAATATGTTCCGAACATTTTAAAAGGGATGATTATGTATTATGGACATCAAAAAAAAAGTGAGTAATGCTACCATATTAGTCGATTAATTTGGTGTACTATATTTGCATTGTTTTTCAGAGTGTTACATAAAGGATCAATTCCGACCGGACAGTTGATAAGTCCAAAAACAACACATACGAATATTGCTACTTGGAGTGAAATGCGTACGTTGATTGTTATCATTAACAAATTGATAGTTAAACAGTTTGTACTTGATTTAATTTTTTTATTTTAGTTACTGAGGAAGAAGATCCAGTCGCCAATAACACGGGCTGGAGTCCACGTACGACTCAAACCTTCGATTTAAATGGCCCTGGTAGGTTAAATCGGTGGACTTTCACTTCTATGTCCTAATTAATTAACAGTTATGTATTTTCTAGTACCTGATCAGGGTAAGTGAATGACCGATTGAATCTAGGGTGGTGTCCTTGAAAAACTCCCAAGTTCTCAACTAAGCAGTCCAGAAAAAAATAGATTATATGTTAAATTGCAACATTTTACAAAAATAAATTGCAGGCATTGTTAGCTTTTTAAGCAGTTCCATATTGTTTTTGAAAAATCTTAAGATTACAAATCCAATTTTTTGCTCTTTAAATTTAAAATTGACTAATTTGTAAGCCTTGGTAATTTTATATATATATATTTTAGTCGTTAATAATATACTTATACATATTACAGATCAATAAGACAAAATCAAATTTTTTAAATTACAATTGGATGTTAAAATTAATAAATGGTTAATAAAGTATTTTTTTTTTTTTACTAAAATAAAAAGTGTATGATAGTAGTTTAAATCTAAACGAATTAATTTTAATACCATTCTTAAAAATATAAAACTGATGTTTTTTTTTTTGTAATTGCTTTAACCGTTACATGTTATAATATTAGTTATAAAGGTTATTTGTAAATAATTTTAGATTTTAACTAAAAGACAACAAATGGCTACCTATGTATAAGAGTTGTACGAGTAAATTTTTATAACAAGTTGAGTTTTAATAATAAATATTATTTATTTTGTTTACACAAATTTCCACTCATTTATTATATGCCTCTATTATTTGATTATTTTGAAAGTATAAGCATTTTGACAATGTATATTATATAATAATTTTAATTAAACAAGATGTTATATTTTTACTAAAGCTTCTATTGTATAAAATTATGTTTATATTAAAATCATTCATTGGTTTACTACAATATAAATTCTAGTTTATAACTTTTTCATTATACTTAAATTTTAACAATTATTGAACATTAAAATTGTTTATATTTAAGCTATTTAGTCTACTCGTGCAACTCGTATGTTTATGTTTTTTTTTTTTTAGTTTTAACAATCACATTTAATTTTTATTTTAATGAATATTGTCACCGACCATAAAATCGTTTCATTAAATATTATATTCTTCTTGCAGAATTAAATTTTTTCTTTGTCTATATACTTAATTAGAATACAATTATTTAGAAAAATAAATGTTAAGATATTCGACGTTGTATAATAACTTGTAACAATTTTAAAATTCTTGTACTTTTAAATATCATCGATTAAATATTTTTTATAAGTTAATACTTAGTTGAGTTATTTTTATTGTAAATTCTACATTTGCCTAAAAACAATACTACCTTTTTAATAGTATTTTGTAAGTGTTCAGTTAATAGTTTTTTATTAGGAGAAAATAATACACATTTGAAATTAATTTTTTATTAGTATGGAAATTTAACTAATAATATGTGTTATAATAAGTGATAATATGCAATTTAAAACTTAATTCATAAAAATTAATCGGTGTGCAGCATATATTATTATTAATATTATTATTTTCTTTTATACAATTATTGTCTTTTAATAATAATATTTAGATTGGTATAGGTTGTATTTAAAATTGTGGGCCTTATTTTTTTCTGAATAAATTAATTTACTAAAAAATACAAATTATTGAAACACCATTAATTAATCCTAATGTATTTTACAATTTCTATTTAATAATGAATGCATTTTTAAATTATAATTTTCAACACTGACCGTATGTATGTCATATATATATATGCATACATTGGAGATGTTAATAAGTAAAAAAAAGTGTTGATATATCTATAATTCTTAAAGATGCAAAATATGTTTTACAAAACATTGAGTCTAGTTTTATCAACATTTTTTTGTCATATTACACAAATTACAATACCTATATAATATCACTAGATGCTCTGGTTTATTAAAAAAAAAAAAAATCTGTATAAATTATCTATATAATCTATACATTTTGTTTATTGTAAAATATAAATATTTAATGTACTTAATTGAACAATAAACTAAACTTAGAAATTGCTCTCAACCTTAGCTAGGTTTTATATTTATAGAATGATATTAATAACATTAATTCATTACCTACCTAAGTGATCAAAAACTAACATTTATTAAACAAAGAGATATTTCCATAGGTACTATTATCATCTAAAAACTAATTAGTATCATAATTAAGTACCTATTTTAGTTTTATTATATGTATATCCAAAGGTTTGTTGCTGTTATATATATATATATATATATGTATTTCTATTTTTTCGATCAGTAGATTAAGATAATTAATATATTATTAGCACTAATAACTTGTACGTATGTATGTATGTATGTATGTATGTATGTATGTATGTAGGTAGATAGGTAAGTATTTGCGCCAACTACCAATTTACTTTGTATCTATCCCTTAAATTAAAAAAATATGGTACATATTACCGTCATAGTTAAATACTGTTAACATTTCAATGGTCTGTATAATGTAAAACAATATTTTGAAATATTTTACCCACAACATTTTGTGACCCACCCTACTGATCAGTCAGTTACGTGTTGATACTGATGTGTACTTAAATATTATTTCATGTGATTAAACAATGAAAGATATGAACTGTCGAAGAAGTCCATCACAATTTATAACCATTTAAAAGCAAAATTATTTATTTTAGATTCTGAATATAGTTAATTAAGAAGGTTAGAAGGTATTAATTTTAAAAAGATATGTTTTTTTTCTAATTGATAAACATGGTTTGATTTGGGTTATGCAATATCTCAATAAATTGCAATATATTTGTGTAAAAGATGTTTTAATTAATTTGGCCAAACAAAAGTCGTCGGTTCAACTTAATTTTGTAATTCTTAGTTCTTAATTTTTGTACCACTAAAAAGTATTTATTCTTAAAAATATAAGAATACATACCTAAATATTTATTTTTATTTTTTTTATGGTCAATTTGAACTATATTTTATTTAAATATTTAACTATATTATACTAAGTATGCAAGTTACAATTTATTTTTGTTATAAAATATTATAACTTATATGTTGATTATAATTTAATATAAAATCAATAATTCGAGGGACCCTCCAACCAATGAGTAGTTATGTATCTATGTAAACAACTTTTTTCGGGCTATAAACCCCCCCCTCATAGAAATTGTTACATTATACCTATGCATCTCTCTTTTCTACCCACGACCAAAAATTTAAAAACGGGCTAGGTCGGAACATAAGAAGAATATTTGAAACAACTCTGTAAAAAAAAATCTTAAAAAAGTTCAAGAGTATCATTAGAAATGTGTGATACTGTAAAATGAGGATAACATTAATACAATTTTAATTTTTTGTATTTGTCTATTATGTATAAATCAATAAACAAATGAAGCTTTTTAAAAAGGGCTTACCAATTTTGTTTTGCATAAGTATTCAAATACAAATGAGTTTACAGGATATATATTTTTTTTTAATTACCCGTTATATCATATTATAGTATATGATTTAAGTTAACTTCTATAAAATAATACATAGGTACCTATTTAAGAAAAAGCAAAATTTATTTTTGATATCATACACTAGGATAATCTACCAATAGTAGATAATCCTGTAATGTACACTATAAAACATAATATCAATAAATAAGTATACTAATTCACTTTTTTAATTTTTAAAAAGTTACCTAAAATATAACAATACATATTTTTGATAAAATAAAATGATGCAATGGACTATAGGTACATAACAAAATAAATAAAATATAAACTAGTTTTTTTAAATAAAACAATCATCGAATAAATCATAAATATACATTTTCTAATATAAATATATAAGTTATAATATATTTTTACCATACAAAATAATAGAATATGGTAAAGTAAGATTAATTATCTTTGGATAGAAATGTTTACATTTTTTTTTTATTTTATTAAACACTTGTATACCTAAAACAATTTCTTAAATATACTCTTAAATTTTAAAAAAAATACTGTTAAAAACAAACTTACTTTAACAATAACATAATTTTTAAACATTTTCAGTTTTCCATTTAACAAACAATTTAAAAATAATCATAATAAAATTTCATCAGTAACAAAATTACAATAAAAATAAAATTTAAATGAATTCTTAACTTAAAGACTAGAGTACAAAAATATATAAATATATATATTACATATATATGGAATTTTTTTCTACAATTTCATAAGAAGAATATTATTTCGGTACAATTATTATCACATAGTCATTTTATTAAATATTATTTTTTCACCTACATCAAATACCTATGGTATAGATAGTTATTTAGTCATCCTCATTAATATTCAGTTGTGTACACAGGATTGTTTTCAGGGGGAGGGGAGTTAAGCTTATAATAATTTTCTAGAAAGGAGATAGTATATACTATCAGCAGAGTACAATCACAATTATTACCGAATAAATTATTTTTGATGAAATTAAATTAAATTGTACTCAATGGTATAAGATATTATGCTGCTGAATGTAAAACTCGATTTAAAAAATTTAATAATACATTTCGAGAGTAGGGCGTTCTGTTCCCTAACCCCCTTCCCTGTGTGCACAACTATTAATATTCAACACAAATTTAAAAAATTGAATAATACAACAATTTATATACTTATACCTAGTCAAAGTTCTTATTTTGATTTAAATGTTTATTGTCACTAAATAAAATGTAACTAAATAAAATGTAACTAAATAAAATGTATAGGTTTATAAAACTCAATGACAAATTTTAAAATCAACTAATAAATAGTTGTTGGGTACTTTGCAATTTAAAAAAAAAAAATTATTTTTTATTGTACATGCTAATTAATCGTTTTGTATTTATAATTTTAGTTACTAGATTAATTATTTATTGTCATGAGTTTACTGTATTACTGGGTAGGACTTCTTGTCCCTTTTCAACTGGGTTTCTAATAATTGTTTGATCAGTAGTGTCGTTTGATTGTGGTTCTGAGATGTTGGCTAAATAGGTAACAAATAAATGGTTTGTTAGATTATTAGTTATATATTGTAATTTAAGTCAAAATTATAATAATTACGTACACTGTATACTTGATCGTCCACCGTAGGGCAAACTAATAACTGCAATAAATGCCAAACAAGATGGAATCGTCCAATTGTAGACCATGATGTCACGATAGTAACTTAAACATCCCTCACAATGTCTATTAAAAGTGTTAGTGATTAATAAATATATATAGAGGTATATAATAATAATAAATTATAATCATAATCATTTTGTATATATTATTAAGTAGTTAGATATTGTTCATGTAGGATAACTATATTTTACTGGAATTCAACCGATCCAACCCTTTAAATTACCTACCTATTTATAGTCTATTAGTAGGGTTATTCAAAGGAATAAGGCAGTAATTTAAATACCAATATCTACATATCTTAAACACAATCATACAAGTAGGATCTTGCATTGTAATAAAATTTTGGAAAGTAGGTAGGTATCGAGTAGCTGTCTTGTATTGTGATATTGCAATCAATGGGTATCTAGTGCTTATCTAGATTCTAGATAGGTACTCATTTTGAAATATCTTTCCAATAGGCACTTAAATGAGGGCCACGCCTCGTCGTTTCACCTCTTGGATTTTCAAAAAATTAAAAGTGTTTGTACAAGAAATTGAAGAGAATTGTGTTGAATTTCGAAAATATTTATGATATAAATAGTAACTTACCTCGTATTTTTAGATACAACAAATTGCATTCAAATTTTTAATTTAATGTATCAGCATGTATAGAGTTAAAAAAGTTATGATGAAGTTAGGACTTATGCAAATTAATGATGTAGAAACTGAAATCGTAACTATCATTTATCACCAAATTTGAATAGGAAAATTGGTTTAAAATATTGCCTAAGCTTAATTTATGTCACAATTTTGATGGATCAAATAAATTGTTTTCTGTGAATTTTAGATTCCACGATACTCAAGAATCACAGTATAAAGTAGAATTATTTCAGACATTTGTTACTTTATCAAATATTATAGCAAAATTGGTTTTTATATTTCGGAAAATATTTCTGTTATTAAGTTGAATGTAAAATTATTACACATTATGGAAAAACGAATCGCAGATAATATATTATAAATCCTTACTATTTAAAATCAAATATTTTCGAGGATACCCTACGAATTAGACATATTTTTCCGGATAAATAATTGTGTGAAGTGGCGACGTGATAGGGTATTTCATGACCAATTGGGTGGTGATACCCCTAGGTTAAAAATATGAATTATTGTCAACTGATACTTGATACTTAATACTTTATTGTTATTAATATAAAGTATTTATAAATATGTATTATTTACATTAAGTTAATATGGTGGATATTGTGGACGAGTGTTCCACTGTTGTAAATGGAAAGTTGGAATTTGGGAAGGTAGGTTAAATTAAGTTATTAAATTCAGATCTGTATGCAACGATAAACTATTGATAATGAAAAATCATTCTGAGCAAAGTTCAGTTATACTTATACATGTATTGAAATGACGTGAATAAAAACTATATAATTTTTGAAAAAATGATTTCTGATACATTTTATTACGGTGATTATAACGCGGACCAATAACGGACATACGGTGTTGACAGCTGATGTTACTATAAGTGTAAAAAATCATACTTCATGTATTATAAGATAAATGTAAACATTTTTTAAAGAGGAACAAAACATAGACGTTCGTGTGATTATCGGACAGGGGTAATAATAAAACTTGCTCAATTCTTCATCAAAATTAAAACCCCTTAGCTGTTTCGTATACGTTTGAAAATTCGTAACTTTAACAACGAATATGTCCTCGTTATAGTTTTGATCTTAGAATATCGAATGTATAATAATATGATTTAGGGAGTTGATGTATTTCTCAGCGTTCCGATTCGGAAAATCCGGCAATGTGTATTATGTACCTATAGGTGGTATGGTATTATGCCGTAAAATAATCGGCAACAACTTACAGGGACTGCACTGCCATGACTACGGCTCCGTTGCACACCTTGTCCGTGAAGCTCATCAGTCCGAACGTGAACGCACCCCGGTGGGTTTTGTCGCCGATAAAGTCGGTGGTCAGCGCCTGACTGGTGACCAACACGACCGAACACGCTATACCTGCAAAACGGGGAGAGGAGAAAAAGAAATGATTATTCGGCTGTCATAGTATAAACTGCAGATCGTTTTTCGTAAATAATTCATAATATAATTATATTATTGCCTGTTAAGACGTGTGCCTACCTATAATTACGGTGACTGCGTAAATCTGATAGTTGGCGTACGAATAACCGCTGCCATTGTAACACCAAAACGCCGATCCCAGTGATAATATTACGCCGAACGAATAGGTGTACTGCAAGTAAACGACGATGTTTAGTATAAAGTCATTATTACAGATATACGGTACACATATACTATATAGAGTGGTATTTTGAAATGGTAAGTACTTCGTTTAACGTGCGCTTCAATCATTCTTCGATTTTACATCGTTTAGTGTAGTTTTAAAAAAACTATAGCCACTATTTATAATTAATTATTGTGTCCCGATGAAACAAATTTTAATTTTTTTAAGCGAGATTGAGGGGGGGGGGGTGATAAGCCCCTCCCCACATCAAAAGTCACCCGATAGCCTTTCATAATATTCCAGTGGAACAAATTTAGTAGAAAACCATAAAACACTCGTTCATAATAAAATAATATGTAGTTGTTTATTAATCGTTTGAAAGCATTGATGTTTCGCGTTTCCCGGAAGTTAAATAAATATAATATATAGCACGAAACAATACAATAGGTAGTGGTCTAGAAAAAAAGTGTGGGATACGCCCTTTTTTGATTCACTTCATACACACGTACACACACACACACACACATACACAGACCGCTACATGTAATAGATGTTATATCGAATATCAAACTTGCAATTTATGATTTACGAGCGTTTATAAAAAAAAAAAAGTAGAATACGTTATAGTGCAGTAATAAATATTTCACTATTTGTCACATTGCTTTCGGACACAGAATATAATATTGTACACAACATAAATTATATAAATAATAAACGGCTTATACTGCTCCACAATTACCTAATACCGCATTGCCTGAAATGTAGGCTATAAGTGTATGTGTGTAGGGTGTACGTGCCTAACACCTACACAAATATTTTCAGAAAAAATGTCCCTTTAAAAATTACAAAAGAAATGAAATACAAAAACAAAAAAAATTATCATACGGGGGAAAAAGTTCACCAAGAAAGTTAACTTAGCACGTTAAACGGAACCCGCCGACACACATGTAAAATATATAATATGCAATGAGTCACATTATTTTTAAAGTAAAAGTATACCTTTCTGCCGAATTTCATGTTCATTGGTTTGTTGAGGAACGACATACCGAAGCTGCTCAGGAACATTATGAGTGGTAATAGCGCTAATTTTTCAGCTGTTAACTTTAAGTAGTCTTGCAGGTACATTGGCAAAAACACCTGTGGCGATTATTCTCGTCGTTACTATCGGTATACATAGGTAGGTACCACAATTTGTAAAATTTCGGGCGGATGCAAAAAGGATAATTTGTTTAAGTTTTTTTCATACTAATTTCGCAAATACATAAAACTTCTCGAAGTGCCAAATAGTTGAATTATTTAGTCTAACTATACATAATAATGTATCAATCATTGTGATTTATTTTTAATGACATTGCGCAAAACGATATAGGTACCTAGCCTTTTTATCATCACTAAAGTCACCTTTACTTTTTGCATCTCCGATATTACACTTACGCCAAAGCCTTCTCTTATATACTCACCAGGGTCATGTTGACCGTGATCCGGGAGCACATGTATACGACGGCGGTTTGGTATAGAGTGAATCGTTTAAATATAGAGCAAAACCTGTTGGCAGCTCGTTCAGCCTCGGTCTCAGTCATTAGGAGTTCCCGGTTCATGCGGTTGTTGGCCAGTGGTTCACGTACGCCGATGTGAAATATTATCGTCGTCATGGCTCCAACAATCATAATCACCAATATAACTATCTGTGGCCACAGAACACTGCACGTTATATATAATACACGTATATTTATAATAATGAATTAATACACGAGGTAACAACCAAAAAAAAGTGCCTAGAGATAATAAAAAGATATAACATTATGAGTGAATGTGTTTGAGTAGATTAATAATTAGTAATAGATAGACAGATGTGAAGGGAGAGAATTAGATGAGTAGGTGGCTGCACTTATGATGTGGAATAGAAGAAGAGGAACATGAAACTATTCGCAAGCGTTCCTGGGGATAACAGCGTTGTAAAATAAATAAATAAATGGCACAAGTAAATAAATGCAAAATAAATAACATATATACTTGAAATTCTTTTCTCTCCAAAGGTCCGAACTGGGTCTTATTAGCGTCGTTGCTCCTGAGCACCACCCAAGTGACTATGTACACCAGAATGTTGGCAAATACGGTGAAACTATACCTGTAATGTGTAAGTATTGCTCGTAACGAATTAATTCGCAATAAACAAAAACAACGTACCTTATAGACAGTAGTGCCGTTCGTTCATCTCTTAAGGGCGTCAGGTCCGAGGCGAGAGTCATGTGCGAATTTTCGATGGAAGCCCAACCGATCTGGAAGAAAACGATGAAGAAACAATAGTAAAGAGCGGTGTTCAACTCTGAGCCTTCGACTTGTGGCAGTACGGGTGGCGAAAACGCAAATGGAAGACTGATGAACACCAAAACACTACCTGAAATAATAACGAAATTTCAATATTGATATATGTATCTCTATTTATTATATTGCAATATTAACACAACTCGTCCTCAAAACGAAATCGTATGGGAAAACCTCTTTTTTTTTTGTTTTATCGACTACCATCGAAACACCGCATAATATGTTATAGCAAACTCATTCCTTGTTCTATCCTCTCTACAGTGACTCTACAGGAAGTTCACATCATCTGAGCATTCTCATTACCACTACAATCATCTTTTGCTCTAAACTTCAGTTTGCTACCTCAAATTCTGGACGTATCTGGGTAAACTCGAAAAACATCAAAAAGCTCGATGGGTCTTACCAAACAAATGCCACGTCTTTCGGCGGCCGTATCGATCGGTGCAGTAGATGTTGACGTTGTCTGACAGCACGCCGATGGCAGCCGTGGCTACCGCGTCCGTCAGCTGACCGACGAGCACCACCGCCCCGGCGTTAATGCTGGACAATTGCATGACGTAGTGGTAGAAGACCAGTGCGTACGTGAACCACATGGACGCGACCAAGTCGTTGAGCACGTGTCCAACACCATACGACATGAATGCGAACCATCTGAGCGAATCCGACATTTTGCCGTCATTACCTACGACACGTATACGAAGGTTGGGGTTTATCTTCATGTTTTCCAAAGACGTGCAATAATAATACAGTAAAATAAGGGATAAATAATAAAACGTGTTCTATGTATTATATTAACATATAAAAATATGATAGGCACTGCTCCCGAAAACCCCCGCTCTTGAACGATACTAAATTTGATCTTAATAATCGCAATAGACACTCGACCTAAGTCGTACGTATATTAACAACACGTATGTCAATATGAACATGCACTTACGAGCCATTAAATAAATAAAAATTATTCTAGCATGTGTTTCAATAAAACTACATCGTTACCAATATACGATAAACAAAATGATTCGACGAATACTCGTATGTTATCATTATGCCTTTTTTGTTTATAAATTATAATTATAACGTGAGAAAGGCTGGAAAGACAATAAGACAGAGTAACAAATAAAAAGCAGAGAAAATCAATTTATAAACAAGCTTTCGGTCAAAAGAGTTTTCCCAATCATCGGGGGTGGTTTCTGATAACAAAGATTGTACAGTTGCTGCATTGGGGAAATAATTTTTTTTCTTTGTATTTTTCTCACTTCTCTGAAATGGAAAGAACAATATTTACGGGGCAACTGTTAAAACCAATATTTTTTTTTAATAATTTTGTTAATTTTGTTGAACTTAATTTTATTTCGTTTTGATTGTTATTATAATTCGGTGAAAATTAATCGTAGATAACTTGCGATTTTCACAGAATACTTAAATTAGCATTTTATTGACGTTTTGTAATTCCCGAAATATTCTGGAGTTTTTTTTTTAAAAATTATTTATAACTATTTGAAATTTTGTTTGATTTTATATTGAAAACAACATTTTTAAATATTATGTAATCATTAAGCATAGACTTAATATCAATAACAAAATAATATAGGCACTCGACATTTGAAAATCGTTTTGTACCTATAACGCTTATTTTACTGTAAGCCCTACACCAATATTGGCGTAGTATTTTTAGTACCTTAAGTAGTACCTATTCAGCGATTCGTAAAACCGTTTAAATTCGTCCTGCAGTATCTTCTTATATTTTTTATACATTTTTGGCCTACTAATCAGTGACATCATTTCAATTTTTGAAAGGAGGGGGCAAAAAATTTGACCTCTCCCTATTTATTTGAAATAAAACTGAAAAAAAAAACCGCTCGCTAATTCATCCGTCACAATTATATCAATTATATTTTTATCTCTATATAAATATTCTTATTACATCATTTTATACTTACCATCATATAGGCATAAATAACTCATTTTCGTGAGGGAAAATAATGACTAAATAATAAATATATATGTAGATGGATACCTAAATATATTACCTATTAGTTACTATATGAAGATTTAATTTGACATCAATTTTCCCCTAATTTATGTTCTATTTGTGCCCATATGTATGGAGTATTCATGTATTTACAAAAAATATAACCATGTCACCATGGACATCAGTATAATCATAGAAGAAATTTAATAAGAATAGATATTCTCCAAATTTTACATGGACTCTTATGAGAACCCGACAATTTCAGCTTCAGTTTAATTAATGTTCATAAAAAGTACAATAAAAAAAATATTGCATGCAATATCACACTTATCACAATTATTATCATAAATAAATCTTAAAAAAACTGTAGCTTAGAGTGGCCGTATGCAACATAAATCATGAATTAGGTTTGCAGGCTTGTGGCCCAAAATTAATCCATATCCTGTCCAATAGAGGCCCACTGATGATAGGGGGAGGGGGCAAATGCCTTTCCTGCTCCTCTACAAATGACACCACTGCTACTAGTTCAAAAGATCAATAAACGTCTAGGTAGTCGTAGTGAACAAACAAAACTCTAATAAAATATATTAGATAATACAATATCTTAAATATGTGTAGTGCCATGTTCTAATTAAAATACTAAAACGTATAGTTTTATCAAATATGTACAATAATAATATGTATGCACTAGGTCTGATTTAAATTAATAATTTGTTTTTTTTGCTCGTACGTACATCATTCTTTCATTTGATTTTTTTGTCGAAGACACGGCAAAATCACGCACCGACTCTTACTCACCGGTAGACACTAAATTATTTTATTTTATTATATACGATATGCGATTAGAACACTGTTCAAGTTTTAAATAAATATAATATTATATGAGACATTTAGTTAAACAATTAAACGACTTCATCGATCTCATAAATGTATAAATGCATAATGAATACATTTATTTGTATAAAATTAATGAAACGTATTGAACTAATGCATTCAATATTCAATATTGATTAGATCTATACGGTATATACATGCGGTGATTATCTATGAAACGCGTTTAATTTCATTATGATTAAATAATGTTTTAAATAAGTAGTTCTGATTTGATTTAATATCGATATCAAGATCACTCATAAATGTAACCCATCAATCAAACTCGTAGACAGTGAACATAGTATGTGGCGAGTAGGTACCTACTGGTAAAATTGTAGATTTTCACATCCCAACTGAGCAAGCCACGTATACGTACGCTTAAGTGCTGAACTGTTATCAATCCGTAATTTTAATTTCGTGTTTTGGGAGAAGATTATAATATAATATATATCCGTTCAAAAGGTAATTTCGTAATCCTAACTGACAAGTGTCTATTTTATATTTAAACACACATTTCGAAACAACGATTTGGCGGTTATACGAAAGAGATATTTTGTCTACGTATGCATTAGCATAATATGAAATTGGTTAGTTGAACCAATTTGATTTCTACAATTTTTAAGCACAATACGCATAGCGCTTGTTAAATAGCGGTGGCATTTGGTTTTGTAAATAATGTATTATTTATTTATTTGAGACGAGTTTGATATAAAAATATTTGTGATATTTGTGTCCGCATACGCTCAAGATACGTACATGACCCATACGCCATTTTCCAATGATAAACATTTGGAAAATATTTAATTATGATTTAAAAAAAAAATATTTATTCAATGTTGTCCAAATTTTAAAACACATTATCCTTGTATAAATATTTAAATATATTTTATATTGTTTTGAAAAGAAATACTTATTGTATTCTATTGTCTAACGAAAATATTTTTAAATGTTTGTAATTAAATATTTAATAATGTTAGGTTTATAAATATTTAATATTAATAGATAATGTATAATTTTATATTCAAATTAATTAAGCACTTTATTGTAACGTTCCGTTCGCGATAATTTCCTTAGGTTTTTCGTCTATTACAAGCTTACCCGTAATTAGGCACCCTCCCATTTTTCCGGATCAGAGACGTTATTAAAACCTTATAATTTATACTTATACGATCGTTGTTAGGCATAATTTTCGCCGTTATCTGTACTGTTTTCGTTGGTTTAACGCCCGGTGAGTACTTATTTCGCCTTCGTGCGATAGGTTAGGATTTGTAGGGTACCTGGTTCGACTCTCGTCATTGTCGCATTCGAACGGTCGAATTTTTTGAATTTTTTTGAGTATGATCACTTTTCGGCATTTAATTTTGACGTTTTTATCGTTTTAGTGCCTGGTAAAAACTTATTTGTATAAAAGATACAATTTTGTATTTAAATATTATATATATGTTTAGTTTTGAAAATTTGATAAATATATTTATACAATTTTTACTTGCTGTGCGAGGAGAAATAAATAAATAAACGAAAAATACGTAGGTAATTGAAGCTTTGAAAATATTAAAATCTTGTTGACGTTTGCTTACAGTTTTAATACATTAAGATTCCAGCGTGAATATAAAATTCACATTTTGTTTTTTTTTTTTTTTTCATGATCTTCGAGCTCTTTTATCGAACCGACCGACCTGGTTGCCGTCTTCACATTTATTTCTTTTAAATTATTGAAATATAAGAACGGTTTTAATCCTATCACTGCTTGTCTGCTTTAGTATTACAGCAGTTTCACAATCGTATTTTGAACAATAGGATTTTCAGAATTAAGTAGGTACGCTAGATAAGATTAAGAATTTATGGATTTTCATAAAACTTCAGTAAACGCTTGATTAACCTTTAATTTTAGTGTTGAGAAAATCGAGAGCAGAAACCTAATTAAACGCGGAGATAAAATACAATATAATTTCGAATTGAAAAAGTATCTACGTAATACATTCCGCCTTTGGCGTTTTTGAAATTAAATTGATTTTACGAATATGTATAATATAATATATAAACGCCTCGAAGCACACTGTAGTGGAATTAAATTTAAGGGGTTTTCAATATTAGGATGATAATATGGCCAAGAACAAAACTGATGGTTGTATTATACAGAGTGTAATAAGACTATATAAAAATGTAATAATTTTTTTTCTATTAAACATTTTTAAGTTTTTTATTTCATTACTTTAAAACTAAAAGTAAACAATTTCAATTTATTATTAAATTTTTAAAATTTGTTAAAAAAAAATGTAACGATAAATAATAAGCATTTATCAGACTCACAGCTTTAACTAATATGATAAACTATTATCAAATTGTACATTATTTCATTAAAAAAACATTTGAAAATTTAAGCACATAAAAGTGTCATATTTCACAAAACTTTAAAAATATTCGACTCAATCTTAGTAAAAATTTTTGAAACTAAATTTTTTTTTAAATAACGTATATAGAAAAATGATTATTTCAATTTTTTTGATTTTTTTTACAAAATGTATTATTTTCAAATCGTAAATATTACGGCCTTTCAAAATATGTATAACCGAACTCCGCTCAGAATCGTTTTTCGTAAGCAATGATTAATTGTTGCGTACATATATACATTCAATTTCCCTTTTACCATCCGAAATTCTCAACTACAATAGTGGCCCATTCATCGTGCGAAGAAGTCAGTTTTTTTATTTTGAATTCCTAAATATTAAAATTAAATATTTAAATTATAATGCCAAGACAATAATAATATTTTATGAGAACCTAAAAAATATTTAATAGAAAAAAAGTTATTACATTTGTTAAATAGTCCTGCAAAATACATTCAATATAATCAACACTTAAGTAGCTATAAATATCATGAATGAATGGTAGTGCAATGTAATCAAAACCATAGTATCCGGCAATGGCGATATTTTTAATCGAGTAGAATTAAGGATAAGGTTAAGAATTTAAGATATTAGGTTTTTGTATTGTAGATTATTTCCTTGGTAGATAACTAAAGCTATATATTTCACGTTTAAATTCGCGGGTAATTGGTAAATGGCAAACGAGATAAATATTATTATTGTCTTACGCCAACATCGACAATTAATGCTATATTATCTTGAATTAAACTAATAATGTAAGTTTATGCAAGTTGAGTAATGATGGATTATTAATTGAAAAATAAAAAAAAAATGTGTACAATATATTTTTAAATATTAATAAAATATGTTTACAAAGGGCTAGTCAAACAGGGGCACCAAACTTCTTACAGTCTACGGACACCGTAGATATTAATACGGACCTGGCAGTCATATCAATAACTGTGTTACACAATATCACCTAATCACAATAGATTTGTTTCAATGTATATAAGTCCTAGCCCCTAGCACGGTATTGTTATTTAGAAAAAATAATTGTATTTTAAATTTGGGGGAGGGTAGCCCTGGGCCAGATTATAGGTAAGGGGGGCCAGGCCCATCCAGGTCTCCCCTTGGCCATGTGACTGATATTACTAATAGATAATTAGAATGTTGTAATTAAAAAAAAAGAAATGCAATATAATATTCATAAAAATGGCATTACTGAAAGGGTAAAAAGATTTAAGAATTATTTTTACTACAGTAGATAACCTCACGTGATTTTTACACACATGACTGCTGTACGAAATAATAATAAAAGATTAAATTAAATTTAATGTGAATAAAATAAGGGTAGTCATGCGCGTGGGGTATTAAAGCCGATTATAATAAAACGGTTAAATTTTTTTTATTAAAATCAACAATGTTAGGTATTGGTGACCATGGTAACGAAATATGCGACGGATGTGATGTGTTAAAAATTAAGTAGGTAACGTTATACAGTCTAGAAATTAAAAATAAAATACGGAATTATGTAAAATATTTCAGGGAACATCATAATAGTTATTAGTAAAATTGTATGTGATTAGGATAAAATATTCAACAATCTAACCTAAACACAACATTTACAAAATATATTTACAACTATAATAAAATATATTATATTCAAATATATGGTACACATTTTATCAAAGATCAGAGTTTAAAGTTTAAAATGTAATAAAAACATGTAAATATCAGCAGGATGATTTTTCACACTATATATCGTAATACTTAAGACAAAGAAAAACCTCCTGTGGATATAAATAACTTTGGTATTATATTATTATAATATGTTCCTTGTGATTAGTGGTGTATTGGTGGAGGGGGGGGGGTATACGGGAATTCGCGGCGTATACTCACTAGTTTTTTATTTAGCGTATAATACTCGGTGAAAATACCATGATACGCGGGTATACGGCAGTTTAATAGTCCTGAATACATACTACAATTTTTAGCAACGTAAACAAAATATCTCATATTAATACGCAATTTTCAATTATTATCAGTAAATATAGTAGTGATAATCAAAAATATTTTGAGAACCAACAACCAAAGAAATTATATTTATACACGTAATTAAGTACACGCTGCAAAACCAAAAACCCTAATATTTGTATTTCTATTCTTAGTATTTTCTTGTTTCTTTTAATATTAATAATGTTATATAAGTTAGAATTTTGTACCCACGAATGTTAAGTAGTATACATTTGAATGTTCTACTGCACAGTAAAAAGTCTGAAAACCAGGAATTTGCGAGAGTTCCTTTCAAACCCCGAATTTGGCTTCTTTTTAATTTTGTTTTTAAATCAAATTTATTTTTTGATTTCGCTAAAAACAACATTTTTTAGAAATTAATATTTTAGATTTCATATTTTCCAGATTTAAAATTTTTTCTCAGATTTTATTTTCCATATTTTCATTTGTTTCCATTTCGTAGCAAAATGTCGCAGGAACAAACATAAATTTGGCCTCTTTTCAGGCACTGAAATACGGGTTCTTTTTATTTTTTGAAGATTTCTTACTATTTTTTTTAACATATTTTTTTCTCGGATTTTAATTTTTCACATTTTTAAAAACATTTTTCTTGTTTTTCTTAATATTTCCACAGTTTTTGTAATAATAATAACATATATTAGGTCAAACTATTATTTCTGTTTGGTAAATATATTAATCTACAGATTAAATCATTTCATTTTATTTAAAATTGTTTCTCAGATTTAACTTTTTTAAATTTTTAATACATTTTCTCGGTTTCTTTTTCCAAATTTCATTTTCATTAAACAATGTTTACTATTGTTTTTCCATCGTCAGTAAAATCATCGATCGCTACGATATTATACATCGCAATAGAATATTCATACATATAAAAAACGATAATTTAATAGTCGAGGTCTATTCGTTTAAGGACACAAGAGCAAAAAGGAAACTGAAACAAACATACAAAAATAAGTCTATGGAAAATACTATATTCACCACTATGATAGTTATATTTGTTATATTATTCATTTTATTTGACTTTTGTTAAATATTTAATATTTTTCTTTTGAGATAAACAAATACACAATTATTTAAATCAAATCAAGTGATTATAAACTAAATTATTTACCAACAATATTTATTATTTTATATTAATATATCATGAGTATAATAAAAATTGGTTATAATTATTATTTACTATAAATTAGATTTAAAAAGTTTTTATATGGACTGTTTATAAATTTATAGTGATTAAGCACATATTATTATTACATTACGTTAAACATTGTTACTAGGATGTTTGATTTAATAAAATTAATGAAATCTTATAGATTTATTTATTATAATTGTATTAATATAAGTATCATGGTTATTAAAACTAAAAATGTAAGTATGTATTTTTAAGTAATTAAAAATATTTATTGTGCGTGCTTATTGTACTCTTAACAAATACAATTTTAAAATTTTATATTTTCTAATAAAAAAATTAAATGGATCTTTTACAAGTGAATATACAATTTTCAGATTTTTTATTTAATTTATTTTTGGAAATATACTAAACTGTTATTTCTAAAATAAAACTAATACTTTGTATTTCAGGACCTGAATTTGATAGTACAGAATCCTGAATGGTAAAAGATAGAGAAAGATGGGAAGAAGTGATAGTTACAGCAGGGTGCCTAAACGGGTTAAACAGCCTGTATTAAGTAAAAAAAAGAAGGGTGTTGTTGGGAAATCAGTTATTTAGAGCGAAGCGAGGTATTTTTTTTGAATTTATAATAGAAACTTACCATTATCAACTATCTAAGTTAAAAAGCATATAACAGTAGTGGATATATCCCAGTACTGAAGGGGAATAAATTTCAAATCCGTAATAATCCATAATCTAACAGGGTATAATTTCTTAAGTATTCAGTTGTAGGTAATAATATATATTAATTACAAAAACTCCAAGGAGGCAGTGGCATATTTAAGGGGGTCTAAAGCAAATTGTGCAAACCAATAAGCAAAAAATGTGCCATTTTTTCAAATTTGGGGGTAGTAAGAGATGAAAATAGATTGTTCTTTTTTTACTTATTAGTGTGTTTATGGTTTTTAGGTTTTTCTGTTTTTTTTTTTGTTTATCTGTATTTTGAAAGGAAATTTATAGTGTTATGGGAAAGATCTCCTAAAACTTACATTCTTAGAGGCACTGTGGAGTGTATTAATTTATGTACATTGAGCATCAAAATCGTAATGCAAAGGGGACAACCTCCCCTACCCTCTTCTCCACAATATCCGTCACTGGCTTATAGACACCATTTTTTATGATAATACATCACTGTTTGGGACAAAGTTGAAAAATTAGAATACATTTTTTTTAATAGGACTTATATACCTATAATCTATATAGTAGAAAATATTATTTAAGTAAGTAGCTAATATAATTTAATTATCGTAAATAATACATTTTAAATAAAAAAAAGCAATAATAGTAATTGTAATCATTTATAAGCGATTTATGAATAACTAATGACGATGGCAACTTACAAATTGAATTATCTTTAACAGCTGCGATTAGATTATTATTTATAACAATAATGCATATTTTATCACGTTATAAATCATTAGTATTCATATAACTGATATGAGTTATTCATATTTAAAATTTAAATTAAAATTTTGTATACTGTAGTCTGCAATTTATGGTAAATAGTTTGTTAAAAAAAAAAAAATGATTTTTGTGTTTAAATCAAAAGTTAAAATGCTGTAAAGTTTTGAATATAATTCCATTGTTAAAAAAACCCCTTAAATTCGATAAAAGTTCTAATATTTAATCAAAACTTCCAGAAATGTAAACAATGAAAGTTAGAACATTAATCCAGTAATTTACAGAAAATTTGCCATTTCTTTTTTAGATACATGAACTCAATTACTTTGAAACTTGTTAATAATTTTTTTTTTTTAAATTGATTCATTTATTTATTTATTTATTTATTATAAATTGGTAACAAAATATTAGGGACGTATTCGGTTAGGTAATTAAAAATTATAAAAAGAAAATTACTTTTACTTCGAAAAACTAGATTCTAAGTATAGTGAAGAAACTATATTATAATTTTACAAATATGTGTGATTTTTTCTTGGAAAACTGCATTTTTTAGTCACTAAAAATACTAATTTTTCAGGCATAAATCAAAAGATTTGAAATCGTTTGTTTGACGGTACTTTATTTGAACAAATTTAAAAATTCTCAATAAAATTTCATTTTAGATTTTTAAAAATAATTTTTGGCAAGCAAAATGCTAAGATTTTTTCTTCTTTATAATATAATACGGGATTCTCGGCCAGTGGAACTTTATTTAAAACATCGGTCGAGATGTAGGGACTAATAGTTTAAATCCCTAGCTAGGCCCATTCTTTGGTTTCTTGATTTCTGGAAGGAAAAAAAACACATCCTGTTTTTCGTTTACAATAATTTATTGTTGCATATAGTATTTACTCGTAATAAACTATAAATAACAAATAAAATCTATCTATCCAACCAGGTTAAAACGTAAGAAAAACAGGAAATTTACGAAAATAATGTTTTTATTATTTTTTAATTTGTTTGTTTGTTGTAATTCAGTTAAACATGTTTACAGAGACTTGAAATTTGAACAGACAATTTTTATTTGCCTTTTCGAGACGTAGTAAAATTTTTTAAATTGCCAGTTTTGTACGTAATTTTTATTCGGCGGGTACTTTGTTGTAAAATTGTTAGAATTAACAGAAATGCTTGAAAATTTAACAGAAGGTTTATTAAGTCTTACTTTGTGGTCAAAAGAAATACATTTGAGTTTAATGTAGTAATTTTTTTTATAAAGGAATTTTAATATTACATTTTGACGAAAATCGTTAAAGGAAAAAGTAAAAAACTATGTGAAAAAAATCTAGTTTATCAATTAATTTTTTTTGAACATATGTATATTGTCGATTTAAAAACGATGGCTAAGTCAGAATTGAGTGAACTGACTAAATTTCGAAATTATAGCTTTTTGAAGTTCTTATATTATGCGGATATTACATGTTAAGAAAAATAATTCTATATTGTGTAATCTTTAATATGTTTGTCATAGTCCAAAGGTTATACACCTTTATATTATTTTCCTAAGGGTCGCGAGTTCAAACCCGTGTTATGAAAAAAATTGTTTGCACTTATTTTTCCCTTTTATCTAAACAGGGAAAATACAAATGTATTTTAAGTGTACCTAGAGATCCAGCTATCATTCACTCGGACTATTTTAATCGAAAGACACCCCTCGATTGGTTGTACATACTTCTACCAGAAATCTTGCTCTTATCAAGTGTAACTTATTTTCTGAAAAGAAATTCTATATCCATGGTAATTTAGGGAGGTTAGTTTAAGATTTTTCAAGCGTTTTTCGTAATATCTGGCAAAACCGAGATAAAATGTCGGAAAAACGTAAAATTTACTTAATATAGGTATCTATAAGTTAAAAAATATTTCGGTCTTCTTTTTTCCTGTGAACAACTTTTTTACTAGTAACTTTGCTTTGATTTACAATGATAGTACTTATTTTGAAAGGAAACTTAATTGGGAAGATACTTTAATGAGGCCATTTTTCCATTTTTTCAAGAGTTTTTTTAGCAATTGTGAAAAACCGGGAAAATATTTGGTACAATATTAAACAAATATCATTAAAGAAAATATATAATGAGTATACAATTATTTTACCGTAAAATGACTTATATATATATATATATATATATATATATATATATATATATTGTTGGCAAAGCATCACTATTAACTGAAATGCGCTCAGAATCGTTTTTTCGTTAGCAATGGTTTATCATTGCTTATAGATATATATTAAGTTACCTATAAAAATGGCTGCACCGTCTCCATTATGCTAGGACGTCGGTTTTTTTTTTATAAAGTAATTTCATTTTACCTACAAAATGTTTTTATAAGTCAACTTACAAGTAATTTAAAATCGATCATGCTAATCGTATTATTTATACAGAATATATATTGTAATTCTTAAAAAAATTTAATTAACTGGAATGTAGTTTAATTATAACATGCTGATTTACAATATGATAATACAACTTTTAATCTTACCATTTCCACGGAAAAATACAAAAAATAAAAATAAACGTTCTTAGAAGCATACTAACGTTTTTTATTAAATTGTTATACTGTGTAGACATATTATTGTTGTATACTTAATATTTGTAAATATAAAATAACATGTCCTGACTGATTGATTTATTTTCACCTAGCCCAAACCACTAGAGTCTAGTGGTTTGGAATTTCCGACCTGTCACTAGACGGGTCGGATTGAAATGTGGCACACAAATAGCTATTATGATATAGGCATCCACTAAGAAAGGATTTTTGAAAATTTAACCTCTAATGGGGTAAAATAGGGGTTTTTTGGTTATTTGGTAGGAGTATCTAATTGCTTTTTTATTTAGTTTTGTTTATTCAAGGGTTACTTTGATGTTACGGATGATAACTTGGTTGTCACAGAAAAGAAAACTATTATAGTTAATAATTATTATTATAACTTTTATTTACACTATTAAAATTTCACAAGAGAACACATTTAGTCTGCCGAAGGTGGAATACCCACTTTCCCCACCTATTTGTTTTCATTCAATTCTGACACGGCCAATATCAAAAATGAATACTGGCAAAATAATAATAATACAAATTAGCATGGGAAACGCCAGGCGCAGGACAGCTAGTTAAATATATATACAATTATTAAACCATATTAAAAAAAAAACTCTCTTTCAACGGATATACTTGTAGATCCGTATTTTACGTTTCGAGAAGAGGCGCACAGATGTTTGGTGTAAATGTTGTTTTTATGTTTTTGTCAATAACACCGTGTACAAATAAAAATAGTACCTACTATAGTATCTCTGTAGCTACGTCAAAGTTATCTTTTCTTTATTTTTATGTATGGATACAAAATATTTTTTTTTACAAATAAAAACATTTAAGTATATACATTGATAGTCACTGTGCTAAATTTAGCAAAATTTTAAATAAATACATTAATATTATAACTTTTGTGTACACATTGCCTTATTTTCGTTTTAATTGATTAAATTTAAGAAATACTCCAGAATTTATTTGTGCAAAGGTAAATAATTAATACACGGTCAACAAATAAAATATGAAAATTTTTCTTGTATTGCACCTAGGTCAAAGCTGTCCTTAAAAAAAATATAATACTTTAGGATAGTGCTGAGATCAATATATGGATACCATAGTCGTTAGTGATTTGTAATGAAATAATCAAGGTGCACGAGGAAAACTATGGCGTATGCCATATAATACGATACCTAGTTATTGGATACTACACCAATATTTAACATCGTCAGAAATGTGTATGGCTTCGTCTATGGTAAAAATGTCTACAGTCGTTTTCGCGGGATTTAGTAAATTCAACTTCAAAGTCAACATTTTGTTTCGAGTCAGACAATACTGACTTTTTATTTGATAAATTTAAAGATGTTTTAAAGGTTAAAAATATAAATATGAGAATATAATATGTAATGAATTAAATAAATTTATAATTTTTCAATCTCTTTTTTTCTAGTTGTACCTTTAAATGAAATATTTCGAAATTGTATACATTAATATGTCAATGTCAAATAAATATTATTAAAGGTAAAAAATATGGTTACAAATGTGAATGTACAAGTATATTGATTCTTCGTTAAAATAATGCATTTATTATTCGTTATTTCTAATATTTTAAAAATGTTCTTAGGAAATTTTAGAAATTATTAACTGCAGATGCTTATTTGAAATCAGTGATAATAACTATACGCGTTTATGATGATATCAAATTTTTCTACATAATATTCAGACCAACCAATGATTCGAATTAATAAAAAACTGTTTAAAGAATTGTTACAATTCACGTCCGTTTAAAAATGATTATGCAACACTAATAATAGTATTAAAATACAGTACCTATGTATAAAATAAATTACACAACACACACAGGTACCTATAATTTAACCTACAACTACAGAAATAAAACATCGTAACACTTTCGATTAAAGTTTAAAATGTTTCATGTTAGTATGTTTTCATTATTTTTTACACACATTTCCTAAGTAAGATTAACTTAATAACTAATATCTACTACCGAATGAGTATTGACAACAACAACATTCTAAATTAATGGTGCATTAATGTTTTAAAACATGATTAAAGTATTAAAATAATAATTATATTATAATTATGATGATGTTAAATTATTATTCGGAATTAATTGGCCTTAAGTGACGCCAAAGTTGTATTTCTTTAATAGTATGTAACATCTATACTATGCACCTACCTATCTACTATAACTTAATATAATAATCGATAATATTTAAATATTTGCAAATATAATTCACTTAGTCTTTTAACTTCGTGTACTATGTACCATGTAATAATAACAATATATCGTTTTAACATTAAAAAAAAGAAGATGTATCATATATTATTGTAGGTACACACCTAATATTGTTTATTCGTTTTGCATGTAAATTGTGATAACCTATATCGACAAATGAACGATAATACTTGTAGTAATTCGATAATATATAAAGATTCGTAAGATTTTAAGTTTTACGACCAATAAAGCGTTTTATTTACATCGACGAAAATTTGCAAAAAACTAATATTTAAATTAAAATTTCCATTTTGTTTTGTATAATATATATAGTATAGGATAATAAGATCAAAATATGTACATATTAGATGTTCATAATATTTTACCTAATACTTGTTAATAATTGTAAACGTAGCCAATCCATTTATTATTTCCATTGGCAAACATATTATGGGATAATATTATATAATATTTATAACACATATTATGATATCATGATACAGGCATACAGCTAATGATAATACGAATAATAACATAACAAATAGCCATGAGTAATTAAAAATAACTTTTAAAATATACATTTTTTCCCTTTGCCTTCATCCCAAATATTTGGTGTCGGTAAAAATAATTATAATTTATTTTGATACCATATATACCTACACAAAAAACTGAAAAATTGTTTTTTTTTATATAGGTGGAGAAGAGTTATATAATAGTTTTATATTAATATAATGAAAACGTTTTTTCATTCTTTTAAGAGATGCAGTCCAATGAAATAATAAAAATACAAATCTCTACACTTACTACATCCAGTTGTCAGAACCACTTGGGCCATGGACCACACTCTAAACAGTATGAATCCCTTTAGAAATAATTTAATACAACCATACTATAATTATACTTATTTTCTGAATAGCATCTGCATTATTAAGTACATTATTTACATAATTATTTTATATAACTAGATACAGTTAATAATTCAAATAATTAATCAACATTTATGCAGATAGTTATTATACTTGGAACTTCAATTTATGAAATTATTTTGTTTTTAGAGAAACGAAATCCATTGCCCATTTTCTACATTTAAAGTTTGTACCGTAATAACTAATACATACAACTAATTTTCGCTAAACCAAAATCTAAAGCAGTTTATCTTGATATACAATCTGGATATTATTTAAATAATTGAATTACTTACATTTTAATGAATTTTCTAGATTCACTGTTTTGACATTAAACATTAGGTGGGTGTATTATTGAAATATTATTTATTTAGTATACTTCATTATTATTATTGACGTGCTTCTCATTACGAATGCAATTCGTAACGAGCCAACAAATATATAATAATGATGGTAAAACAGAATACCGAGTTGGGCATGCTGGTTAGCTGATGCTACTAAGTAAAAAAAAAAATGTTTCTCTACGATTACACATGGTTTTAGAGATATTTTATAAAATATCTCTAAAACCACGTGTAATCGTATTATATAATATATTACATACAAAAGACTATGGATGGTTATGGTTTATAGACTCAAAAATTACTCGAACAATCTTGTTGAAAATATTACGTTTTGTTCTTATTAGTTTCAAGGGTCTATAGCAAATGGTTTGAATAGTAAATTAAAGCTCTAAAATGTTGTTCACGTAGACAATTTGTTCTTGAAATACGAATTTTATTTTATACTTTCCTTTTTTTTCTAGTATCCATTCGATTTATAGCATTTATTGCTATGCTTGATGAAATTATGAATTTCATGAAGAGTTATCAAATAAATTATGAGAGTTATGCAATTCATGAAATGGAAGCTATTTTTTTCCACATAATGAGGTGTTTAAAAAGTACATTAAGTGGATATCATTTTACGAAATGAATATTAAAATTTGATAAAATGTAATTTGTTTCATAAAATGGTCATTCACTAGGTGAAACAAGTTATTATAGACATTATATTACAAAATGTGGAGTATGTTGTTATTTCAATAAGATAGATAGATAATTTTCGATTATTTGTATTGTTTCTAATTTTATTTCGATTTCTGTATCTTTGATACAAATTATTTATATGACTTCAGTGCATTGTACAATTTTGTGGTTACAACACGTACGGTATAGTAAATTAAAGCAAGTGAAGTAGCGTATAGACAAGTTTATTTATAAAATGGAATTTGATGCAAAACTATATTTTATAGAAAACTAAATATTTATTACCTATAAAAAAAGCCAGGCAAAAACCCCATAATACTCGTATGAATTTCAAAGGAATTATACAAGATTATAAGATGCTAAAATAAATAGAGAAATACTTAATAATATGATAAAGTGTATTCGTAGAAATAAAAATAAAAAAACTTGATTACTGTTTACCAACTACAGAAGTATGATGTGCTAACTGTAGCAGCAGAATTTAAATATTTGATATAAAAAAAACAACAGAGGAAAAATATATCAATTAATGATCACTCGTATAGTAGCCCCAGCATGAACTATTAATAAAAAGATGATTTGGATGATTTGCAACTGGCAACATAAAATTATATTACTGTTGATCAAGTGAAAAATACTAAAGAAAAAACACTTCATGAAACAATTACTGCTTTATCGGAGGGGGGAGGATATTTGAGTTGTTCATGTGAAAAGAAAAACTAATAATTGTTGTCACAATTCAACTATTGAATTTAATAAATTAATTATTAATATTAATATAGAAGTATTAAATATTATTTACCTACCTTTATTGAAAAAAAAATATAATCCAACATTAAAAAAACTACAATATAGGTTACATATTTTAATTCACCAAGAAGGATGGACATTTGACGAAGAAAATTATAAAATATCAAATTTTAGTATCCATTTTGTGATAATATTTCCACACATATTAATATTTTTAAATAATTCTCTAAGTGAAAATAAATAGTTTCCATTTTATGAATTAGATAATTTTTCGTAAAATGCTCAATTTCATGTAACATATATATAGGTTGCAACTGGTTTTGGGTCCGTATGAACGTATGCAAATAAAATAAAATATTGCTGCCTCCCGAAAATACGATTAAATACAAAATCAAAAAATGGACGATTTTAAAACACTATACATTTATTATTGTGTTATTTAGAATTTTATGTGTTTTTGACTTGAAAGATACATATGAATATCAAGCGTTATTTTATAACTTAAAACTATAAGTAATAAATATCTTAAGTTAAAAAAATATATAAACAGAAGTATATTAACTAATCCATAAAAGTACCTAATTATTAATTAATTTTAAGATGACAATTGTATTATTTTACAGACATATCTAAAGTACTGATATTATCAGTACTTAAATGCGTGTACCTAAAAAATATAATAGTTATTGTATAGTATTATGTTTTCAGTTTTTATTAAGATATTATTAACTATCAGACTTTGTAAATAATCAATACTAGATAACCCTAGCCCCTAATCATGATATTAATTATCCTATGAAGTAAAATAAATTAATATATTAAACATTTAAAGAACATATTTATGTAAGTCGAAAGAGTTAAATTAATAAATATACATTTTTTACTTTAAAAAAAAATAGCTATTTGTTTTCATTTATTTATCAATTTGTCTTTGTTAACTAGTAAAATATTGTATATTATATAATTATTATAAAGCAGCACGTACCTAATAATATAAATGGTTTCAATTAAAATAATAACAAATGATGATTATACATTTGAGTGCAAATATTACACTGTTTTACTAGCAATTTCCTAATAAAACATCTTCTAGAATTAGGTAGTATATTATGGTGTTAATAGTTAATTTGCTTCAAAATATTTTATAGGTAGATAGGTCATATTATTACAATCAAACGAATTTTAAATATTTCTTATCAACTGAATATTATGCGTTTATGCTTACACGTGTATTTTATAACTCGTTCTAAATGTAGGTACGTCATAATCTAATGTTATGATTACTGTTTAGCAATTAAAATTTGATATTTGATCACAACGATTACTTTTATGTGGTATACATTATTAAACACAAATAAATAATAAAATTATAGCCAAACGAATATATTTTCTTAAATGTGCTTTTTGACTCATTTTATACATTTAATAACCATATACATATATCTGATTATATATTATAATATCGATTAGAACAAAGAATAATTTATTTATTCTCAATATGGTATACATTTTAGTTTTCCAAGAACTTTAAAGGTAACTAATACCTATAACCTATAGTTATATTATGATGGCTATAAGCAAGGGTACCTACATCCAAAGTTCTACCTAAGAAAACAAAATTAAGAATGTACACGGTCATAATTTTAGACCTACTCTCACTTATGGATGTCAAATATGGACAACGACAATTATGACAGTTAGACGACTTGGAATTTTTAAAAATAAAATATGGAGAATGATGTATGGAGTAATTCATGACACAAGGATAAATTAATGAAGGAGGTAGTTCAACAAAGAACTTCAGGAAGAACTGGGAATAACATTAGTTCTATAAAAGGATAAAGATACAGCGGCTAGGTCATATTGTTAGGTTAGAAATGAAAATTCAAAAAAATATAAACTTAACTCGGTTAAAAAGAAAGTTAATTATTTTTCCGCTATTAAAAATCAACATTGAAAGTACCTCATCAATATTAAAGACTTAATGGTTTCACCATTAATCTTTTCATATATTGTTAAATGATTATATAATATTATGTATAATAATTATTTACGCCGAATAAAACAAACAACATATTATTTTCATTAATATTATATTGTAATTAATAAATAAACAATTTGATTATGAATTAAACAACATTTTTTAAAAATTTAATTTAACGTTATGAGTTAAATAAAATTAAAATATTTATTATATTTTAATAATAACGTCATTTCAAAATGTTTATCCATTATTTTCCTCTTTATTTTTGTACAATATATACAATATTGGTACACATAAGACCGGACAGTCTTATGTAGTAAAAAAAACCTGCCGTATTTCTCTGCATGCCCACTGAAATAACCTGACCACCCATTTCACATTACTGTGATGTGCGTCCGGCCTAAATCATAGGAATAGCCAATTAAAATTAAAAATCGAAAAAAATCACCTGCCTTTAATTCATTAACCATTAACATTCATTCATTGATGTTTATACAAATTAACTGTAAAAAGTCTAGTCAAGTCCAATGAAAAATTAAACTCGTTAAGTTAAAAAGTTTAAACAAATAAACTTTAAATTAACTAGTTAATTTCCATCTTTGAGTATGTGTACAATGTACCATCATAATATGTGTTTTAGCTTGAAAAAATTTGCTTTTATTATGTAAGCATATCGTATATATTTGTATAAATACAATAATAAGACACTTTTGAAATATTTTCGCGGTTTTACAATCTATATATGAGTATCTATATGTAACGGACCGATATAAAAGCAAACAAATACTTTAATTACATACACGTTTAATTTATTTCGAAATTGTTTGAAAAATTAAATTTTAGATTATGAGTACGACCTAAACCGTATTAGTTTTACTATGTGTGCGAATTTATTTAAATTGCGTGCGTAGCAAGGCATGTAGTTAGGCTATTAGTTTTACCATGATGTATGCTTTTCCTCCCGTTTGTGTAACAACTTTTCTACCAGAAATTTTGCTTAAATTAAAAAAAATTTAAAAGTAATTTGAGACCTTTTATATTGCAATTTGGATCTAGCAAAAAATTACCTTAATGCAGTATTAAGGTAATTTTTTGTTTTCCTTTGTAGTTTTCCTATTGTAGTTGAGAAAAACGGAAAAATAGAGAGTTTCATTATTTTCGTTAACCTCCGATAACTGCCATTATTTCCACATTCAAATTTTAAAAATAGACTTGCGGATTTTTGTAAACTTGCTAACTCTATGCACGATTTTTGAAATCGTTAAATAAAGTTGAGCGGCCAACTTCACGAACGTTTATTTTTGTTGTAATACGGAATTACACGTAAAGTGGCGCGATAAAGTTATAGTGACGGTTAAAGAGGTAGTGTAGAAGTGGTATATTGTGTGGCCGTATACAACACCAGCGGTGGCGTCGCGTGGCGACTACGTATGCGGGTGTGGTGACGGTATTGAGAGGATAATTCGGGCAGCAATTCTGGTGCCAATCAAGTAAAATTGCATTGAATGAATGATGATGCATATATTATTGTTCTTTTGTTGAAAATTCTAGCGATGTTATTTAGTTATTTATACTTTCATAAGCATTTGACATAATCGAGTTTTTTTTTTCATTTGATTTCATGTGGATAACATTGTTTTGGCTAGTAGAAATATTTGAAGTTTATTCGAGGTTCATTATAAGTTGCACTCAATAGTTCAAAAAAAGTCAACAAAAATGTGGTTATTATTTCAGTTTTTTTATTAAATATTATGCGGTGAATTTTTTCATTAATGTATAACCTAAGTTTTGGTTGAGCCAAAAATTTTGAAAATTTAATACTAAATTCATGATTAGTAGTAAATAAAATCAAATGCAACGAAGTATTTTAGATTTTGAACGGAGCGAGAAATGTATTGGTTTTATAATTTTTTTTTTTTTTTTTTTTTGTGATTCAGTTAAAAACATTCATAGAGATTTGAAATATGGACAAAAAACTTATATTTGCCATTTTTAGACGTCGTCAAATTTTCAAAACATTTTAGCCATTATTGAGCTAATAAAGAGATTTTAATTTTGCCAGTTTTTTACGTAATTTTTATTCGATAGGTACTCAGTACAGAGTAAATCAGTATAGTTAACTAGGTATAATCCCGAGGTATGATCCCGAGAGGAGCGAGAAATGTATTAGTTATAAATACAATATATATATATAATGATATCTACAATTTTTTTTTTACCAGAAATATTGCTCCAATCAAAAAACGACCAGAGCGTTTTTTTTTTTGGTATTTTATATGTAAGATGCATGGTACGCGAGGAGATCATTTTTTGATTTTCTTTTTTGTTGTAATTTAGTTAAAAATAATCGTAGAAATTTGAAATTTTTTGCAGAAAATATATGTACATAATATTATCCTTTTAGAGATGTTAAGAAATTTTCAAAGCATACTGGCTATTGTTGAACTTATTATACAGGTATTTTACATTTTCGAGTTTTATTTTATTTTTCATTTGGTTTTAAATAATAGCTCATTTTAAATAATCTCTCTTAGAGAGACTAGATAATATTATCTAAGCTCTCTAATCTCTCTTTAATAAAATAATTATTTCTATGTAAAACGACCAATTTGTATAATTTTTTCTCTATATATTCTTTATATGTATATTCTGTATATTCTTTCATTTGTTTTTTCACATTCAGTTGCGTTTTTCTTTAGTGATTTTACCTGACGATGAATTTTCAATTCGAAAACGGTTGTACAATATACGTATCATAATACTCCAGGAAACTCATTCATTTATTTATTTATATATTCAATTTTATGTATTCTACCTTTTTAACTTTCCACCTTTAACAGTGACACTCCCACAGAGTTGGATTTGGGCACCGGAATACCGAGAAATCTCCAGGTAGGCTACTATAAAAATAAGTTAGGCGAATTTAATAAGGTCAGGTGGGATAAGTGAATAACCGGAGTAAGTGAATAATCGAGTCTAATATAATATAAGATATAATTTTGTTCTGTAGAGCTGTAAAATAGTGTTCGATGTGTTGGTAATAAACCATCAGAGGCTACTGTACATTATCTAGGGCATGCGCGTCTCTGAGGGAGGGTCAAGGGAAGCGATCGCTCCCCCTCCCCGTAAATCATGTGATGTTCTTTTTTATATGCAAATTATCCATAATTCATAAGTACAAATAAGCACTGGTTCTAAATGCCATAAAGTCGATTCCGGATCTTGTAAATACTTTAATTGAAACAAGAATGAAACAATTCTCATTTATACATTTCAGTAAATATTCTTTCAAGGGTGAGATAGAATTATGGAAAACTAAGTGGAAATAATCAATCTGAAAAGGTATAATAAAATAATACATTTTTAGAATCAAAATTAGAAGTGATTACTTTAATTTAAATTTTAGATTCCTAGTATGGCGATGAATGTACCTATTGGGTATACAATGATTTTTATTTTTTTTTTACTGTGACAAAAACGTCTACTAAAAATCTTGCTTCAATATGTAAGTGTAGCACTGTTTTTGAAAGAAAATATTGCCATATTGACTAGATGGTACTTTATGAAGGTCATTTTTTGGTTATCCAAGCAGTTTTCATAATATCCGGAAAACCCCGGGTAAAACTTAAGAAAAACGGGAAAATTTACGAAAATAATGCTTTTATTATTTTCAATTTTGTTTTTTATTGTATTCAAATAAAAATATTCATAGAGATTTGAAATTTGGACAGAAATTTATATTTGCCTTTTCTTGACGTAATAAAATTTTTGAGCAATTTAAAGATATTTTAATTTTGGGAGTTTTGTACATAATTTTTATTTGGTAGGTACTCTGTGGATGAAATTTTTGGACCAAACAGAAATGTTTGAGAATTTAACAAGAGGTTCATTAAAAGTCGTACTATGTGGTAAAAAAAAAGAATTTTGAGTAGAGGCTAACTGGCTTATCACTTTTAAATAGATATTCATTGAAATGAAAACATTAATAGGTATAAAAAATATTGTTGATCAAACCAGTTGCAAAACGCTGCTTAAAATAAAAGTATTTTGGACTTGGTCATCTAAATATTATTAATTATTATTCTTATTATTTTTGTTATTCATATTATAATTATTTTAATTATTATTTATTTAATGTCAAAAAAATAAATTTAACTTTTAAATTATACCGTTTTACTGCATTTGTACAATATATCTGCAGTCTTCTAAGCTAATATAAGTTGAAATTACATCAGACATAAAAATTTTAGGTTTTTGTTGATCAAAGCGGTCTTCAAGATTAAAAATTGTTCCCCCCCCCCCATGGAATTGACCCGAAGATGCCCCTGATATAGGGGGTCTTAAATAAATCGTCAGGCACTGCATTAAATTATTAAAAGCCTGTAAATAACTGTCAGAGGCTGCAGTAAGGCATAAACAATTTGTTGACCTAAATGAACTGTCAGTGAGGACACTTCCAAGGGAAAGTATTTAGCAAAAGAAAGTGAGAAGCTAAAATAGAGTAGCTGCGTATCTTTTGGGGTCGGTAGAATAAATATTATTTGGAATGTTTTTATAAGATAGGTAGTCCAACCTTGCACAACCATCAGCAGTACTTATTATTATATATTAGTTATTTTTTTTATTGGAGACTAAACATATAGTGAATGCAAATTATAAATGATAATTCAAGAGAAATATTTTTAAGTCTGTTATAATATAAAGCCTTTTTTTTATTAGGTTATTTTTAAAAATTCATATCAATTGTATTGTACAATTGTTTTAACTTAATATAAGAGATAGTGGAAATGTGCAATAATTATTATTTTATAGTAGTAATACGTTTTCAATGCTGAATAACTAAGATTATGTATTTTTGTATTTTTACACAACTAGTGGGGGAAGGAAGAAGCTAAGTCCTCTTAGCTACCCCATAGAGTACGCTACTGGTGGTTGCAGTGAGTATATTTGTTTGTACACAGCTATTTTATTAATATAATTTTTTTTTTTTTTGGTTGAGTGTACCTGAAATTGCCAATACTACACGTATATTATAATAATATTATTCCCCACATAATTTAGTGTTGATAAATTGAAGACATGACGGCGAACAGAGAACAATAACTAACATATTGTGGTCATTTATTATTATTATTATACCATTTTGTTCCTTATATAAACATTAAACGATTCGCGTATATGTGAGGAGCATATATGATTCAAACTATAAAAAATTGACTGTACAGCTACGACTAATAGAATATTGGAATGATATAATATTACGCAGTAAATATATAAAAAAATAAAAAAACGATAATTGTTAACCGCCAAATTATTTTCATTAATTGAAAGTTCGAGTACTATAAACACGAGCGTAATAATATATAACAATATGTATTACTCGCATTATTATAAACGAGTACTTAAATCAAGATCCCCATAAAGCAAATATAGCTATAATATTATGATCGTCAACCAATCATTGTTTCTTATTAAATTTTTTTATCTACAGTTCACAATATTGTATTTTACAATAACAATAATATATTTTAAACCTAATTAAAGTAATGCATATGTATATACTATTATTATTGTACTGAGTTAACTGTAAGAGATATTGTATACAGTAATTATATCTAATATTGTCAAACCTATATAATATAGTGTAGATCGTAAAAAAATAATATACATATGCTATTTTGCATATAGATAAACGAATTATAATAAAATGAATATCATTTTCTTTATATAATATATATTTTTTTTGTTTTCGTAAAGTTTGATCTTTATAATTTTCGATAATTAGTATTGTATTAACCGCGCGCCTAATGCACAGTATGTATTATTAATGAGCAATAAAATAAAAATAAAACATTATAAAGGCTAAAACGTAAAAATGTAAAACCAAAGTGTAGTTAAACGATAATATTATAATACAGTTTTTTTTCCTGTGGATTATAATTTGATAATTTTTAATCGTTGAGGTTTTTTTTAATACTTATATAGTTACATATTTGTATTATTATATTATGTTAGTTAGAGGTTGAAGTATATATAATATTACTTACTAAAAGACGAGATAAGTAATATTAAAATGTGTAAACAATTGGATCAGAGAAATATTGAACCTGCTTACATGTAGTAAGTACAAAACGTCGGCACACAAAAGATATCGCGATATAGGTACTACCTAGAAATTTCGCCTAACACGTATTCCGATAGAGCAGAAGTATAATATAATTACAGGTCTGTATACGCAGTACCTTTCCTCCTAGTCTTAAAAGGATGACTTGCTCGGATTCGAAAATTGTTCGTATAATCCCGAAAACATTTTCAAAATAAGTATATCGCTTTATTACCACCTACATAATATATAAGTACATGATGGTACCTCATATTACACGATCGAAATTCAAAAATTGTTCCTAGTTGTACAAAAAATATATATATATTATAAACATTGTCAAAATCGTTACATAATATATTTAAATTAAATAAAATGACAAACAGTTCAAAAATTGTTCTTTGTTATAAAAAAAATATATATATATATATATAAATGTATTAAAATGGTAATCAAATTAAGTTTAATTAAATTTTAAATACTACTGTTAGTAGGTACAAGTTTTATAGATACTTTATGCACGAGTATAGCATCCCATTCGTGCATATAATATGGGAATTCACAATAATTTCGATAAAAGTTTACTGGTATAATAATAGTATTGGTGTTCAAGATAATTTGTATAAATTCCATATAAAATTTTGCTGTTAATATATATTATTTAGGTAGGTACCGTGTATACGGCACAGTATATTATTCAGCAACGTTGCATGGAAATAAAAATGAGATGTAGCGCACGCAATCCTACGGCTAAAAGAGTAGGCCGATAAGGACGGTGCGCAATCGTACTCCATCGGATGGAAAGTATAAGATATTAGGTAATTCAGTTTAAAATATACTGAAAGTAACTATAAACCGTTGTAAACAAAAGAGCTATTCTAAATGTAGTTCGGTAATCTGGTAAAATTATAGTAGTATCTTTTCCCCTGTATAGACAAAGTAACCTAAAAATCAACAAAAATAAAACCAATGTATTGTCATTTGGTGTCAGTTTTGTATTATAAGTTTTTGAAAAAAAAAACTGTTGGGAATCAAGACAATTTCTTCAAATACAAAGTGCAATAAACAATTTAGAGCATTATTTATACTTATCGAAAAAATAGTTCAGTAAAACTAATAATCGATGGAGTCGGAATCTAAAACGCGTTTTTTAGCGAATTTTTTATAAATACATATATATATATATATATATATATATATATAATTATATATCAAACAATAATAAATAACAAAATTAATAATATTATAAACTCATAATAATTAACAATAAGTAAACGCGATGGTAATAAAAAATATCATGATACTAAAAAATAATACGAATATATGGGTATATATGTATTTTTAATACATATGATATGTATGATGCATGTTTTTAATGTTTACAAATGTGTAACGCTAAAATTTCGTCAAATTATATAATTATGTTAATTATATAATTAAAAAAACGAATAGGAAAATCCATTTAGATTGTTCATAAAAAAATACATGGGTAGTGAGAAGTTCATAATTTATAAAACGTATTATACTCGTATATTATTTATTATTGTTATCCATATAAAATCAATTTCGTATAAAAACTATTACCTATCTACATTATCTAAGCGTCTGAACTTTTATTTATTTTTAACGGTAATAGTAAAAAAATTATCACTTGTTTAAATAAACTTATAAAACGTATTTACTTAAATAATATACGTCACGATACATAATACGACTACATTATGTGTACTAAAAACAGTAAAAACTAAATAATCGCAACAATATCATCACTCATCAATATATAGATTTTTAACGACGAAATAATTTTGAATTTTACATAATTCGGGTATACACATTACATTTTCTTTTCTTTTTTTTTTTTACAATCGATCGAAAATATTACACTGGACGAACATAGACTTATGAACTATAATATTACGATATTAGGCAACAAAACTCATATTCATATAAAATCATATTTTTTATAGACATTCGACATTAGCATTTAATAATTTCAAATTTAATATTTAATTTTGATTACCTACAGACAAAAAGATAAATTATTTATTACGATTTACAATCACAGGAAATAAAAAAAATGTTATTTTTTTTAAAATTACATTACTTAATCTAGTCTAGTAAAGGTATAAGTAGTTATTGAATTCAATTTGTAAAAAATGAATTGCTAAGAGAGTATTTAAAATTTAGTTTTATTATATATATTATATACTTACATGAAAAAAACCAATCAAATAAATAATATTAGGTATTATAATATAAATACATATATGGATATCCATTTAAATGCAATATTAATCGTTTATATTAATATGCAGTTTTTTAATCAGAACAATACAATATTTGTATGATTAAGGTTAAAGTATATGTTTATTTTTATTATTAATAGGCAGGCTTTATTTTGTTCTAAACCGATAAGAAAATGAACAAATCTCGAATTTCTGTGCATTGGAAACACGCGACGTGAAGTATACAATTATTAGTTTATTAAAATATTTAGCTACGTAGGTACTTAGTTATTGTTCGTATAATTTTGTCTTACAAAGGTAATATTTTTTTTATAACATTTTTTAACATTTTATTTTATTTTTTTAACGCATCAAAATATATGATTTACATTTTTTTTTTTTTAGACTTGAATTTGTCTCGCTATTGTAATGACGTAAAATAATAATAAAAAAAAAAAAAAAAATGCATATTCTTATTAACACTTGGCTGTCGATTAACATATTATGAAACAAGTGAAACACCTATTTGCATATTGTACAAATTGTTTTTCTATACGGAATAGCATTTGTTTTTGTCAGTTGTGTGTGTTTTATTTTACGAGGACGGATTGATGTGTAAATCTTGTACAACTATTATACCGTTGATATTTGCCCGATTTAAATTATTATTTCAAATGTTTATATATTTTTTATATTTATTTCTACGATATATAATTACATTTAATCCATGTTTGACAAAATGTATAATTTTAACGATACGAATAGAAAATAATGTGTCTATCGTTTCCTATATTTTGTTGTTTCTCTTTTTTTTAAATTTTTTAACGCCAAAATATTTAAATAAGATTATTATATAAATAACGTAGTATGCATGGTACATTATTATAATAATAATATGTATGTTACGCTATTTAATCGCGAAGATTTGATAATTTTACATCATTACAAAACGAAAATATATAGCCCAAAAAAATCGTTTAAATACATACATTTTGGTAATTTAATTTGCGAGTTATCAATGAGTTAAAAAAAAAAATTAATTTTTTAAAACTAAAAATTACAGCAAATTTGAACAATATTATTTATCCAAAGTACCAAATACTTATAATTTGAAAATTAATGGATGACGTGCACATGATTGTAAGTATAACTATAAACGTAGATAGGCATACGTTAGAGAAACTCTTGAATAGTATTAAGGCGAAACAAAATCTAACTTTTATTAAACGATTAGAAAATTACAGGAATATTGATAAATAATGAGCGGAATTTTTTTTTTTTTTTTACTGTTACAATTGAAAAAATTATACACATCTAAGCATTCATTATAGTACTGAGTAAAACAGTAACACTGAGTATAAAACATCAATTTTTAATTGCGAGCTATAAGAGTTGTAGTTTTAAAATAAAACTATTTTTTATTAAAACGATGTTCATCACATATCATGTATGTTCAAAAAAACAAAACAAGCAATTATATAATATTCTATAGAATACTATTGTATTGTATAATATACACGCAAGTTGGGAACAAGTAATATTATCGAACCCGTTGCGTACCTACACAAACGTATCGTATAGATTAAAAACGCGTAGACAATCAAATTGAACGAAAAAACCTCTCTTCGATATGAATATCGGAAAAAAATAATAATAAAAAAAACCGTTCATCGTGTAAAAATCTAAACCATCGAATATACAAAAATATATTTCATGAGGTATTTCACAAAATAATAATGATATTGTAGGTACCTGGTACTTCGCAGATCTGAACAGTACGTTTAGGGTCATCCCCTTTTTTTTGGAGGTCCGGTTGATTATTCGTAGACATTTTAAATTATAAAATATTTAGAAAACAAAAAATATATATAATACACGTGTGTAATGGAAACGAGATTAAATAAAGTCCAGAAAAAAAAAACACGCGACCGGTGTTCACGATTATGATTTTTAGACGATTGCTCGGTATAGAACGCGGGCGAGAACACCAGACGAAAATAACGAACAAATGAAACGGATATTATAGTTAGAATTACTATTCATCAACGCGAGTTAAACGAGTAACCTCATATATAGTGGCGACCAACCAGCGCGATCACAGACATTTGGCGACCACTTATCTCGTACTGTACAACAACAGTAGTGAACTCCCCCAGCGGTAGTAATCACTATACGGACTATCGACGCGCTTAATCAGTTTATTTCATATATCGAGTGCACCGGGAGCAATATTATAATAGTATATACGAATAAATATTAAATTATTATAATATTATATAGGTATATTAGGTATTTTAATACTATAACTGTCAAGTTCACAAATAATATTGTAGTAATAATTGAACTTAGACTGAGCGTGTACTCGACTAGTCTTTGTCCTCGTCCTATTTCTAATAAGTTTTTTATTTTTTTTTTTTCCCCATTTTCTTTTAACAGATCGATTACGTTTCGATTTGTTTGAATTTTCGTCATGATTAAAAAAAAAAAATCACCTACAATATTATTATATTTTTGTAAACGTGCAATCGTTATCGAGGCACAACAATCAATTGCACGTGGAGTTCATTTAAAAACATACGTACTTATACTAATTTGTATACTCACACCGACAGCGGTTAGAAAGCACTTTTTCAAGTTATGAAATACCGCTTCCCAAATCATATATTATACATATAGGCATATAACCTTAGCCTAGGCGCAGAAAAAAATCCAAGTATTTTACGAGTACTTTAGCCTACATTATATTGAATGTGTATACACTTAAGAACTTTATTAGGAGGGATTGGTTAAGTTTGGGGGGAGCTAACCACCCAATTCCTCCCTAATTGCACCAATAAACATAAATATCTAAATACTGTTTAATTAACGTCACAGAAAAGATTTTGTCATCTTTGTTTTTGTAGCCGTTACAAATATAGCAAAAATGTTTTTTCGAAATTCCATTGGTACTCTGCAACAGGCTACAGTATAGAATTTAAAAAAAACATTGTATTTATCAAATTAAAAACCACAATATTTATATTATATAATTTAACAGAATTTTTTTTTTTTTATGCTTGTATACGTTTTATGTAAATAATATTAGAAAAAAATAAAACAAAATTTGTTTTAAAATTGTCAAGTAGAAATAGATTATCTGAGAATAAGAGACCAAAAAATAATTTTGTTAAAATATATTAAATGATATCATCTTTAATTTGGGAGAAAAATATTTCAAGTTTTTAGAACTCTGAAAACACATAACTATTTACTTAGTCAGCAGATGCTACAGTAGAGTCTTCTAAACGCATTTCGAGCCTTCTGTATGTGTATAACCCACCTCTGCTGATATATTTTTTTTTTATACAATATTATTATTCTAGGTACCTTCTTTTTTTTTTTTAATTATTCCGATACGCATAAATACAATATAATATAGATGTAGTTAGATATTATACTATATTCTCAGTGATATAAAACAATAAATTAAATTATACAATGATAGAACAAATATATTATGTAAATACAATTACATTGTACTAAAAAGAAAATTAATCAAAAATAAATCCATAAATATAATCAAATTCCATGGAATGAAAGGGTGCGAAATATTAAAATATTTGATAAGAAATTTAAATTATTTCGAAGTTAGAATTTAAGAATATTTTTAAGATAATAGATATGTTGTGTTTGTTGAGATATAATGTATACATGGAACATAAAGGGATATGCCTGAATGGCATTATACAAATATATTATAGTAATAGGTAATTAGTTATTAGTATACACCACGATATTTACGAGATTAATTTTATTAAAAACAAATTGTTACTTTTTTATTTTATTTTTTTCAACACGAATCAAGACTCGTATAGTTACCTGCCTAATTAAAAGTTTCAGGACTTATTTTAATATATTCAAGTTAAAAACAGTTTCGTCTCCACAGCAGTGAACATTTTCAACGTTATAAATTTTAGCAGGTAATATTGTTTATTCGAATATTGCGTTATTTAAACGCACCTACAGAAATAAATATTTATAAAAGGAAAAAATAACAGTATATAATTTTCGATATAATACCATGGAATAATAATTATTTATTAAATATTTTGTATTTAATTAAATAGCCGTAACTAAGTTAAAATTATAACAATAGTTAATATCGTTTCAAACACTATAATTTCGAGTTTCATTAAAAATCATTCAAGTTAAATCAATTTCGAAAAGACTTGTTTTTTTTTTTTTCAAATTAATAGGTAAAAAATTAACCTAGATTAAATTAAATTTTAATGTTACAATAACATAATAACTGGTTTTACTTATATTATTTTATTTTACTTTGATGGAAACTTTATTTGTAATCTGGTACTCACAACACAATAATTAATAATATATGACCTGAATTTTAATTTTACACGTCATTTATCATCGCATATAAGACTAACAATAAATAGGTATTAATAATTCACTATGCGAATTATTGTATGCCAATCAACGATATTTTATTTTAAACATGATAGTGAAATACTACGACAATAAGAATACTGTTGTAGTAAAACTCGATTATTTCACCGCTTATTATCTACTCAAAAATAAACAAGTATAACGCATATCTACTTTTGACAAAAATTGAACACAGGCCAAAATATTTTCGGTGCACTACTACAGACCAACCGAATTAAAATGTTAACGAAACACAATATGACTAAGTATAGGATAGAGTGACCATATTCGTAAAAAATAAAAACCAAAAAACAAACGATATACTTTGCACAATGGGTGGGCTGTTATAGGTAAGAAGTTGAGAAGGTAGAGGAGTAATTTAATGTGCATTCGTACACAATGGTTAATAATTTCTAATGAAAAACGATTCTGAGCAGAATCCGGTTATATATCTTTGAAAGTCCGTAATATTTACAATTTGAAAATAACACATTTCATAAATTGTCCAGTTTCCCTACGGTTTTTCTATTTATTATAAAAAATCCTAGGAAAATGATCTACTTAAAGTACCACCAAAGTTAGATTTCCATTCAGAAAAAGTGTTACACTTAAAAATTGGAGCACAATTTCTAGTAGAAAAGTCTGTTTTTCATAAAAGAAAAAATAAACATTGCAAACCAATTTGCTACACTCAAAATGTATATAAAATTATAAAAATTATTACAGGAATATCTTTTAAAGTTATTTTTTAGAATCATAATTGCTTTGATAGTATAGGAATAAGAAAGCGATTTTCTCGTATCTCTACAATGCATTTATAACAAGAAATATTCTCTCTATTGCTGAATTAGTTCCAGTCATTACAAGAGAATATTCTACAATCGGTCAAAAGTTGTTGAAAAATATATTTTATTTTTTTCTAAAATTGTATAGATATAAAGCGCCATCTCTCTTTAACGAAAACACAATTATTCTGCCATTCTGTTAAATTAACATTTATTGTATTATATCTATACATGATTATACTCATGGACAAGATTATCTTCATCCACATTCCGGTCGATTTGTTTTTTTATTATTTTGCGAAACGAATGTTAAGCTCACTTGAATATCATCCTATATTGTGTTTGTTTCATATACCAGTTTTCCTTTTAAAATATTAAAATATCAAAATATTAAATTCCGTTTAAAACGGGATGTATGGTCACCCTACTAAAACAGCAATACAAGTTATATATTATAATATATAAATTGGACATTATATAACAATTCATAAAATATTTCATTTACGTGAGTCAGTACGTCATTTTTCAATTCTATTGTACCTAATTATTAAATTATCCATTTTTAATATGTTTTTGTTATCTTGCAATGACGCGTGCCGACACATACTTACATTTGAAGCGATAATATTATCTTAACCAAAATAATTATAATAATACATATAAAAATTAAAGATGTGAAAATTCCACCATACTTAAATGATTTAAAACGTGTAGTATTCTATTACATAAGATACTATAAATCTAATTCATTAAAAAAAAAAAAAACTTGGTATATGTATAATACAATAAATACAAAGTAATTATTTTGTTTATAGTTAGACGGCGATTATTTCAGATATCTTAGAGTTATTACTGTTATTACTATAACAAATATCTATAATTTAATTGATTATAAACACTCAAATATGTACCTAAATTTTAATATTTATACCAATGGTGTACTTAGAATTTCAGTAGGTAATACTAGTCAAGCTAAGTCAAGCTCACGAAAGACCACCTATGAAAAAACCCAACTATTAACGCTTTACTCGAGATTTGTTTAAATTATTTTATATATTGAAACCAACATAATTAATTTACATGTTAGATAAAACATAAAATACATTTTACGAACTTACTTACATAAAAATAGTTAATATTACGGTTTATACGTCAATAAGATAAAATAATATCATGTACATCAAGAGGCTCAAAAATTAAATAGTAAACTTAATTTCTATAAAATATACTTTTAACAAAAACTATGATAGTATGATCGTATGAATTGTTTAATTTTAATTTTCTAATATATAATAATAAATTTAAATACGTACACTAATTTAATTATTTAATTATAAAAATATTTACATGTATAAAGTAGTTGAAGTACGTAACTAGTAGTTAAAGAAAAATTAATATTTTATTGAATAGTAAAGTATATGAAAATTTATGTACAACCAAAAATCTAATATGGTTCTATTTAATAACATTATAAAAATCATTTATTTATTTATTTATTACAACACCAATACTAGTAAATCGGTACATGAAGATCTTAGACTAACTAATACTATAGATGGGAAGGGTGACAGCAGCGAGGAAACATAAACCTTTGAGAAAAAGTGAAAAAGGACCAAACTAAACAGCATTTAATAAACGCAAAACACGGTAAAGGAAATTATTAAACCCATAAGAGGTACGGTCTTGAGGCACGTGGAACAAGGAATGGGTTCTGGTGAAGGTAGCCGGGACCCGGAAAGAGATGGTTGACAGTAGATCTGGGACATCGATGATCCCGTCAAGAAGAGAAGAGGCGAAGGAGACATCAGCTTTAATACGGCGAGAATGAAGAGTAAATGAATGAAGATTTTCATCTTAAAATAAACCCCTTTTTCCAAAACAAAAATTTAAAAAATGAATACAGCCTACAAACGTTTATTTTCTAATATTTATAATTATATTTTTCATAAAAGAAACATAAACGTAACGTATTTACGTCATAATATAGGTGAAGTGGACCAAGTGAAGAGCTTTAGATATCTAGGTAGTATAATTAGCCAAGATGGGAAATGTACTATGGAAGTAAGATCAAGGATCGCTCAAGCTAAAACGGCATTCATGAACAAGAAAAACCTATTGTGCTCCAAAAACACGAGCATAAGTATGAAGAAACGGCTGATAAGAGTTTTTGTGTGGAGTGTCACACTATATGGATGCGAATCATAGGTATTGAAGAAAGTGGAGCAAAAGTTCCTGGAAAGTTTCAAGATATGATGCTGGAGAAGAACGTTGCGAGTAAGCTGGACAGAAAGAAGAACTAACGAACATATCCTAAACGAAATAAATGAAACCAGAAAGATAATTAGTACAATAAAGGAAAGAAGATAGAATATGATTGGTCATGTCCTAAGACACGAAGAAGAGCTTCTGTATATTATAACAGAAGGAAATATAAATGGAAAAAGAAATCGAGAACGACCAAGAACGTCTTACATCAAAAGGATGATTTCCGACACTTAAAACCACAAAAATTGTTGGTTTATGATAAAATGATTACCCTGTATAATATGGCTGTGAAACAGAACTAGCTACGACAGTAAATATATTATAGTGAATTGAAATGAAGTGTGATATCACAAATGGACGGCTGTATAAAGCGTATATAAAATAACGAAAACGATTAGTAATTTCCAGTAATTTATTTTTATGTTTCTTAAGTATTTATCTTACAACAAAATCAGTCCGCATCAGTTGCTAATCAAGTGTTACATAGTGTAAATTGTGAAGAGCATGTCATACGAAATTTTAAAAATTTACTAATAATATTTTAATTATGAACTCCATAAATGGTTTATGATTATAATAATCTATTTTTATTATTCTAAAAATTTGACTTAACACTTAACACATATATATAGAGTAAATTGTTTATCATGAATAAACAATTTTCTCGAATGATTTTAAGTGAATTTGATTTTTGTTTTTTTAATTACTGTGATTAATCAATAGTTTAAGCTTTATTTTAAAATAATTTTTAAATATTTACCACTACTATATATATCTGAAATAAGTACATACTTTTGTTTTTCAAATAGGAAACTCATTAGGAAAATATTACTGGTCCATGATAAAAAAAAATCACTCTGTACATAGAGTGGTCCTTATTTTATCAATTTATACATTTCCTTCGGGAAACCCGCCTATTTTGTGCAATCTAATTAAAAAAATAAAATTGAAATTGACAAAATAAAGAGCACTTAAATATGTATGTCATCACAATTTAATAATGCTTATAATATCTCGCGAGTGTCACGTCCTCTTAAGAATATGGCTAATATTGGAGTTTTGATGAACTATAATAATATGATTTGCCTTGTAACTGCAATATTTGTGTATGCGTGATAAAACACCGACAAATAATTTAAATAATAAATTTTGATGCCATGTATGCGAGAAATGAAAACGGGATAATCAGTACAATGGGTTTGAAATTAGAATAAAGTCTTAATGTACATGCGTGAGGTAAGAGTATGGTGGAAACAAATTTGAGCCATTAACGTTCAGAAAAATAAATAAGTATAATAAGTAAGTACTTATCTTAGGACATTTAATAGTTTGAAGTAACATATATAACGAGTTTTTGTTTTTAAATTTAAATATTCATCTTTTAACCAGATTTAAGTATCAACCTATACCTAAAATCGGAAATTCCGGGTAATTTTTTTATTATTAACATATTATGAATAATTATTATATCACAGTTGACGAACACGTTTTAGTATTTTTTAATATTAAAATAGAATAAAAATAATCAATTTGCAATTAACATACACGGTAAAAGTTGTTGGAAATTGAAATGGATACAAATCATCATAATCTTTATCATAATACTTTATGTACGTATATAGTACCCTATACCAGTATTTCTCAAACTGGGGGGTCACCAACTAATTATTTAGGGTCGCCAAACATATAAAATTTTGGGTCACCATGCATACAATTTATATTTAAAAGTTGCTAAAAAGTTAAATATTCATTTAGGGGTCACGACGGTTAAAAGGTTGAGAAACACTAATCTATATTATATTATTATAATAGAAAAAAAATTAGTTAGAAACCTTATCGTATTCAGTTTATAATATTTATATGAACACATGCTCGTATTATTATATGGAAAGAAATTATGATTTTTTTTTAAATTATTTGATATTATTAAAATATTAACTCAAACTTATAAGTTATAAACTAAACTTATAAACATGAGTTTTACCACATAGGTATATTTGAAATCAATAAAAATTATCGTATAAGATAATATTCTATTGTATTATATTATATTACATTATATTATAAGGTTTTCATAGGTATATATGTAAAATATAATATAACCAAAGAAAATATAACTTAAGTTCATTTTATGAAAAACTTGTTACTTTTATTATACTATGTACCTAGTATTATTCTTATATTTATAATCGCGAGTATATTATAACAGTATGTATATTGCAGGTAATGTCAATAATTATTTGAGTTTGATTCCATATTAAATTTGTTTATTAAGAAGGCAAACTTTTTTTATGTTATTTGATCGAGCACTGATAATGTAATAGTGTAAGTGCACTATAAATAATTATTTTTGTTTCACCTGCGTAAATGGCAAGTTATCGTAGAAAAACATTACACATTATAATATTATTATAGTATATCGATAAAAACACTCAAAAAGTTCAATTATTGTTCTATAATAGATAATATCATGGTCGTAGGATATGAAGTGAATATTTAGTAGATACAGAAGAAGGACTTTTTACGTAGTAAGTATCTCAAAATATTAACATTATAATGAGCAGGTACTTATTGTTAGTGGGTCACAATCTAAAAAAAAGTTCCGTCTTACCCAAAACTGAACGATAAATTTAACGTCACAATTTGAACTATAATATTTTTGTACGCATATATACATTATACATATATAGAACAATGACATTTGGTTAGATACAGATTCTGTCAAAAGTACTCCATACATAATAGTATATGGGTCAGCTGGGAAAAAAAATTAAAAAACTTGAACTTGATGAGTATAATACAGTATATATAAAGAAAGTTTAAAAGTGTGCGGAGTAGTGTACTAAAGTATTATTGTCCTGTTATTCTACATTCCTTATCTAAATAGTAAATTAATAAAAAATTGTTCAATATTCGATATTTGTACACTGAAATGTTCAGAAAATAATTTGGCGTCGCGGACAATAACGTGTTAAAACCATACAGCTGACGTTCGAAAAAAAAAACTAAAAACTGAAAATATATATAAATTATAACATGCTAATTGCGGTAAATGAAACCTTATTATTTAAAAAAAATAAATATCTTCGATAGATCTTGAACGCTTTTGATAGAAGTGCTTTAAAATCTCCAAAAATAAACGATTAGTTCAACAAGTACCAATTATATAATATAAATACTAAAAAGTACTTATAATTCGAGTATACATACAGTATTTATAGCAATATTTGTTGTTGTAATTACAGGGATTAAATTGGTATGTATTGGCTGCAGTATTAAGTATTAAACGTTTCCGAAAAATGAATCATACATTTTATATGCCTATAGCTATATATATGTAGTATCAATAACAAATAAAGTAAATTACTAATGAACTTTTTCCATGTATATTTTGTATAGTTTTGTATGCGTATAGAATAATCAATTGTCATAAACTCATTAACATTATTTATTATGTACAACAGTACAGTTTTAAAAAAATGTGTACACTTACCTATAAATAAAATATTTAAAAAAAAGTTTGTTTGCTATTATACTGTTGTTACGTAATGTTGTTATTGTAATTCGTAAAAAGGTATAACCTAACTTCTATTATGGGATATTGTAACAAATAAATAAAAAATACAACACAAAATATAAATTCATACTCAACTGAGTAAAAATATTTAATTTAAATTATGGACAATACGATTTTTTTTTGATATTTTCTGATTGTAATTCAATAATTCTACAAAACATAATATTAAAAACAAAAACCACACTTCGCACGGTGGATAAGCCACTGTTGTGGGTGAGAATTTGAAAAGATAGGATACAGAGGGGAATTCAATGTGAATCTATACGCAAGGATTAATCATTGCTAACGAAAAACGACTCTGAACGGATCTTGGTCAATATTGTTTCGTTTTCAACAGTATATTCTACTATGTCATATTATAGTAATATAATTCTATAATTTTCAATAGTCATACATTATGATGCATAATTTTTTGCTAAAACGATTTTCGTCAAAATTTGATATTAAAATTGTTATTAATAAAAAAATATTCCATTTAATTCAATTTTAGACTCTGAGTGAAGCAAGAAATTTATTGGTTTTACAATGACATTTATTTTTTGTTTACTGTGTTTAAAGTTTCTACCAGAAATCCTCCTCCGATTTTAATAATTCTATCAATTTTATCAACAGAATACCTACCATATAAAAATTATGTAAAAACTCACAAAATTTAAATATCTATAACAGCCTAAAAATAGCTAAAACATTTTGAACATTTTATCACGTCAAAAAAAGGCAAATTAAGTTTTTTGGCTAAATTTAAAAACTCTACAAATATTTTTAACTAATTAACAAAAAAAAAAAAAACAAAATAATAAAATCAATATTTTCGTAAATTTTCCTGTTCGTTTTACGTTTTTAGATTCCGAGCATAGCGAGTTGGTTTTCTAAAAATTTTTTTTTTTTTTTTTAGCCTGTGGACACGTTTTTTACTAATAAAGTTGCTCCAATTTTTACGTTTAGCAACTTTTCTGAAAGCTCAAGTTGTCTAGATTTTACTTTAAAAGGTCATTTTTTAATTTTCTGATTTTCTTTTTTGACTTAAATAAAAGCACTTAAGTGAGAAAAATCATAGGAAAACGTACAATTTCAGGATTTCATTATTTTATAAAAACACAAACGACGTTTTCTACCAGAAAAAATAATTTAATCGAAAAATCACAAGATACTTTTTTTGTTGTATTCTTAATTTACTTTCTTATCGTGTCATTGCCAAAACTTTTAAGTTTTTAAGGAATTTTATTTTTTAGGAGGTTTTTGCTGTAATTCGGTTATAAATACACGTAGAGACATGAAACTTGGTTATAATATTTATATTGGACTTACCTAGGCATGGTAAAATTTCCAAAATCATTCAACGACTTTTTTTTTATCAGCGTTTTGAAATCAAATTTAAACGAAAATCGTAAAAAAAATTACGGCTCTTCAAATTATATATTACCCAACTGCGCTCAAAATCGCCTTTCGTTAAGCAATGGTTTATCGTTACTTACAGATATAATTGAAATAACCTTATGTATCCTACCTTCACAACTTCCCACCTACAAGAGTGGCCGCTCCCATCCCCAGTATTAGCTCTTTATTTTTAGTTTTGTTTAATTATTAAAAACAATATTGGGAAAATCGAAAAATGACTTTCTTATTTACCAACAAGATAAAAAATGCAACAAAAAACATCAATTATTAATTTTCTATTGGGGCAAAGTTTCTGGTTAGAAACAAAAAATTAACAATCAAATATAATGAAGTCGTAACGCCATACATTTTTCATTTTTTCATTTTATGTTTTTCTCCGGTTTTCCTAATTTTTATGAAAACTACTAGGAAAATTTAAAAAAATACTTTGAGAGATACTAGATCCAAAATTGGTAAAAAAAGAAGTTTTGTCATTTTTTGACTGAAGCACGATTTTTAGTAGAAAATAAGTTACAAAAATGTAAAATCATGAAACCGTTACACCATAAATATTTGTCCGTTTTCCTACATTTTTTCCCAATTATTATGAAAATCGCTTGGAAAATGAAAACCTAGTTCTAAATCAAATAACCTAGTTAAATAACTTACTAGATAAAATTTCCTTTCAGAAAAATTGCTACACTTGATACATCGGAACAAGATTTCTGGTAGAAATTTTGTACACAGTATAAAAAAAAATGAAAATAAATAATATCATTGTAAAAACAATAAATTCCTCACTTCCCTCATAATCTAAAAAAACTAAGATAGTAAATTTGATAGGTTGGTAGACTGTATACGTAATAATAAAGACTATATCCCCTATATCCATGCACTACTAGAACGATAAAATATTCAGAACTTAAGAAAGTAAAATTTGTCGGGTGATTTTTATCCCAAAATTTGATATTAACTCTAAACGGTAGAGAAGGTAATTAAATTACATTTAATAATGTAATTGTAATTACAGGAGAAATTATGTATTCTTATAGGTATTGCCCCAGTCATAGGTTTCATAAAAGGTCAAATAAGGGTTACAAATATTACAATGATTCGGACACGTAATGCACAGAAAGTATAATATTGATGTATAGATTATTTTTTTCGTCGTTTTGATAAAATAAATTTAGATATCTACATTGTTATACAAAAATTTACAAATTATTATCCATTCTGTTGTCACAACAACTGTCTTACTAGTGAAATAATGCATAACATAGTATCTAATTATATAACATAAACTAAATAATTTAAAATTAATAATTTTTTTTTTATTTAACATATTCTCATATGAGCTAAATTTGTAAAGAAATTGAATTTAAAAAGAAATTATAAAACAATATTTAAACGATTCCACAAAAATAGTGTAATAGAGTCTATAACGATAAATAAAATTACGTAATAAAAAAACGTGTTAATATGCAACGAGTTAATTGTTAATTTCTTAAAATATTTTAGGGATATCGATTTGATTTATAACCTAAGTTTTAGAAACTATTGTTTTTCTTTTTTTTTTAGTACTGCCAGTTAACATATAATTTAAAACATAAGCTCGTTATTCAGATTATATAATTATACATTCAGTTCATGAGTTTTGAACCCAACAAACTCATAATTAACCAGTACTCGTGGAGTACTGAAGATGACTAGATTATTAATTTTGTCGTATTATATAACATAGTAACTGACAACAGTAAAATTATAAAATAGTATAATATTTTACATATAATAAACTAGAAATCGAATTATATTTTTATATTAATCCAAAATAATTATCGTTTACACGCTGAGTCACTACCAAGATATTAATTTAAGATGTCCATACAATAAATTTATAAATCAAATTCAAATGAATAAAGCGCAAATTTAAAAAATGTATACTTCAGAATAATTATAATTATAGTGAAATAAGTAAAATAATAAATTAATCGAGTAGGTTCCTCAATATTAAGAAACTATGCAATATTACAATTTGTCGGTACTTAAACCTATATTTTAACACGTAACAATACAATTCGATGTATACTTACAAACAATAATCGTACATAAAATAAAAAAATATAATAAAGGATATTCGCACGAATACAAAGAATATTTTAATCAACTATTGAATAGTGAATCCAATGATTAGGGTTAGATGATGACGAAACTGAACCCTCAACCACAGTGTGGAAAATGAAAAAGCCGTATTGAGTAGAAATAGGTATAGTCGTTGAGTCATTTAAAAATAATAAAGCTGCAGAAGACAGAATATACGGAGAATCGCTAAAGCTGGGAGGACCTAGTCTAGCTAATGAAACAGTGAACTTAAATATTTTCAGAGGCAAGAATTTTTTTCCAATACCCACCTACCTATTGACGAATCAACGAACCACCCATTGACTAATATACATGGAGATTCAACACCGAATTTTTATCGCTTTTTTCAAAATTGCCATAGAAGTAAACCCTTTAAAAAACTCCAGAGGCGACCGCCTCTTAATTACCCCCTTTAGCACGCCACTATAATGAAATAATCAAACTTATATCTTTCATAAAGCATAAAGAGAAAATTCCGGTTGAATGAGGAATAACAATTATTTGCCCAACCTAATCTTATCAAGGCGGATGAAAAACTAGATATATTATTCTTATAAGTAGGGTACAAGATATTGTCTTTGTTCATCTTAAGAAGAATGTAAGAGACATGAAGCACATAACTAGGAACTATCAATGTGGCTTCAGGAGGAAAAAGTCTAAAACAGATTACCTATATGACTATACATTTAAGAGATGATGAAGACGAGTTAGACTTGAAAGTTGATGGAATATCCATTCAACAAGTACAAAACTTCAAATACCTTGGGATTAATATAAATAACAGAAACTGTATAACTGTATATATAACTTCGCTTGAAAACTAGAAATAGATGTTACTTTGCCATGACACGTGTTTAAGTCAAAACTATTTTCAAATAAAACCAAGGCAATAATATATTATACGATCTCAGACCAGCTGTGTTGTATGAGTGAAGAACCTGGACTACAACTTCAGAAGATAAAAACATAGTAGATTAAATATTTTTTATATAAGAGTGTTAAGAAAAATATGTGAACATATGTATAACCCTGATATTCAAGTTTGGAAGCAAAAGACAAACGAAAAGCTGAAACAATTTTACAAAAAGGAAATATAGTACAATTTATAAGGGGTGCAAAACAAAACTGGATTGAGCAGACCACATTTGGGGAGCCGAAAATAGTATAAATAATTAAAATAGTACTCGTAAATAAGAAAAGACCAAGTGCTCAACCGAAAGAACGGTGGTTGGATGTGATGTAGTGATTTAGATATAATGAATCTGAGATAAGAATGGAATAGAGACCTAAATCATTTATATAACAGGGAAGAATGGAAGAAATTAGCATTAACTGCAAATAGATACTGGGGATAGGTAAAGCCACTGTTGTAAATGGATAGTTGGGAAGGTGGTATACATATAGTTATTTAATTTTAAATCATTGATAAAGAAAAATGATTCGGAGAGAGGTTTGGTTATACATGTTTTGAAAGGCCGTCATAGTTAAGATTTTCATCAGAATTAGATTTGAAATTCTTATACACAAAAAATAATATACCTACTACATATCTCAATTTATTTTTGACCACTAATTACGACTTATAATATACCTCTTGTTAAATTTTCAAGCATTTCTGTTTAGTCTAACAGTTGTATCCACAGAGTATCTACCAAATAAAATATACACACTAAACTCGCTGAATTAAAATGTCTATACTGAGTTCGAAAATGACTCTAATTTTTTGAAAATTTCACCACGTCTAGAAAAAGCAAATATAAGATTTTTCTCAAAATTTCAAGTCTCTACGGATATTTTAAACTGAATTACATTAAATAAACTAAATATATCAGTTTTCATTAATTTGACTTTTTTTTAACTATATGATTATAGTCTATATTATAATAATATTATATATATTATCCATAGATTACATACATACACTATAAGTCATAACGTATTTAATAAATAGTTTTTTTTATTATTATAAAGATGTGTGTTTTTTTTCTTCTTATTATTGTTTTTGAAGAAAGACAATAAACTATAATCATATAAATTGTATTATTCTTGATAATAGTGGAATTATATAAATAAGTATACTTTATTCAAATAAATTAAAACAAATTAACTAAGGTTGGTACAAAGCAAGTATACAACTAAATATATATAATTAAATAACTATAAACCATTAATTAATAAATATTATATGTATTAGACATTATTAGTTCCTTTATGAAGTTTAAATCGGTAAAGAATCAGTTTTTATTTATATTTAATATAAAAAAAAATTGAGACTATCTTTATCTCATATCTAAATAATTGTAAATTGTATTTATTTTTACCTGTATTTAAATAAATTTATATAGATTGTTTATATCATATAGAAACAAATATTTTGTTTACGCCACCAAGTCTTGGTGAAAATACAAATTCACGCGTAGCGATTTAAATTATAAATAAAACAAATTTTAAAACAAACAAAATATTTACGGTACCTATGATATTTATATAGGCACCTATAATAGGCTACAAAAAAAATTCAAACCAAATTTCAATATATTGTTTACAAGTCTAATCGATTTCTTTTTTTAATTCAATTAATATTAATTGGATAAAACTATAAAAGAAACATCGATATTATTATCATGTCGGTTTTTTTATTATTAGTATTATTATTATAATTCATTTACGAGGCGATTAAAATAAATAATGTTAAACGTACTTTTTTTTATTTATAATTTTAGGTGTAGCGATCAGAAAATCAGATGTAACTACTTGAATTACTCAGCAGTGATTTTGGTTTATCAATATTGCTGCGACATTGCGGGATTTTTCAAATGTGTTCTTAATTGTTTTGATTTACTATAATATTTTTATTTCATCATATTACATAGATGGCGGACGTCTGTCATACAGTTTAACATAATGCAATTATTAGTAGTCTTTACAAATTATAGATTATTAATAAAATAAGGATTATACTATAGTGATTTAATTGTCAATTCGCTACATTAATGGTTTATATTATTAGAACACGTTAAACATTTTGTTCTCATTATAAACTATTCGAATATAAAATGGGACATTTTTTGGTAAAATTGCAAAAATAAAATCTGCCTGAATAGCATATTCGCCAAATATTATTAAAAATATTAACTCGATTGAAAAATAATGCCGATCATCATTAAAAACAACAGACGAAGCAGTAAACGATTAGTTCTGATACAATATGTTTAATAAATATAAATAGTACTTATAAGTACTTTAGTAGGTAGTAATAATAATTCCGTGGTTAATTCAAAATGATAAAATATTTCTATATACGATATCGCATAATATTTTGTTTTACGTAGTGTTAAGGTTATCGCGAAAATATTGCCCTCTTAAATAAGAACTAACAAAAAAAGGATGAACATACTTCGCACGCGGGTGCAGCCATTTTTATAGGTGGGAAGTTAGGAAGATGGGATACAGACGGAAATTGAATGTATATCTGTAGGTAACGATAAACCATTGCTAACGAAAAAATGAAAAAAGTGTTACTTTGTCAACTATATATAAAGTCATATTATGATAAAATGGTTACAACAATATGCATTTCCATGACAACAATGATTGTTGAAAAAATATTATTAAAATAATACAAATTTAATAATAACAAAAAATAAATAAAAACAGTTGCCTATGGCAACGTTATTTTTAATCTTTCAATCTTTTTTAACCTAAAAAACCAGGGTTTCTTCACTATCTCGAATATTAATGAGCATTTTAAAAAAGACCTCATTAAAGTACCACCCAGAGAAGATTTCTTTTCAAAAAAATGTGCTATACTTGATAAACAGAGTAAGCTTTCTGGTAGAAAAAATGTTCACATAAAAAAAAATAAAAAAAAGAAACATTGTAAAACCAATACATTCCTCACTCCACTCAGAATCTAAAAATAATAGGTATTAACTTAAAATAACTGGTAACGAATTCTTATATAAATCTCAATGTCAACTTTAGGAATTTTTTAAATTTTTATTGACAACGCGTTTTATAGGTAATAATCATATTTTACAGTTTATATTAATTACCTATTAATTAGTTAATACATTAGTTAATGCTTGGTCTTAAACACTGTCACTATGCAGAGGTATCATATTTCATAGAGGAGAGGGGGGCATAAGCACCTATAAACCTATTATTATATTTATTTCCGTAATGTTCAAAAATAAAACTTAATTGATAAATTAAACAGGAATGAAATTTCAAAATTTCTATATTTAAAAGTGTTAGCAAATAAATTTAAACCTCGGAAACATACAATATAACTAATTTAAATTTATATTTTTGACTATAAAACATATTGATATTTATTTATTGATTGTTTATTATTTTGTATTACTATTAATTACTGTTGTATTGGTACTGAAAAACATAATACTATTTCATCTAAATTGTTTTTTGTTTGTTTTTTAATACGTGAAATTTTGAAACAATACAATTTTTTGATATCGACTTATTACCTAATACCGTGTACTAATGCCGTGTACCTAATGCCTAGCTATGTAAAATTGTTTTTAGTTTTAAAAAAATCGAAATAAGAATCGATTCCGATACAAAAAGGTTACTACCTAAAATAGGAGGCAATTCGAGTGAATGATATTTTTGAAATAAAGAGGCAATTCGAGTAACCATTTTAAAAAAAAATTCACGAGAGGCAATTCGTATGAGCCCCTTTTTTATAGCCCATTTATGCCCAAAATATTTTTAGTAAAAATGCGTTAAAACCATGCAACATTGCCGACCTGTATGTTGGAATACGATACAATACAATAAATTACGGACTAACCTTTTATCGTATTATTTTTAGCGGTGTACACGAATTGCGTCCCAACGTAAAAACATTATTGTTCTTCCCATTTTATATATTATGTAATTATGGTAAATTGCGATGCAGTTTTGGAATTGTAGATGACCTAGCGTAATGTATATTATTACAGATTAAGGTTAAATCATAAGTTGTCATTGTTGGAATATCTCTTGATAAAGCTCCATGAATAAGTTTGGATAGTTTATCGTAAAGTTTTTTTACAGCCTTTCACTTTAAATTATTACTTAGTTACTGTCTATTAAATAGTTCAGCAGAATCTTAGATATGATTATGATCATTTGTACGTACTATAATTTCATTTTTATCATTTAGTTTAATGTATGACTTACACGTTTTTGTACAATTTTAACGTTGAATATCGTTTTTCGATATTTTATGATAACGAAATTTGAATCCATCTATATTAAATAAAATTTTATTTTTTTTCACTTAAAATCACTGAAGTTATTTTATGCGAATACGATTTATTAAGAAAACTAAGAACACAAGAACGTTTAGGATCCACGATCCAAACCATTTTTAGGTCTTATGTTACACCCTTATCGATATTAGTATCGATATATTGGTCAATTTTATCTCAATTGCGCTTCATGACAGTTCTTTCTGCGAATGCTTTGAGCAATAGGAACGTTACACAAATGACAAACGAAAATTTCACGTGTATAAAAATGGACAAAATATTTAAAAAAACAAGTATTACTAAAAACAATCAATGTTTAATTTTTTTGTAAATTTAAAATCCACTTCAGTAGAAATTTGGTTTTGGGATACATAAGTTGGCGTTACATTAAAAAAAAAACACGAGCATTTAATTATAACGTTACCGTTGTATGCGAAATCGACGCATACAGGCTATACATTGGCAAGGAGTACCTTATCTATCGGGCGCATCTGACCACATCCCTCAGGGCGCAAATTTTCTACAAAGAAATACGATGTAAAAGCAAGAACAAAAGATAAACTTTTTTTAGATTCGGAGCGTAGCAAGAGACCTATTGATTTTACTATGATATAAGGTTTTTTTATATTTTTTCTGTCTGTAGACAACTTTTGAAAATATATCTTTCTCCGATGTATAGAGTATAGTATTTTTTCAAAAATAAAACTATATTCAAACTATTTATTTTATAAAGATAAATAAAACATGTACGTATTTCGTAGGAGTAATTCCTCCCCACTACAATAAATATCTAGCGCGCAGTGCATTTATATCCCCCCTCTAAAACCAGAAATAAATTCTAAATTGCGCCATTTCTCCTATGTACACTGTGTATCAATAATGTAATATTATAAATATATAGAAAATATATTATTTATCTGTAAAGCTTTTTGTCTTGCATGACCTCGAAGATAAATAATATCATTAAAAATACCTTTTGAATTTAAAAACAGTACGAAATATGGTTATGGTACCGCAAATGTCCCAAGAGAAGTTAAACGAAATTACGCCATATAATATTATGGAGACAAAATATTATATATAAAATACAGTATTGAGTAGATATATGCACTCTTCCTCCATCATACCACATCAGTTTCCAGACTTAAAATTATTAATTATAACTTCAATAATATCTTATGTCTAATATATTATTTTGTACATCGATATTTTTAGACGAATAAATAGGTACCTATCAACAAGGCCGTATCTAGAAAGGATGTAGGGGGAACTAATACCTCACAAAATCAAAAGTATCGTTTCTTATGTTTATTTAAAGTGGATAAATAAATAAATTACTAATTTTTAATTACGACATTGGTGACACATAAAGAATGTATACAATCTGTAGTACAATGTAGTACAATCTTTGAATACCTACAGATCTAGTTTTTATTTTTAATTAAACGACGAAACATTTGAATTATCATAAAAGTAATATTTAAAACATTAATTAAAAATATTAAATTGGTTCGGAATGAATTAATAATTATAGTAGGCAGGTACCTAATTAGGCATACCATTTTATAGATAGATAATTGTTATCATACTTTAAATACAAAATGTCAAGTAAATATTTCAATAAAAATATCGTGTTATTGTTACCTACCTACCTAATTTATATTATTTTGACAACACTAAGCCATTAGAGTATTCGTAATTTAAATTATATTACCTGTTGTGTCTTGAAGCGAAAATCACGGCGTATGAAACAATTTGTATTTTGATTGGGGAATACTTTATGTTGGAACGAATTGTCAACAACGAATAACGAACATATTATTATTATTATTTTTTTTTTTTTTGTTGATATTGTGTAAAAGCCAATTTATTACAATTATAAATATTGTTGTCAAAAATGTCTATAGTGATAAGAAGCTCGGTGATAACAGGAGACCGTGATTAAAGTACAGAGGTTTCTACACACAGACCTCGTATATTGTGCGATTTTAGCACTTGGCGGCAAGTAGACCGCGGTGGTACCTACACAAGGTCTGCGAATGTCGTGTTGGGAATAATTTACAATTATTAATAATCACGTACGGCCATGAGACCGGAAAACGCATAGTCCGAGTCCACCAGCGTCAGCTGTGTAACAAAACACGAGCATTTATAGACACACTAGACTGACGTGTAAATATTATTATTGCGGACACAAAAAAACATCCAACACACGACATTTACACTCGATTGCGCCATGAATTATCATAATAGAATAATAGAACGGTGGTCATGATAAGAAATTGGATTTAAAGTGAAACGTCAAACTCACTTAGCCCAAAGTTCGGTCCCGAATATGATTAGCGTCTAGTCGACCCAAAAGTAGGTTCGTGTAATTATACGTATAATATACTGCGATAAGTAACTGCCGGATTTCAAAGACATTGTCGCCGATCGGATTTTGTGGCGGTTAGGTTTAATAATAATACTCATATAGCTGCAAACAATATAACATTTCCTATAAAGAAACGAATGCTGCGTGATAATGTCCATAGACAAGTATTTGCACCTGATAGTATTGTTAAAATTCCGAACGCGACGGCGCGGCACGGCCACGGTCCACGGGCATAAGGTGAACAGATGGATGAATTCCCGAGCGACGTGGAGGAAACGGCTATTGCCACCTCTATCCGCGGGCATGTCGACGTCACCTGGGTTCACACGGCAATAACCGGCCCGCCATTGATAAGGCGGTGGTGTGACGTAGCTGCATATAGCGCGTATCAGAGTTATTCTGACTTACCTGCGTGTTCTATGTCACGGTTCACAATTTTGTTTTGATATTTTGAAATGATTTTTCGCCCGAGTGTATTGGCATAGGAAATAGGTGTCTGGTGTACGTTTAGTCGCGTTTTGCCGGATTTGCACTAGCTGCAATTAATAATTATATTCACATTAATAATTACAAATTATTACATTCTCAAACTTTTATCAATTATTATTGTTACGGTTTTTTTTTTCAACTAATTGTATTTCTTTTTGTTTGTTTTTTTTTTTTTGTTATTTTTCAGTTTTCTTTTTTGTTACACATTTTCGTTTTGCCATTCGAATGCGTTTGCAATGAACGGAATGTCGTTCAGCGAGTTAATGTACTTATTTTGTTGTCCCCCGTTGCCGTCCCGAATCGCCGCCAAACTAGCTTTTTTACCGCCGCCGAGTACTTATGACTTCACTCCCGTGGAGAGTGGTGAGAGCAAGTACCATATCAAGTTCAACGACAAGGCCGAATGGCAGTATTCGGATAGCGACGTACAGAACATCGAGGGATTCTATGCGCGGACATCTCGCGGTAATCGCATAGCTTGTATATTTGTTCAGTGTTGTCCCAACGCTCGTTACACCATATTGTTCTCACACGGAAACGCTGTAGACTTAGGTCAAATGAGTAGCTTCTACTTGGGCTTGGGTATGAGGATCAACTGTAACATTTTCAGTTATGATTATTCCGGTTATGGCATCAGTAGTGGTAAGCCGACCGAAAGGGATTTATACGCAGACATAGATGCTGCTTGGCAAACGTTAAGGACAAGCTACGGCATTAGTCCTGAAAACATTATATTGTACGGACAAAGTATTGGTACCGTGCCTACAGTCGATTTGGCGTCCCGTTATGAAGTGGGAGCTGTAGTTCTACATTCGCCATTGACGTCAGGCATCAAAGTAGCATTTCCCAGATCCAAAAGAAAATGGTTCTTTGATGTATTCACCAGGTATTATAATATATTGTTTTTAAATTTCAAGTATTTAATTACTTTAATTTTTAGATATATTATAATTTGCAGTACCTATAATATATTTAAACAGTGTCATTTAAATAATCACGATTCATTCACCATTATTCACTTGTTTAGTTAATTTTTTAGTAGGAAGGTACATTATTTTACCATATGTACCTATTGATATCTAATCAAAACACTTATAAAATTATGAACCATTTAAATTCAATGTGTTTATAGTGAAACAATAAGAAGTATTTATTAAATTTGTATAGCCAAATGAAATAAGTAGGTATGTATAATGTTACTATGTTGAACAATTGTGTGCTTACATATTATTCTATCTATATACTCAAGTTGTTGATATATTATATAATATTATAACCATTGACGTTTTATAATTTTCAATTTCAATACAAATCTACAAACATACCCTTTGTTATTTATAATAAACAATATAATATATATAGCCACACCCTGTTTTATTATAACTATGTGTTGTACCAGTGTGTGCCTATCTGCATTTTATTATTTTTTAGTAGTATAATGATGAAGGGTTATAATTTATATTGCTAAACGAATGTGTGTGAACAAGTGGATCGTGTAGACAACAATTGGTTTGCTTGTTTATGCTATACCTATACTGTCTGGTGTAATTGAACTTGGAAGCTTAATTTTTAAATAATTAATTTTAAACACATATATTGTAAATTATTTATTTGAAAATAATGTATTTAATTGTGCTACCTACTATAATTTTTAAACTTTAAAAGTTATAAATATTATTTGTATAACATAAATATATTTTTTTAAATTTAAATTGACTAAGTATTATCAAACATTTAATCTTTAGGAAGTTAATAAGTACTTAATATTATATTTGTCAATTTGAACAAATATAATCAAAAGTTAATAAATTAATAAAAAGTATCTTAACTTACATTTTCAAAATCTTATACTTTACATTTAAAACTATCCATTTTTGTTTTATTATTATTTACCATAAAATATTAAATTCATTAGGCATTAATATAATTTTAAATTTTCTCTAAATTAGTTTTATAAATAATGACATATTGTATGCATTTGAGCAGCATTAAGTATAGGTATAACTAGGTTTTAATTGAACATATAAGTAATACTCATAGGTCATAATTTACTACTTATACCTATTTAAATTTTAAATAATTAAATAGTAAAGTAAAAATTATTATATGGTTAATACTCGTAAATAAATACATTAATTAATTAATGTGTCGCCTGTAGTATTATGATATGTGTATTGTATGATCCGCTTCATATTAAAAATTAATTTGTCATCAGGTAAAATCACAAAGTCAAAAACTAGATAAAATGCGACTTAATATGAAAAAATAAATGAAGGAATACATAGAGAAAAAATTATACAAATTGGTAGTTTTTCTTAAATAAAATTTATAAAGACTGCCCCTAATTCAAATTTCACTAAACATATTTAAGAACATAATATCATAATAACCATAATATAAGTTTTGATTTTAATACACTTAAAAATATTAAATACCCAAAATAAAATTTACATTAATTCAGTTTTAGAAGAATTACACATACATTATGAAATAAAGAAAAATAATTTTAATAATTTTTTAAATGTACAAACCAATTTTAAAAACATTATCTTATATCAATATATTTTAGATAACAAATAATAATCAAATAACTTACATTTCTTAAAATATCTGTCTCATAATTGCTCATTTTAAATAATCTCTCTTATTAAAATAAATTATTTCTATGTAGAACGACCAATTTGTAAAATATTTTCTCTATGTATTCCACCATTTATTTTTTTCATATTCAGTCGCATTTTATTTTTTAACTTGACGATAATAATACACATATCATAATACTCCAAGGGTAAAATTTATTTATTTATTTATGTTGTTTTAAGTTATATTTTTAGATTTGTTAAAGTTTTGTATTTTATATTATAATATAATATTTTATTGGTATTCTATTAAACCGTATTAATTTTAATAGTTTATAATTGAACTCTATAAAAAACATGGACTATATTTAATTGATTATTAAAAAATAATACGTATTAGTCATAGACTAAAGCTAGGTAGTATTTTAACCTTCAACATAACTAAAAAATAAAAATATGTATGCTTTTGATCCCTCTTTAGATCGTATACATCAATTTGTATGATCTTTGTCTATATCACAATGTATAAACATCGTTAATTTTTTTTATTGAACCAAATGTTTATTATAGTGATATTCAGACATTTTTAGACTGTGGTAAATTATATTTTTATACAGAAAAAATAATGTATATAAATATATAAAAAAACAAATATGTATTAATCATAAACATGTAAACATAGAAATTATTCATTCCCAGTTATACTTACTTTAGGGTAGTTAACCGAGTTAACAAGCTTTTAATGGAAATGTAACCTACCTAAATTTATTATAATTTTTTATTTCTTAATTTATAATAAAACTTTCCGAATCACTTAAAACAATCAATATTTATATTACGTTTAAAAATATTAATATATAGATTCAAACAAAGAAGAAATTAATCAATTATTTGAAATAAAATTTTTAACTTTAAATTTAAATTTATTAAAACCATTATTATTATATTACAGCTAATATCTTACTGTTTATTTTTCTATAAAAGATAATTGTACTGTACATTATAATATTAGTCATAGACATAAGTTTTTGTTTTTTTCATAAATGTAATGAATAATTTGTGTATTCTATTTTTAGTATTGATAAAGTATCAGAAGTTAACTCTCCGGTACTTGTCATACATGGAACACATGATGATGTAATTGATTTTTCACACGGTGTCGCCATTTATGAAAAATGTCCTAAAGCAGTTCCGCCACTTTGGGTTGAGGTAAAACATATTGTTTTTAATGTTGCTACATTTTAAAAAACTATTTGAGAGTATACCCAGTATACTCGTGATTTTTAACAAAATGTTAAAAGTATATGGCGTACATGTAGTTATTCCATTAGAACAGCATTGTTTTTATAACTAGTCAATAATTATGACTAACTACAAAATAGGTTGCATTTGTTTATTGTACTCATTTCACTACTTTTTTTTTTTCATAAAACTGATGATATACTTGTATTTCAGGGTGCCGGACACAATGATGTAGAATTGCATAATGTTTATTTGGAAAGACTTAAACAATTTGTTTCAACTGAATTGCTCAACTGACATTTAATTGACAAAAAAGATGCAGACACATCGAATGGACAATCGCCCAGCACGGTAACTAATGGCTCAGCGACTGAAAAATTACTTTGGTAATTTCTCATTATTTATATATTACATGTTTATGTAATATTTTGTATCATATTAAATATTAATCGATCATAATATTTTATCACCCATTAAAACTCGTGTACAATTCTTTTTTTTTTTTAATCATTTGCTTAATCGTTGTTATTATTAAGACATGACTTTAACACTTTTCCTAAACAAGTATCTTGAAGTTAAAACAATATTTATTTATTTGTATTTATTAATTTATTTAAATATGTATGCAGGGTGATTATTTTTATCATAAACCAGCTACTATAATTTAGAACTATTAACATATACATTTAATTTAGATTTTTTTGTCATTGTGGTTCATTTAAGGCTCTTCTTTACATGTTTTTCCTATCATTCCATATATTTGAAAAAACCATCCCTATTTTAAAATTGTCATCCATATATTTTTTTTTAAATTATTAATATGGTTTTTTTTTAATTTTTATTATGTTTATAATATATTACCTAAACTAATATTAAACATAGTATATTTATTATAATTTTATTCGAAGTTTATATTTGCTAAGAAGATAATGGTTAAATGAATGTTAAATATACTATACACCATTCCTTCTGTCCAAATTTGAGTAGTTATAAACTTATAAATAATAAATGTTTGTATTGAGATTTATACATTTCAACCTTAATAAAGAAATATTATTTTTTTTTAAATTTAAAATAAAATTATTTAGGTAATATTTGAGAGTTAATATGTAATTATGATTCTTAAACTATTCTTTAATGGCTATAATAAAACACAAATAAAATTTACCTAACATTTTCTAGCTTACACTAATATAATAATAATCATTCTGTGTACATGTATAAATATTAAAAAGTGCATATAATATACCCATATTATATTGTATTACTCTTGTGTATTATAGTAATAAATAATGTATCAGTGTTTTTTTTTATCAAATTATTAATCTATTGTATATTTATTTATTTTTTTTTTTTTATAGGTTCTATTTTGATTAGGTTTATAAATTATATTATACAGGTTTAAATATATATATATATATATATATATATATATATAAAAAAAAAAAAAAAAACTATTATTATTTCAATACAGTAGAGTACCTATTAACCGAATTAATAATTCTTAATATTGTGTAAAATGTGAATATTTTTATCTTCTTTAAAAACATTAAGTAAACATATTTTAATATAAATTTCTTATGGATAACCACTAAATTATTAGGCTAGCAACCACTAAACCTATTATAGCTAAAAGTAGGTGCTCTACTGTTGAATTATCTTTATAATATACTATTACTAAGTTTGAATTTAATATGCAAATTACTAATAACAGATTTTTAAGTTAAACTCTAGATTTGATTATAATATTTAAATAATTTTATATGATTATATTGAGTGTTTTTTTTTTTTTTTAAATTATTTTAATTTAAAAAATACATGTTAAATCGAACAAAACAAATATTTTTTACAGGCACATTGTTTTATATGATGTCTTTTTAATTGAAACAAACATGTTATATATTATTTATATAAAATTTTAATATAATACTTTTAAAAAAAGAAAAAAAAACATAAATACGTACATTCAATTTTTTGTGGCCTTATAATATAATATTTCATGTATTCTTCGTTAGTGTAATTTGTATAAAATTAAACATCGTTTCTCAAAACTTGTACTGTTTGTCATTTAATACAATTTGTTTAATATTGATTGTGTAGACTGATGATAGTAACAATTTAATCTGTAATATGTATTCTAAGTATATATTATGTGTAAAATATAAATATTATAACTAATTAATATAAATCACAAAATAAATAAAATTCATTTTAAATTATTTATTTATTTAAATTATAAACTCTGGACATATCAATAATTAATAATATAATGTTATTTGTTATTATGAGTGAAAATCTATAAAATATCAATTCTTTACCAACAAAACAGTGACATTACTTTAAATTATAATTAATCACATAAGTTAAATAACAATGTTTTCAATCTTAACTTTATTTGATCTTCTGTTTTTTACTATTTATATTTCTATTTTGGTACTTTTTTAATGCTGCTATATGTTTTTTTTTTTTTTTGCAGAATATGATTATTTTATATTTTAAAGAATCAATTTTCCTAAAAACAAATAAACTAAAGAGTAAAATGAATTTAAAAATATTAATATTAAAGAGTATCATCAAAATTATTACAATAGAAGTACACCACCCATAATCCATTTTTATTAAAATATTTATTTGATTCAAATGAATCTTTAATTCTTTATTTTATGGAGCTTATTATATTACATACAGGGTCATTATGGGATTAATAAGGTACATTAAATTTGCATGTTTCCTTTTCCCTTATTATAACTTAACATTTAAATGACTTTGTATGTATACATCTAATATGTACAATAATACTGAAATATGAATTATACATATTATATTAGGTTTTCATGTTCTAATTTGGATAGACTAAATCTACTAGTTTTGTTTTGAAGTAGTTTCAAAATACATAATAGATAGTTATGGATTAGATTAAAAGTACTTTTGTAGTAGTGAATTCATATTTTTTTCAATTTTCTTGTTGGTGTTAAAATGATTTATTATATTGAGTGTTTTATGAAAATATACTATTTTGAAGTAATATAGCACTAAAATTTGGCACTAACTCTTAATACCTCACCATTAAAATTAGTAAATCTTTGTGGAACCCCTTTTATGTTTTAATCGGGTAACATAAAAATATTTTAAGACATACGCATATAATGTTTGTTACTAACATAATAATTATTTACCTATCATGTAAATTATTGTTTAAGTGGGTTAGTAAATTGTGTGTTTAAGTTTAATAAATAATAATTTTGGTATAACTTATTCATGTAATTTTATTTTTTAATATTCGTGTAATTTTATTTATTAATATATTCATGACAAACACAACTTACAAACATGATTATAATTCTTTAAAAAAAATTTTTTTTTCTTATTAGTTATTTATATTTTTTCATTATTTATCATTATCAGTATACCTCGTTTTATAATAATAAACTGGCCAATGTGATTTGCATATTCATATTTTTCATATTTTCCGTTAATTAATTGAATTATTTCATACTTTCATCCCTATATGTGTCTGTTTACACTGGTTAACTACAAAATGAAAACTGCTGTTCAGTTATCTGTTGAGTATTGAGCTATGGTGTTACGTTTCCTCCAAAGCCTAGACTTTATCCATCACTAAGATGATATGTTCCTTCATTCAATTTATAAAACATTCAAAAATCGAACAAAATCTATTCTGGAAGTAAATAGGATAGTGTTCGACAAAACTCTACAATTTAAAAACCTGACTACAACCTATTTTGATAGCCTCAACATTATCACTGTATCGTAACATCGGACGTGCATGAACATACATCGTTTGTGTAGGTAACCTGGTGGCTAGTATCATAATAAAAGTAATAATAATTATTTGGCATGTACTTACTCGATTGCTATCAAATTTTTATTACACGTTCATGTTAGTAAACATTTCCACACATATAAAGTTTAAATTTTATGTTTCAAGGCTAGGAAACTGAAACGTTAGCTGAAAAGATACAGAAAATAACGCTAAGACAACATAATCTAGGTAAATAGATAGGTATGTGATTGCAAAAGAACTACCTATACATAGGTACCTGTCATAAAGAATTAAAGGGGAAAACTAGGTATTGTTTATTAAATTTTTCATTTATTTTTCACAATTACTTTTCGAAAATGTAATTAATAGGTACGAAAATTCCTTGGTCAAGATTTTTTTTTTATTATAAGCATTTTAAATTAAAATTTTGTGAAAATCGCGGCGTATCAAAACGCGTACAGATATAAATTAAATGATTTTGATTATATAGATACTTATGTAATTTGTTTTACGTTCTAAACGCAACATCTACACACCCATCAACAGTAGGTACTTACCTATCTTTTAAAGTAAATTACGGACCACAATAATTAAAGTCTACAGTTGTATTAGGTATGCGTGTACATATCTACCGTTATACATATTATAATTTTATTATTGTTGTTGATAGTTTTGTCACCTTGTCATCGCCGTGTTAGCGGTGCCCGTCAGAAAACCTACGCGACCGTCGTGCCCATCACATACATCCAACAATATCATGTCGCGCCGAATGAAAACCACCTGTTGTACGTTTTTCGTATTAGCGTAGGCGTCAAACAGGTTTACATTTACATAGACGAGAACGTACTGTTTAGTAATATTTTATTGTTTTTGGAGACAAGTGGCTATATACAAACGGCCAAAATAGAAACTCCGGAAACTTAATCTCCCTTCTCCCCTTAGCATGTAGGCACTTTAAAAATAAGGCCTTTACTACGTTATATTAATTATAACTTGCATTAAAAATACATTATGAAAAGTGAATTTTTTTAGCACCTCCCATCATCTGATTCCTAGATCCACCCTTGAGTACCTTGCAATATGCAATCCTTCACAAACAAATTTACAAAGCTACCCAGCTAAACATGATTGCATTGCCACCACTGGTGGTGATGGTGATGAACTATGGTTGTATGCAGGGAAACAAGAAATTTTTGTCTTCTTTTATAATATTCTTATATAGCTATCTAAGTAAGAATTCTATTTAGATCGCTGAAAAGACAGGGAACAAAAATTTTCCGGGTATTCGTCCTTTCAATTATATTATGTTACCGCAAATATTGCAGTCTGCGACATATAAAATACATATTTAGAGGCGTAGATAAGAGGGGCTTAGGGGATTAATTCTCGGCCTCCTCTCCTATTTCAAATAATTTATAAGTAGTAAAATTCACCTCCATATAAATAACGTACATACTTACGTTGGTACGAATGTAAATTTACATAGTATTATATAATGGTAAATATTAAGTAAGTATAAAAATATAAGTGCGGCCTATGTTTCCGAGAAACATTAAAAAGTATTGTAGTCGTTTCTTTGATTTGGATGTATAATAATATATTAAAAAGAGCCATTTTAGGTCGTACGTACTATACGACTTCATAATATTGCATTATTATATACCTATACTGAATTTGCATTGTCGAGTCCCACGCATAACGGTGCGTGACTACAACGTCGAATGTCGTTATAAATGTTATAAATTTATGATACTTCTATTATTTTAATACATGTAGTATGCACGCACAGAAAAACGTTTTTTTTTTTTTTTATTAAAAAAAAAAAAAAGGTGGCAAAGTGCGTTACCCCGGCGCCCGTATTTAATAAAATCCACTTGCAACCAGCAGCTGTAATGATTATATTTGTTATTTTTTAATAAATTATTTAAAAACTACCTATGCCGAGAGCGAAAATGGCGATTATAATTATTGAAGTTCAAGAGGGGAATGAAATAAGTTAAAATGTGTTTTATTTTTTGTCGGAAATGTTTTGTATTTCCCAGTCTATTCGTCTCGTCAGCTAATTAGGTAATGAAAAATACGGCGAAACTCTAACACGGCTAACATGACTTGTTGAAAATATTCGCCTCTTGAGAAATTATTGCGCTACCCGTGTTTACATTTAAATATTTCTACGTAAACGAGGCGGTTTATCGTGTAACGTAGGCGCTGCGCGACGTCGCCTTACCGTCGTCGGACCGAGACTGGATTTACCCGCGAGAGTGGCGTAGACTTTAACGCCTCGAAAAAAATCGAATATTCAACGCGGCCGTCGTCCAACGGCCGGTAACGTAATTATTATTATTATTTTTATTATTATTACACGGTCGGGCATCCGCCGCGGCCGGAAAGACGGAGGAGGCGGGCGGATCCTCTTGATATTTTTGTCGCGCGCGCACGACGCGCTTACGCGCGGTTTGCCTCCTACGAGACGACGGCTCTGCCCGGTTATAGCTGCCGGTATTCTAAGGACATGTAGGCTAGGACCGAACCGCCGAACAATAAAACGCGGTACACCTATAGCCGCAGTAAACGCGGTCCGCTGCTGGGAGGACGACGTGCGTGCGTCGCGCCCCGCAGACAGCCGCCGAGTCAGCCTTCGCAGCCGGTGACTCCGACTACAATTCCGTTGCCTACGTTATATATTGTCGCGGTCGTTTCGTCTTTTATTCGTTCCGTCGACGCGCGGCCAAGTCCGACGACCGACCGCCGCCGCCATCGCTCGGGGTCCTATAACAATATATTATTATCATTAGCCGGTGAGTCATCGTTTTTTTTCGCCGTGACGATTGCCGATAAAATATCAATTCGATATGAAATAAAAACCGGCCGTAGGTATTGAAATAGATACTTGTGTACTATAATAATATAATAGGTTACAGTAGCTGCCGTCGACATGTCCAGAAAACTCGAGAAATTCGTCATACTCTTCGACAACACTAACCTGTTGTATTTCCCGGGACAATTTTTGAGCGGCAGAGTGTTGGTGGAGCTCAAGGACGACACGCAGGCCTTGGGTAAATACAATTAACGCAATAATATAATATTTCATTTTTTTTTTTTTATCAAATATAGGTACGTAAACCTACATATTCTACCGATACTGTTGTGTGCACATAATAAATAATAATATTTATCGCAATAACATAATTTATTGTAGCGGAGATATGTAACGGTGAAAACGTATTATTATTATGCACCTACAACATTTATATAAATTCGTATCGATTACGCGGATTAAAAAAAAAACACCTACCTTTTGTACAATAATAAAATAATCGGCGGAACTCGCCCGCGCGTCACGGTCCGGTAACGGAAAATATTATTAGGCAGTGGCGAGCGCAGGGAGGAAAGGCGTATAGTTGTTATAGGGATGATATACCCACTAGGTACCAAATGGCTTAAAAATACAAAAGACTACGAGTGTATTATTTAGTAATTTTTCTTGAAATATACATTAAGATATTTCAACCAAATTACACGGAAAAAAGCTCGCGATTTACCTATTATAGAAAAAATTTGATCGGGTTTTTGAGTTCTCATTGTCGGGTTATAGACAGATATGAGGTAATGATATAGCAGAAGAAGATTCTACGACTTGTATGTGGATCGTGAATTATTTATACTATACATCCTCTCCCGACTCCCGTCGAAAATTTCCGGACGCGATACTGTTATTGTAGATAGGTACTAATAACATATTAGGTACCTAAGTATCTTATAATAATATAATATATTTGATGTTTTCTTAATCAATAAAATTGTAAACAGGTAGTAACGCAGTATCGTAGCAGAGGTAAACAGCGTGTTGTAGGTATACCTAGGGCTGTATTTAAGTGCTTCATAGGCTGTAGAGTAATGGTCTGAAAGCAACAAAAAAGCTACAAAAAAAATAATAATAATAATAATAATAATCAATCCGGATTAAATATGTCCCTGTGTACCCGTAGGCTAACCTAAATCCTGAATACGGCATTGCCCAGGTAAAATATTGTCAGCGTTTTTCTTTTCCTTTCGATAATATTTTTACGGTCGTTTTATAACCGCGATCGATGACGCGTTTTGTTCTAGCCGTAATGTTACCGCGGTTCGCGCACAAAAAACAAACACCGTTTTAATTTAATGCAATATCGTTTTGTAATCGAGTGAAAGTATAAATGTAATAATAATATTATACTCTACTGCAGATGTTGGTGGAGACTGCAGCAACAGCTGCCGACGGAATAGGTAGGTAGGCGTATAAGATAAAACAAAAAAAATTGTAACCAGTCGGCGACGAGCACACGCCTCGAAAACTAACATACCTATCTATGTATACCTGTAATAATAATACATCACACCTGTACAGTCTTTGTTTTCGCCAGTATCGTATACACTGTACAGTACAATAATATAATATGATAATATAGGTATACCAGTGTAAATAATAATTATAGCCAACAGGTACTTATAACTACGCGATTCTTTCCGTGGAAGCGAGGAGAAAATCTGCGAGTTTGTCGGTAAAACTTTCATTTTAAAATACGCAAAATAATAGTTATTCTATATACGCGCGTGTGTGTGTGACCATAGAATAATATTAATGTTATTTGGTATTCGAGAGTCCGCCTCGCATCTACGTACTTGGGACCTTATCTGGGGGAGGGATTTGTTTTTATTCATTTTTCCAATATTCCTCTATAATATTCCACAATACACAGTAACGAAGCCAGTAGGGGGGGTTTTAGGTTTTCTATCCCCCCCCATTGCTTCTTTTTTTTAGTTATAGGTAAGGTATAAGGTTAAGAAGATTGTAAACCCATAAACCTATCTAGACCCCCTACTTTTACGCCACTGACTGTGCAGTGCATATAATATATGCACCACTGAATATCTCAGCCCAATGACCTGATAATTGGAATGTGGTTTCTGTAATAACTCCTCCAGCTACAGCATCCCTGTACCGAAATACACACTTCTGGATAAATTTCAGATGTTTACCCGTTTAGCGCACAATATAAATTACACATTATTGAATATAGCTACCTATTTTAAACCCAAATTCTAAATTGTAAATTTTTTACAAGCAATTTTCAATCAATACAATTTGGTTTATCTCAAAAATTACTTGACATGCCTAAAGCCATCGAAATCGACTAAAAAAATATAATTTTTTTCTCGATTTTTCAATAAATTATGCATTATTATTAATGTATATGAAAGTTAATAACTATCTTAACTAATCATGTTTTCCTATAAGGTTATTATGGGTCGTTATCAACTTCAAAAATCATGCATTGTAAATTCGTTGAAAAATCAAGAAAAAACATATTAATGTAAACGAAAATATTTATGCATTGACATCAGTTTAGATTTTTTGATGTAATTTAGTGAAGATAATAATAATTTTACCGATATAATTGACTGATATTAGAGTTTCCTGGAGGCGAAATACAAAAAATGCCAAAATAAGTCCGCATATTTAAGATACATATTTATAGTTATTTTAACTTTTTGAGTTCAGAAGCAATAAGTTCAACCCCCAATGAAATTTTAATAACCTGGCGTCTATGGCCTAATGCCTCAGAATACCTGACGCCGGCACTAATTAGGTGAGATGAGGACAAAACGGGATGTCCACGAATGGCGGGTGTAAACCTATCTGAAAAGTCCTGGTGGACGTACCAAAGGAATTTTGTTTTACTTGTTAGATTAGGTTACCCAAGCATTATAGTACATACGTGGGTATACATCGTATAATACACTTCTTGGTTTTTTGAAAATGCGTAGATACACGTTCACAGAAACGCGTATATTACGTTTTGTTTATTATTTATTATTATCAAAACATCGTATATCGATGCAATATGTATGTTATGTTATCACAACGATATATGAAAAGAGACAGTGAAAAAGTGAACTTTTTCTCTATTTTGTTCTTAGCACTTATACATTTTGTTTTTTTAGACAAAATGTTTATAAATATGTTTACTAGGGATTTTTTTTTTGGTGTATACTTTTCCAAAAATAATTTTAACTAACGGTTACTAATTTTGTGAAGAGATGTGTTTGATGACAATAAAGCTTAACTCAAATTTTACAAGAATTAAGACTTTTTTAGAGTAAGAGTTAATAGATGTTGAACTTCAGCGTTTTGTTCTTTTCATTTTTCCTAATCACTACTCGTTTATGTTTTTCAGTATTAATGTACCGAGTTACAACAAATTTTCTGTCACTGTTTACCTTCACCTCACTTAACTTACAAAATATAATAGTTCTATCGATCGGTTTTAAATGTATCCGTACCGTACTCCAACACGAAACTTTTTAAACGAATTGTCACGGATTGTTTAATGTTTGAAAATGAAGTAATAATAATATATTTATCTAAACGAAACAAGAATAACACTATTTCGCGAACATATTAGTCGGAACACTTTTATTTACGAGTAGGTATATTCAGGCCTGTCGTAAGATATTTCCTGCCCTAAAGCGAACATTTTTGTTCTAATTTCATTTTGCCGTTTCAATTTCTTTTGTAATTGTATGTCTCTCTAAAGCAACGTATGGTTTGCTTATATCCTAGCGACTGGTCTGGGCATATTAATGAAATCAACTATATAGTCATTCAATTATTTTCTAAGAAAAGTATTTTATAGAATACAATCGTATTTTGATAGAAGCTATTAGACAAATATTTAAAAAACATGACACAATAACACCCGGTGAAAACCAAAATTAACGCATCATTTATTTATAACTGAATTTATAAATAACAGTACCTATTATCTATACAATATTTTTTTCGTTGTTTCGAAGTATGCATGTTCCGAACCTCATCTCATCTCAGCCTTTTCTAAGTATTTCTTTGTTTCTTTTTCTAGTTACGCCACTATGTAGTATACTCACCAAAAGGTTAGGTTAGGCCATGGACGTTTTTTGATAGACCTTAAACCTTATAATAAAGGACTGTTTTTTTTTTTTTAAATTGTTTAGCTTCAATTATACATTTTTTTTAAAAATATAATAGGTTAGATTTATAAATAATCATATAAAATGGCTGATGATGGGCACATCCAAATCGTTATGATCGAACTATTCTATAGTTTTTCCTATTAAAGTATTCAGTCGTATAGATGGAAAAATCTATTCGATAGTATAAACTATTTGGAAGTACCTATCACTAGTATCTAATATTAAACATATAGTATTATAGTACATAATATTTAGGTAACTATAACTAACATAAAAAAAAGGACGGACGTACTTTACACGTGGGTGCATCCACTGTTATAAGTGGAAAGTTAGAAAGGTAGGATACAGACGGGAATTTAATGTACATTTGTAAGCAACGATAAATCATTGTTAACGAAAAAACGATTCTGAGTGGAGTTCAGATGGTAGTGTTACTTTGTCAACAATATATAACAATATACGTCATACTAAGGTAAAATGATTACAACAATGTTCGTTTCCATGACAATAATGATTGTTTAAAAAAGATTATTAAAATAATAAAAACTTAATAACAAAAAATGAATAAAAACAATTGCCAATGATAGCCTTATTTTTCATCTTTCAATCTTTTTCAACCTAAAGAACCAGGTTTTCCTCATTATCTCGAATATTAATGAGAATTTCAAAAAATTACCTCTCTAAAGTACCACCCAAAGAACATTTCCTTTCAGAAAAGGTTCTATAATTGATAATCGGAGTATGCTTTCTGGTAGAAAAAGTGTTCATGGAAAAAATAAAATAAATATTAATTTGACGAATAACAGGATATTTTAATAATTTCTTTGGCTGGTTATCAGGTTTGCATTTTCATGTGATCGGTGAAGGCGTAGTGCGATTGAAGAGCAAACGGCGCGAACGGATCTACGACAAGGAGAACTATATTGATTTTCGGATGAGATTGCTTGGGGAACCAGGTAAATTATTATAACATATTATGGCGGAATTAAGCTATTTGACATAGTGGTTGGTACCTATAGGAAACAAAACTCCCAGGTATTTTAATACTTATTCAAAATCACCCGTCATTGTAATTTTTAAGAAATAGTAGTCAGTAAGTTTTCCAACAATTTTTATATTTTTACAAAATCACGAGAAAATCGCAATATTAAAATTGTTTATTTGCACCATGTCAGTTATACTCTTATACTCAAACCTCTGTAGCGGTGTATAAGAAAATTGATTCTTGGGTTGATAACCGGTATTATATACTCTGTTTTTCACATTTTTTAATATGTGATGATTGTGGTTATACAGGACAACCACCAGTAATGTTGTCTCCGGGAATACACAGTTTTCCATTCAAACTGGGCTTGCCGCCTGGGTTACCGTCAACGTTCCTTGGCAAATCCGGCTGGGTCCAGTATTACTGTAAGGCAGCCCTCAGGGAACCCAACTCACTCACGCATAAGAACCAACAAGTCTTCATCGTCATGAACCCGATCGATCTCAACATGGAGCCGTCCATTTTATCTGTAGTAAAAATAATTCACACCCTTCCAATGTTTTATATTGTATGGTGGCACGGCTATCCTAAACATCGTTTGATTAATTATATTACATTTCTTCAAAATACAAGTATTAATTTGTTTTTAATTTGTTATAATAATTTCTATACTCCGAATCAACCTGCTTATTATCGAGGGCTAATCTAACTTCAAAGAGTTGGATTTTTGAAGTTAGTTTTAGACACGTTGCCATAGGATAGCCGCCCATATTTATCAGATGTAACTTTCAATGCGACACATTTGTCCGTGGCATTTTTTAGGAACCGTTTCGCTGCGACATAGACCACAAGCTGTCGAAAGCCATGTGTTTAGGTTCTGGTCTGGTCGAGTGTCAGGTGTGCCTGGACAAAGGTGCATACATACCAGGTGAAACCATCGAGATCACAGCCACAGTTACCAACAACAGCAAAGTTACCATTAAATCGACCAGAGCAACACTGACAGAAGTAAGTCTAATGATAACTTGATATAATAATATACAATTTATTTTTAATTCAAGATTTTAATAGTTTAAAATAATATGAGCAATTTATTTAAATTAACATAATTTATAAGTCAACGTTACAATTATAGACAATTCAATATTTTGCCAAGAGTAAAATAATTCAATCAGAAACTAGGGAGTTGGCTTCAATAAAAAGAGACAAAATCAGACCAAATGAAATGGACCAGTGGCACAATGAACAACTCTACGTACCACCATTACCTCCTACTAACCTCCGTGGGTGTCATTTAATTAACATTCAATATGATATTTATGTAAGTATTAATAATTATGCAAAGATATATTATATATTTATGTTAAAATTAAATAATATAACAAAATAATCATTTAAGACAATAACTATAATTACTATAACAATGCAGGTAGTCATTATGGTAAAGTTGAATTGATTACCTGTACTATTTAGTTTTATAACATTGATAATATGATAAATAGTTATTTTAAAATCAATCATTTAAGATTCCGAGCGTAGCGAGGGAGCTATTGGTTTTACTGGTTTTTCTTCCTTTGTTCTAATCTGTGGACACGTTTTTTCCTAGTAAACTTGCTCCAATTTTTAGGTGTAACAACTTTTCTGAAAGTTCAAATTATCCAGATGGTACTTTAAAGAGGTCATTTTTTGATTTTCGACGCCATTTTTTAAATAAAAGCACTTAAGTGGGAAAAAAATGTACAATTTCACGATTTCATTATTTTATAGAAACACGGACGTTTTCTACCAGAAAAAATGATTTGATCAAAAAATCACAAGACACTTTTTTGATTTACTTTCTTATGGTATTATCGTCAAAACTTTTAAGCCACTTTTGAGCTTTTAAGGAATTTTAATTTTTGATGCAGTTTGGTTATGAATACACGTCGACTTAAAACTTGATAATAATAATCATATTGGACTTACCTAAACGTGGAAAAATTTCCAAAATCATCGGACCACTGTTTTTCCTTTTTTAATTTTTTTCTTGTACTGTAGACCACTTTTATCCAAGAAAACTTGCTTCGTTGTATAAATGTAGCACCTTTTCTAAAATTAAATTTTATCTACTTGATAAATACATAAGTCACTTTTTTATTTTCGAAATGGTACTTAAAATAAAAACGATTAATAGGGAAAAAAATTAGATTTTTTCGCGATTTCGTTATTTTAAATAAGTACCTACCACGTTTTTTTAGCACAAATATGGCACCGATTATAAAACGACAAGGGACCTTTTTTATTGAATTTTTTTTTATAAACGTTTTGAAATTAAATTTAAACGAAAATCGCAACAAAAAAATAATGCACTTAAAATTATGTATTACTGAACTGCGCTCGGAATTGTCTTTCATCAACAATGATTTATCATTACAGATATAAATGAAATAACCTTAAATATCTTACCTTCCCAACTTTCCACCTACAACTGTGGCTGCATCCATCCCCAGTATCAGCTCTTTTTTTTTCTTTGAATTGTATTGATTGAAATATTTTTAACAATAACATAGTGTAATATAATTATGCTAGAATATTCTATAAAATATTAATTTTTCTCAAAGTTTTATCATAATTTAATTATTTTTTCACTTTTATAGTTCATTATATCACCTAATAATATGGAAAAGGATGTCAAACTACAACTTCCCATTATGATGGGTACTTATCCATTTAGAACCGAAGATGGATCATTTGATGGAAAACTTGGAACCCATTATCCATCAACATTGCCAATTTTAAGACCGTGGTTGGAAGAAAAGACTTTTAAATAATTGAACTCATTTTTAATAATTAATGTAATTCATGTATTAATGTATTAGTAACTAACCAATTATATTTTTATATTTTAAATTAATTCATATATATTATACATACTTCAATTAATACATTGCATGTGTCTACTTTATTTTCATTGATTTATTAAGTTCACTAGTTTTATCTAGAAGAGATAAAAACATTTTTTGCATTTTATAAATTTAATAATAACATATTTTTATTGTTATTATTATAATTTACTAGTTTTATACAGTATTTTATTGAATGAAAAATATAAAGACACGTGGTCACCTTCTTGGTCACTATGATAGTTAATTGTTATTGCCCAATATTTCATTTATTTAAAATTTCCCTTCATACCAGTCGTTTCTAACCTTTTTTATTCTATGCACCACTCGTAAATTTTTAAAAACCTCACATACCCCTCCCCTTAAATTAGATAAGACTATGAGCGTTTAGACAAGCTTTTTTTTTTTTTTTTTTGTAAATAAATTTTACAAAATAACTATATGTATTGTACATTATACAACTAAAAAATTTATTGCTTTCAATTTTGCTGATTATAAAATGGCATAATTATTTTAACAAAAAAATGATTGTTATTTTATTATCACTATATTCCCCCCATGCAGTATCTAAATTCTCCCCTAGGTTGGGAACCACTGCTTCATACCAATAATACCTAACTAAATTAGGTGAAAATAAATTGTATCTCATCTGTGTCATCAAAAACTGCGTCAAAGACCAGATCATACTATATAATTTCCAGACTTCTGAGTTCAGTAGATTTTGGTTGTGGATCATACAAAACGAAACAGACAAACACTTTCTTTTATTAATACAGATTAGTTAAATGTGTTAATTATGATTTATTATATTCAATTATTTGAAATCAAATAAATATAAATTCAAGGTCTATGAAAAAAATTTAAAAATGAACAATTAAATATTGGTTTAATTTTCATGAACAACAATAATAATATTGTGATACAATAAAACCATTGCATATACACATTTTATTAAAGCAGTATATGTAAAGCATACAAGATCAACTGGTAATGATGGCCTACCATTATTTCATAAGTACTTCCAATTGTTATCCACACAAATAACGAGATCATTCACAAATGTATTGAAATCTCAATCACTTTATACATTTATATACTTAAGAGAAGAAACACTTATAAGGTTTATTATATATACATTTTACTAACAAATATTTCTTCTTTATTATTCAAAATCAATAATTAAATATTAAACAATTTAATATCCATTTAATGGTCATACCTAAGTTCTACAAACCCTTGAAATTTATTAATAGTATGCCATCCCGTACAACACAAACTAGTAGCTATCATTCGATCACTGAACATGACTCCATTTAAATGATCCATTTCATGTTGTAATATACGAGCTGACCAACCTTTAGCATCCCAAATTTTTTTTTCTCCATTTTCATTAAGTCCTAAAATTAAATTAAATTAAATTAAATTAAATTAAATTAAATAGAAATATAAATTAAACACAGTTTTATTATACCTGTTAAAAGTACTCGCTTAAATCGAGGAACATCAGCTGAGTAACCCTTAAAACTAGCACAGGATTCATTGAATATAACTTTTGCATGATCTAGTACTTTTAATTCAGGATTTATCCAAACCTACAATTACAAAACCATTATAACCACAATTATAACACAAACAATTCTTCTTATAACCTGATTTTTAATATGTTCCATTTCTTTTCTAATTATTTCTTCTTTGCTAAAATACTTTGATGGATGTGGAAAATCAATAACAAATACTTGTAATGGTATACCAACTTGGGGTGCTGATAGACCAATAAGATTTGATCGTTTTATCAGAGATTTCAAAATATAAATAAGCTACATAACAGAAAACATTAACATATTACAATAAAATTAAGTAGTTGAAATTTAGTGCTTGGAGAGCTCCTTTTAAAAAGGAATTAGTTACTATTCATCTTGTTAAAATAAAATAAATTGTATAGTCATTTCATGATAAGAAAGAACAGCAAATTTTCTTAACAAAAAAGAAAAATCATTAATTTGTATATTATACAGTGTATTAGAAACAAATAGCGCACTTTATATTTGTTTTATGTCCAAATGTTGGGTTTACCGGGTTATTTGTAAATTAATATATTAATATAATATTTAAAAATATCCATAGAAAATAAAAATCAAGCATACTACAGAATTTCCTACAAAATTACCTTACAAAAAAGGACGACTCTCTTAATTTTTTTGCAAACATTTTATTTTATTTATTTTAGGGCGAGGCCCTTTTTTACATATTTAGAATTTATAAAGAATAAAAACAATGCTTGGCTTAAGGACATGCATAACTAAGTATATAGGTACAACAAATAAAAAGAAAAAGAAAACTATATTTGAAAATGAGGGTTCACATTAAGTTTGTCATTAACTTTCTAAGCATTTAAGTGGTTTGTTGGCTAAATAATTTATGATGGCATGAAGAATGTACAAAGAAGCAATGTACCTAGTGAAAGGCAGTGAATCTGTTTGTTTCAAATACTAGAAATTTAAATGTAAATATAGTCACCAAGGTATAGATTAAAAATGCTTACCAAATATTCTTACATTTTGTAGTTCTTTAGTATGTATTTTGTCAAGAGGAACAGGAGAGGCAATATTTCGCAATACTGGATCTCCAATTTGAGTCACGTGACCTGGATAAGGTGGTTTTGGATTCCTTGCGAGAAACATTCTATGGTAAACCTGTTTTATAAATCTCCAAGCCATCTCCAAACTAAAACATGGCATTAATCTTTAATAAGCTTATAACACGTTTTTAAGTACCTAATTGAAATAACTAGTTTTGTATAAATAAATTTCCATACCTATAGCTTAGTTAAATTTTATACAGAAGTAATTCACAGAATAGTTAAAAAAATAAAAGGAAAAATAATCAATTATATTATAAATAATACAATTAATAATTATAGATAGGTAAATATTAATTTTAAAATTAGAAACATCACCTACTGGAAAATTACAATTTTTATCAAAATAGAAGTACCACTATATCATTTAATATATTATCATTAATCTATATCCATGGTTTTTTTATGTGATTACACTTATTTAGGTTAACCGTAGATAATATTATCTATGAGGTTAACTAAGATAATAATATGGACTGACAACGACACGGGCGAGCTATAGACTTATAAAAATATTTTTATAGGTTTATGGGGCAGGCGGATAGTACACTGATACAGTGCTGGTGCAGTTTTTCAATGAATAATATTTAAATTGGAAGCATCCAAAATCCGATTTTAGTGGTGTACTGGTGTTTTTCTGAAGTAGCTATATACGTCTATACAGTATAGATACGCTGCGAAAATGTGCAGTGTGCAGATCATAGGCATAGATATTATGTCAGTTTTGAAATTATTGTTGTCATCGTGTTCCGAACCACATAAATACGGAGCTTTTAAAACATTCATAATGGGTACCTACTTGACTTTTTAAATTCTGAGTGTAATCAAGAATTTTCATTTTTTTATTATACCTACTGTGACAAAAATGTCTACCAGAGTTCTTACTCCGATGTACGTGTGCACCGTTTCTGAAAGGAAATATTGTCATTTTTTAACCACAGATCTCTATACTATACTAACGTGTCAATGGTCGTAACCGGTGCTACCTGGTAAGGAATGCGTGCCGCCGAACGAAAACTAATCGCGAAAGCAGTATGTTCTCTATTGAAATAGGGTAGATAGTAGGTAGGTAGACTTTGGGCGGTAATTTTTAATTTTCCAAGCAGTTTTCCTAATATCTGAGAAAACCCGAGATTAAACATAACAAAAGACGTCCTAGAATAATAGGGACGGGTGCAGTTACTGTTATAGATAATTTAATGTACATTTATAAGCAACGACAAATAATTGCTTACGAAAAAAAGATTTTGAGTGAAGTTCAGTTGATAATGATACTTTGTTAACAATATATGTCATTTGATAGTAAAATAATTAAATAGGCTTTATATATTTTCTTTTATAATATTTGTTTAATGTTGTATCGATTTTGAAGTTTTCCTAAGTTTTTCCGTTTTTCCTCAGTTTTCTTTTTCGGTTTTTCAAATTTGATGAAAAAAATCCTAAGAAAATCGAAAAATGACATCTCTTAAGTACCTCCCTGGTGAAATTTACTTTTAGAAACATTAATATCATTATAAGTTGGAGCAAAATTGCTGGTTGAAAAAAAGTTGGGCACAGGAAAAAAAAATCGTTATATTTTAGTAATATATTTCGTACATATTCCCGTTTTTTTTTTTCGGTTTTTCGCATTTGATGAGAAAACTCCTGAAAAAAATCGAAAAACGACTTCCTTAAAGTACACCCCATATCTATTTCCTTTCAGAAAAAGTGCTATACTTTAAAATCTGAGCAAGTCTTCTGGTAGAAAAGTTGCACACAGATAAAAAAGAAAAATCTTTGTAAAACTATAAGTTTCTTCGCTCCAATTAGAATCTAAAAATAGAAAATTTACAAAAATAATGATTTTTATTATTTTCAATTTTGTTGTAGTTCAATTAAAAAAATTCTTGGACACTTAAAATTTGGACAAAAACTTATATATATTTTTCTATACATTATAAAGTTTTCAAAGGTTTAATCCATTTTTGAAGTATTTATAGACATTTTAATTTTGCGATTTATTGTACGTAATTTGTATTCACTAGGTGCTCTATAAAAACTAAATCAGTATAGTTACCTAGGTACTATAATAAATAAGTAGTGGAATAACGTACAGAAAATAAAATGTCATAATGGAAAGACAAGGAAAGTTTTCTAAGAAATGGGTGTCATATTTAAATCTCACAATTTAGCTCTAGAAATGAAAATAATACATCTAAGATATTATGCATCTGTATTATTTTACGGTGATTGTAAGACTAAACAGAAATCCTTAATAGTTTAATAGGGGATTTGTTAAAAGTCATACTTTGGGGCGAAAAAAAATGTTGAGCTTAATTTGTATTTGTATTTTTTTTTATTAAGAAATTTTAATATAAAATGTTTACGAAAATCGTTATGTGGAACAAACCTAATTTTTGTTTGTTTTTTTTTTTTTTTGAACATATGTATGTTGCCGATTTAAGAACATGTGTATGTTGCAGATTTAAGAACGATGTTGAAGTCAGAATTGAGTGGACTGACTTAGTTTTGAAATTATAGCTTTTAGAAGTTTCGATATTATGCGGATATTATATGTTATGTTAAGTAATTCAAGAATGACAATTTTAAAGTCCATCTATCGTAGTCTAGTGGTGATACTTGCCTGTTGTTATCCATAATTTTCAAAACGTTAGACCTTATGAATTGTGAAAAAACCATATGTGGATTATTATGCATGGAGAAAAGGTCTTAAGAAAAAAAATTTTGATGATCTACTTAAAGTTAAATTATAAAATTAAACTGTAAATTATTATTGTCTAAAGTACCTAATAATAATTAAAAGTCAACATAAATGATAAAAACATAATATGTAATAATAATACTTAAATCACTTTAATTAAATATAAGCACATTCAAGTAAATTTATGTATAAATCACAATGAATTGATTTTAAGTACCTATATAAAGGTATTTATAATTTAACATTTTAATTCATTTCCCCATCTATTAAAAATTTCAAATACCACTCCATTTGTCCATCCAAATCCTTTTTGTGGTTTATATTCACCTCCGTCGCCACTTGTGCCAAATGATATAGCACTGTACTGTAAACAAAAAATTATTTGAAATACTACCAACATATTATTATGGCAGGTCCTCAGGAATACTCAAAACATATTTTTAATTTATGCAAAAATATCTGACCAATTAAATTAATATTTAAATAGCAACTAGGAAGTAGTTTAATTAGTTATCCTACCTTTGTTACCAAAAGAAAATTATTTTATTTAAAACATAGTCTATACTACCATTTATGTAATATATAATTTTGTTTTACTTATTATTTGTTTATGTTTATACTATTTGGAAAGATAATATAATTATATTAATTAAAATGATAAAATGATTATTGGAATACCGAAGTAAAATACTTATATATATATATACAAATTAGTTTACAAAAAAAAAAAAAAAAAAAAAATTAATTAATTAATTAATTATTAGTATTGTTTTATTCATACTGAAATAATTTTTTGTTACCATAGTATGTAATAATTATAATATGTTTAAACGTATGATGTACCTATAAAAGTGAACACAAAAGGGTCGTGTAAATGAATGATGGGGGATATGAAAAAGAGAATAATTTGATTAATTATTAATTTAGAGAAAATGCACAAACATGATTTGGGCTTGGCATAAGTAGTGAGGAGGAAGAGGAAGACCGAAAAAGAGGTAGTGGAGTCCCGTAGCCACGGGGAGGAAAGGGAACATTTCCCCTCCCCTGGATCTAATCTCTTCTAATTGCCCCCTCCTAACAAGTATTAAATGTGTATATATAATAACATTGCTTTTTTCTAAAGTCCTCCTAAAATTTGGTTTGCCCCACCTGATGATTTGGACTGCCTACAGGTCTGGGCTGGACGTGATTGATAATGGATAATGATAATATGAGGATGGCTGGTGTATACGAGGATGATTTGAAAAGTACAAGGTTAGAACAACAGTGTCTGACTCCAAATATTTGAAATGAAGTCGAAAGAGAAGAAGATTGATAAATAAATTATTTAACCTTTTCAAACATGTAACCGGTTTTTTGAAAACCCGCATAATTTGTCTTTATCCAAGCATCAGCTAAATTAAAGGCACACATTTTTGCCTTTTCGCTTGTAGTACTATCTAATCCAAAAATAAGCATTGATTGTAGTGGTGGCCAACAATTTGGATAGTCCCACTGTTGAGAACTTTCATACAGCGACGTTGGAACACCTGCAATTATTTATTTAACCTTAGTTTCTTCAATCAATCAGGAGTATTACTATATAGGTGGACAGCGTGATTTATTATTTAAGCATACTCATCCCAATTGTATGAATAGATTTATCTTTTATCATCAAATTTTGATTTTTGGAATTTTCAAGTATAATTATAAAGACAATCATTTAAGCAATATCTTGTGGCAATATCAACTTTGATTTTTCAAATAGGAATCTACGTGTTTTATTGCAAATTGTTAAACAGATGGTTTTTCTAAAAATTCTGATATATTGCAATCGAAATTTAAATGAAAAGTTTCTGAGGTATTCTACTTTATATACCAAAAGCTAACAATCGGTTAAATACATTGCAAATGGGTAAGTACGAGTTTGGTAATTATATTTAGGTAGGTGTGCAATAAAAAATTTTTGTTTGTTTTATTCTACTTAATCAAGTATACTGAGACTATTTTTAATATTACAGATATAGATCAATCATCAATATTACTAAATTCGTACCCATTTACAATGTATTTATTAGATTGTTATCCTTAGTATTTAAAGTTGAATAGTTCAGAAACTTTTCGTTCAACTTTGATTATAATATGTCAAAATTATCCTATTCAAAATATGTATTAAAACATGCAGATTCTCATTTGGAAAATCCAAATTGGTATCGCAACAGGATACTCTTTAAATGTTGTTAAAAATCTCGTACTCGAAAATATCCATGCAGGGCCGTCCCGAAAAACAAATCATGTGGGTGTTAAATTCATACATTTTCCGAATTTAAAAATTTGTCCGCTCCACTCGAACCATGATTAATATCAAGATAGGAATATCGAATATAATATTATATAATATTATTATTTTATTTTTAGATTTATAACAATTAACAAACAAAGCGGGAGAAAATATTTTGGTTGTTTAGTCAAAACTTAGCAATAGAGGCAGTTGGGAAGTATAAAAACCTAAAAGTACATTTTAATGTCATAATTATATATTAATAACTTTATTACATAATAGTTATAACAAAAAAGATATTTTTTTTGTTTTACAATAATGTGTGTTCTTGTATTTTTTTTTCTATCTGTATAAATAAGTTTTCCATCAGAAATTTTACTCCTATGTATAGAGTGTACAACAGTACTTTTTCTGAACGGTCATTTTGTGTAGTTAGTGAATTGAAGAGGTAATTTTTTGATTTTCTAAGAGATTTTCAAAATAATTGGTAAAACCCGGTAAGGAAATTATAAGTAAAGCGGCAAATATTTACGGCGCACCATAGCATTACCTAATAATGTTATTGGTTTTAATTTTTGCAAAATATTTTTCTTTCAGAAACTTTACTACAGTTGAAAAATTAGAAATGATCGATTTTTTTTTATTTAATATCTAGCTACTGACAGAGGAAATTATTTTTTTATAGGTACCTATCTAAAAGTAGTTTTCGAGATAATTGGGAAAAACCGAAAGACATAAAAAATCGATTTTTTTTTCAAATTACAGCCCAACGATTTAATTATTTAAAATTAGTATTATTAGATTTTTTTACCTAAAATCTTTGTCTAAATTTCAAGAATAACATATTTTCATATTTTATTTGGTAGGTATCTATTAAAATTATATGACCTGAGCAAAATGCTTGAAAATTTAATTCAAGGTATAAGTTGTACTAAGTGGTCTAAAAAACAAGTAGTTTAGAGTTTAATGCATTAGTTTTTTTTTTTGTCATAAGCATTTTAAAATCAAATTTTGACTGCCGGAAATCGTAAAAATGATGGCATTACAAAATATGTCTTACCGAACATCGCTCTTCATCATTTTCTCGTTAGCAATGGACAATGGGTCACCGTAGCGTACAGATATAAATTAAATAACTATATGTTCCCAACTTCCCATCTAGAACAGTGGCTGCACCCATCTCAATATCAACTAATTTTTTTTTTTAATCTAATAATAAAATTATTTTAATGTATCATTAAATTGCCAGATAGTCGGTTGAATATGAAATATGTACCAACTGGAAAATTCATAACGGATGTCATCCCCCACCCCCTTTATATCTGGGATGTCTCTACTTTAAGAAATACTTTAAAATTAAGATTCGAATGTATGCATAATTTAGCAATACAAATGGGGTGAATATGTTTAAAAAATTACGTTGTATATAAGTTAAAAAACTTCTGAAAGGTAGTCAGTAAAATCGGTAACAAGTACAACGAAACCATTAAAAATATATATCACGATTAAAGATATAAAGATACCTATATCTTTAATCGTGACGTAAAGTGGGCAATATTGTTTTTTTGTTAAGCAGTTAGTGTGTATTTAATATTTGAATACATCAGAAATCATGAATGAATATAAATTACAGATTTGACTTACAAAATACACAATTCAGTTTCAAGTTATCGTTTATTATTTTATTTTTAATTAAATATTGAATTGCTCTATCGCCGTAATAGTCGCTCTTATCTTTCAGATAGCTACCAGTAAACAAAGGTACGAAATTCGTTCCATAAAAGTAATTACGACTTTTCTTAGTCGTTATATCGTAATCCAACCAAATACCTTCTTCCTCATTCCACAATAACTACACCAAAAACAAATATATATAATAATTTCAATATGTTATTTTATATACAATAGGTACCTACATATAATATTTATGATGATTGATAAGTAACAATTTATACATAGTCACTTCTATTATTATGGAACATAATAATATGTAAATATGAATATAACAAAACATATACTAAAAATATTACTCACATTATCTATTCCTCTTTGGAAACGTGTACCATAAAGATTATATTTGTCAGCCTTAAGTTGATCGCCTTTCATAAAGAAAAACTTTGATAAGATTTCACAATTTGATTGTAATATAGAGTTCAATTCAACGTAAAAAAAATTTTGAGGATCGGTGTTTATTAAGGTCCCTGAAATATAATTTTATATTAAAAATGTAAATAACAATATTTTTTAACAGTTTGTTAGTTTTAACTATTATATTGCTATTTTTTGTTTTACCGGTATTTGATCCGTTATTATTAAAATGTTTGGTTGAGAAATCCATTCCAGATTCTGCAGCTGATTTTATTCTTGCATAAAGATCATTTTTATCTAGTAATGTATTTAGTGGTTGTGCTAAATTCTTATCTTCACTTGAAATAAAATACATTTAAATAATATCCAATGTTACAAAATTATAGAATGTCCCATGAAAATTTACTAATGTGTAAGGGGTTAGAAAATATTTTTTTTAACTTTTGTATATTATATTTTATAACCTACTGATATTACTAAATTATTAATAGACACATTATTTATTTATATCTTATATGTAGGCAATTACTAATAGGACTCCGGACGGGGGCCACAAGTACGAGTGTTATATCGTGCCAATGTATAATATTGTCCATCTTTTTCTACTGTTATACATCTTTTAGTTAACCAAAACTTCACTTCTTGTTCTAGACACTATAAACAAAAATTAATCTGTAATACTGCCGTTTATAGGCATATACTTTTATAACTAATAATTTATAAGTATAATTAAAGTCCGAATTTCGTTCCTCCCCCTGGAAGATGAGCTGAATACACCCCTGGTCGCCAGTCATAATAATTTTAAGAAAAGGAACGCAAATACCATAACGCGGAAATAACGTATAGTATCTATTTAAAAACTATTACATTTTTTGTTTATCTCAATATAATATATATGTCCTGGCTAAATTTATCTTATATTATGAATAAGAAAATAAAGAATATCACGATTAGTGTTAAAAAAAAAAAAAAAAGATAGAAATTAGCAAACAACAGAATGTGTGTTAGTAAGTAAATTACACAATTTAATAGACCAAACAGATTAAAAAGATTAATTAAGCTTAATTATATTTTATACCTCAAGATTATCTAGTACGAAATTACTATCATGAGTAAATTTGTAGTAAGCGTCAACCATCTGAAGGAGAAATGGTGGTTGTGATCTTCCCGAATAGTAAATTCGACCACCATTTAATACACATCCATATTTTTGTACCATGTAAATAAAATTTTCAATTATACCTTTTACAGTATCCTGCATTCCACAAATCAAAGCTCCTAAACAAATGAGAACATTATTTTGAACAAAGAAATATATATGTATGCAAATAATGATTCTAAAGAAAAATTATTTAAAAACATAACAGTTCATATTTTTATTAAATTAACATATGCCAATATTATTATAAAATACCTAAATACAATCTTTAAGAAAATCTCACACCCACATGTGCTGTCTCAGTCCAACTAACGGGGACAATATAACAAAATCAACTATATGCAGAATTATGAAAACATATTTACGTAGTCGATACAAAACTTGCATAATTTTGGTAATACCTACTATATAATTAAGAGAGGACAATGTTCCGGAGGGCAAGACGATGCGTTTTTTTAAAAAGTTGCAGTAATTTAAAAATGTTTAAATAGTCATTATTTCTAAACGTAAAATTAAGCGTTATACTTATGGTAAACAGATATAAAAATCCAAAAAAAAAGTATATTTTAAAATTTAGGTTCTCTATTATAAATAAAAACCCCTCCTTAAAAGAATTGGCCAATGTGTATACTATATTATCCATTTTGTCCATAGCTCATCTCTATTTATGTGATTTTGTTTTATCTAATTACTCTATTATTATTTTTTCCATTATCAACTATAAAAACTAATTAGGTATCATAAAAAAATCATAATATCAACCCGTTTGATTTGTGTTTTTATGATCAAAATATTTTTTAAATTTAAGCAATTTTAAGTAAACTTAAAAGTATGTATGTGTAACTAAAGAATAAATATTTAAATTAATTTTTAAAAGTAAACATTTAAATAAATAGATAAATACAAAACTTTATTTTCCTAAATATTTTCCTACAAATTTATATTTATTTATTTATTATTTATAATTTTCAGAAAAAAAAGTACAATTTCATGTACTTAACACTAATGTTAATAGGACCTGATTAAAGAACTTTCCACCAGTAAGCAGGGATCGATTTGGCTCATCATTTGTTTTGCTCATCACCCACCTAATCCTCGGTCCTCTCTTTATAAACACTTCCGTATCCCCCAAAATAGGTCAAAATAGGTGATACAAGTTTGAAAAAAATCAATTTAAAAAAAATTGTTCTGTTCTACCCCTTACCATTTAACGGCACCCTAGACTGCAGCCTTTTTAGCCTATTGGTTAATCAGGTCCTGATTGTTAAGGACATAGGACAATACATCAAAAAAGAGTACTGTCCTACAAAAAAACGTACATCTGGTAATCATAGTTATACTCGGAATATTGGAAAAAAAAACACCTTCATACCAGCCGACAATAAAATAATATTATTATCATTTATACCAATAAGATAATTGGAATGTAGGATATAGAGGGGAATTTAATGTATATCTTTAAGCAACGATAAGTCATTGCTAAAAAAAAAAATTATTCATAGAGAAGTTAGGAAAAAAACACACATAGTAAAATCCTTGCTGTGCTCTGAATTTATAACTATAGACATTAACGACTTATAACAGAATTTCTGTAAGGGGTATAGCATGCAAACAATATGTTTTATGATTTGTATTTTATTTTACCTTTTATGATCCAATATGAATCCCAATAATATATCTCATTAAATCTATCTCCGGCTATAAAAAATCCATTTGGTAAATATATGGCGGAATAGAGTTCCGGGTTTTTGTAAACATCATCAGAGACTTTTTTTGCTAAAGTTTTCCAAAGTTGGTTTACGCTTTTAACGAACGATCTTAAATAAAATAAATAAATATTTTAATGACATTGCATTAGCATAAATGTAAGGCAGATGTAGTTAAATAATTAATTATTTAGCTTTACTTATAACTTGAATCTTGTACTGTATCTACAATTAATGGATTCTCTTTAAAATCCGATGGTATCCATTCAAGTAATTTACATTCTTCAAAATTTGATGCAATAAAGTCCAACATCTTGTTTCGCGGGACTGGAGTTCCAGTTTGACTTTTTAGTACTGCATATGCTTCTAAAATATCTGTTTCGTTTTTTTTTAATTTCATGTCAACAAAAGTTTTCGAGTCCCCAAACAATCTACATGACTGAATGTCATCTAGCAATTCACCTTGACAATAAATGTTGCTGTAATTGTATATTTGTCTTAAATTAATTAATCATTTAAAAAAGTTTCTTAAAAAAAAGTAGAATAGTTGTATGTGTAGTAAAATGTTAAACAAATTTAAAACTAAGTATTTTTTGTTTTTATTTTTTTATCCAGAAATTGGTTTTTAACAAATGTATTCACAACAAATTCCCTTTCCATTTTTTTACTATCATTCGCCATATATTTGAGTTCCCTGTATAAGAAGTGACTCCTGTACCTTTCAATATTTGGCTAATGTATTTCGTTTTAGGTCTACCTCTTTATCGTGTTCCTTCTACCATTTCTTTAATCATTAAACTATGTAATTCGTCCATGGGCCCTATCATCTGGCATCTTCTTTTTTTTTAAAGAATCTCTATCAATGTTCGTTTTTTTTTTTTTTTTTATCGTCTACAATACGACTTTATTGCCTAGTTCTTTTTTCAGGCCAACTTATTCTATTCTTATTTCTCCAATACCACATTTCTAGAGAATCTAACACATCCTTCTCTTTTTATATCTATTGTCCACATCTCACTTCCGTATAGTGCCAAACTCTAACATGTGTTTTTATTAGCTTTTTCTTAGTTTTTTGATGTTAGTAATTTTTTTTTCTTTTTGAGGAATGTGCCTTTGGCTTCTAATTTAGTTTGTTTATTTCCCATCATTTTTTATAATTAGGGCTAGATTTTGGAAGGTAAATTTGGCAAAATATGCATACAAAAAACTGGAAATATGTACTCAAATCTATAAAATAAGCAAAATATGCATTTAACTATGCATACTTACAAAATATCTCAGATTAAATTCGTATGCATGATGACAATATAGATACCTAAATAAATACGTTAAAGAAAATTGGATAAGTACCTACTAGACATTTTCGCACTAATTGGTTCTTGGAGTTTTTAGCAAGATAACTAATCTACTACATCAAAAATCTCTCGGAATTCCCACAGTCTCGTTTATTTGATACAGGTAATAAATAACTACCTACTCGTATTTAAACAGAGCGTTATTTATCTCATCTCCTGCATGTTGTAGGAGTTCTGTATTTAATTCATCTGGACCTGATGCTTTGTTTTTCTTCATTGTTTGAAAGACATTTTCAAATTCTGATTTTAAAATCACTGTATTTTCACTTGAATCAATTAGGTTGTCAATTTGGTTTTCAACCAGTGAGTCGATGTTTTCTTTTTCTCCGTACTCTTTCCACATATTCGCTATTACTGTCTCGTTTATCAATGCATCCCCTCTTTATCCTTTATGTGTGTGCATTGGGAATTTTTTCATTGAAGCATCGTTTAACATATAATACATATAAACGCTTTGCCTTGTTGGTTGTAGTTCATCATATTATCTATTCTATGCAATTTTCTCTTTGGCTATTTTTTTTTTTTAAAACTAATTATAGATAACAATACTATAGATATATAATCTATACATAGTATAGGTTAGGTTATAGGTATACTTATGATTTCATGATTAGGTTATGTATGATAATTTAAGTTCTAGTTTCATTAATATAATCTCAATAATATGATTACTAAAAAATATTCAACCAACAAGTTTAGAATATGAAAAAAAAATGTTAATGTTAATAAAAAGTAGAGACCGAATTTATATATGATCTTAAAATCCACAAAAAAGCACTTGAAAACGTCAAAAAGCCTTGAAGAAAAATCATTTAAAAAATATATAAAAACCCAAAAATAATAGAGAGGCTAACAGTATGACGGGTTTAATTTATAAATACAATTGTTTAATACCACAAAAATGATTAGTAAAAAGTAATTTTTTTTTTTTTAACTTGTACGATATTATTTGAAGGAAATTATTTTGTAAGAATAATCAATTTTGAAGTGTCAGGAAATTTAATTTAATAAGTTAGAGCCATTAGTGGGAGACTTTTAAATTCCTCTATCATTTTTGATTTTTAAATTTTTGTAAATGAACACATTATAAGAAAATATAAATCCAGTCTCTAATTATAAGATACTTTCTTATTACTTAATTTATTGTATTATTATTAATAATTACCTGGAACAAATCTTTACACACGATTTATCATTTATTCCTTCAGGAATAACTAATGGTAACAGACTTTGCACACATACTCCATGAAAAACCATTAAAGTCCATAAACAACGAAACATTGTTTTCCGAAAGTATATTAAAATACCTATGTCAAGTATCTAGTAAGGATCAAATTATAATTTCGGATAACAGTTTCACACCAATAGTTTGTTGTAACTATGTAATATTACTATGCTGACAAAATTATATTTACTTGTTTAAACAAGTGTTTTCGATGAAAAATTCTATTTAATATTTTTGAAATAGCGATAGCGTTTCGAATTTTTTTTATTTATATATAATTTTATAAGCACAACTCAAAGCTGTCAGTTAAAAATGTTTGATATATTTTGTATTTTAAAATGCGTAAGTTTATTTATTATTTTTTTTTCTATAGTTTCAGTTATTTAATGATCGCTTTCAATTTTAACAAATTATTTTTATATCTTTTTTTATTTATTTGAAAAATGAATTTTTATTAATCATAATTGCTAGGTTGGTTTAGTAATAATAAATATGCTTCTTAATTATTTTTATTAACTGTATTTTTGTAAATATTCTATTTATTATTATTATTTATTCTTGACATAAGATAAAACAAAAATAACCTTAAAATTATAAATAACATACTTTGATTTATGAGTGTGTTGTCCACCTGTTGCATATGAGAAGTATTTACTATGACTTTGTAGTTGAGTAAAAAGCAGATAGCATAACAATTAACATACATTGCTTCTTAGCCTTAAGGCTACAAATATATCATTTTAGTCAGTAAGGATGATGTAGGTGGGTTAAATAATTAAATAAAATACCTACAATTTATTATATCTATACATATTGTATTATAATAGTTTGCTATAAAAATGTAAATAAGTATATTTTATTGCAACAAAAATCATTGTTAGACAAATAATTCTAAAAATATTGTTGACTGTTGATAATATTATTCAAAGTAAGATTTGTTTTTTTAATGTTGACAAGTAATATATAATAATATATACTGTAGTAATTAGATGACATTTATAATGTATATTTAAAACTTATACCCGATTTATAAATTGGTAGCTAATCCTAGTATTTCATATCTAATTAAAAAAAGTTAAAATGATAAAATTAATATAATACAGTTTTCTTTATTATTACAAGAAAATTAATTTTAATAGGTGGACTAGATATGTAATATATTAAAGTATCTATATTGTATTTACTTCAGTGTTCACCAAATATTGTTCCAAATTGGAAAATTTGTAACCTTTTTGGTACACGCATTTATATAAAAACTTTTTTTGTAAATAGCAATACCAATTTCTTTTCCAATTACAAAATTGGAAAATTTTTAGTATAGTATGTTGAAATTTAATATTTACGAATTTGTTATTGACAAAATTTTAACTATGTTCAACTTGTACTCGAAAATCCAAACGATATTTCAAAATACCTGTTTGTAGATAGATATACGGCACAAATTAACACTTTTTGTTTTCATAATTTAATCTTATTTTTTGCATATATTCTTCCGAAATAATTTGAAAGTAATAAAAATTATAAAAATGTACACATTATGAGTTTGAAATTAAGATTTATTTATTTACAACTATAATTGTATCCAATAAATTGTTCAGTTTCCGCCTTGCTGTTCCAAACGGTTTAAAAATTCTCTTGTTGTGGTAATGTTTATTTGAACTTCTCTCAAATTATTACACACTACTCGTAATTTGTTTTTTAAATCTTGGACATTACAAAGAAAATCCACATGTTCAATATTTTTTAAATGCCCCCATAAAAATAACTTTAGAGTTTATTTGTGTCTTATCTGTCTATAAACATTTAAGTATTTCATAATATCGGAGATATCATTATTTCGATATTCTAGTATAAAAGTTGAACATAGTTAAAATTTTATCAATATTACCTACAGATATTCATAAATATTAAATTTTAACATACTAAAAATTTGACAATTTTGTAATTAGAAAAAACAATTTATACAAAAATTGTTTAAAAAAAAATAAGTTGTATTGCACCAATGTGTACCAAAAAGATTGAAAAATTAAAATTTAAATATTCCCTATCATTCCCCGAGAATTCTATTTCAATATTACGTCATCCAACTGAAATATTTAGTGGTACCTCTTAATGTGAACACAGTATAGGTATATTACAAATTAAATGTGTAATAGGAATCATAATAAAAATACACAATATTATACTATTGATTAAATATACTTAATAACATATAAAAACCTATCATTTGTTTCCAACTTTGTTAATTTATGTCACTCACTCAGAATATAAAATATCAACTTACCTTATCCGGATTTAGTGATTATACACCTCTAGCCAATTACATTATATAAGTACTCCTCTGTATACAATTAGTTAATTAATACAGTAAAATTGCATTGTTATAAATATCAATAAACACAAATCAACAGCGTTTTCTCACTAAAAGAGTTCACTAATAAATATTTCAGTAAACTTAGTTTTTTCAGACTCCTATTGAAAAAATGATTTTTAAGTAGATAGTGGACTTACACACATAAATCCAAATTTGTTGAATCCAAAAATTAACCATATTTTTTTATTAAAATACTTATCTGATACAATTTTCTAAACAGGCTTGTTGATTTTTTTCAAAATTTATAGTTAACAGTTCTCACATATTTAAAAAACTGAGCCCACACAAATACATGAAGACAAACAAAGAAAAAATTACATTTTAATGGTTTATTTTAATTTACTCAAAAATAAGTATGGCAATATTGATTCTAGTTACACTGTAGAATTTAGCATAAAGATTACAGAACATAAAGAACACAAATTAAAATGTTTATTTGTACGCAAAGTAGAAATTTGTGCTACACTAGTAAGTTAGAGCAAGATTTCTGATAAAAAATAGTCCACAGAAAATAATAAATATCATTGTAAACCATTCATTCTTCGCTCAACTCAGAATCTAAAAACAGTTTGCCCACAACACAGTTTTGTACCAAATCAACATTAGTAAAAAAAATAGTTTTAAATATGAAAACTATCAAAAACAATAACAATTTTTTTCTTAAAATTAATATTCACTCATATCAAGATCATTTATAATGAATAGATCGAGAATTATAAACAATTGGTTAACATTTCTTATTCCTGCAGAAGTTAAGTTTCTAAATAATTCAGATATATATATGTATATTATACAAATACACAACATTTGATAGTTTGATATTTAAATTTGTTTTATTATTAATTCAAATTATAAACTAAACGATACAAGTATTTTTTTCCCCGACAAAATAATTTACAAGTTGGCCTAATAGAAAAAATATTTTTTATTTATCACTTAAAAAAAAAGTATATGTATATATATATATATTATAATATATGAATGTTTAATTATAATTATATTTTTAGAATAAAGTGCGAGATCTATTTGAATGAACAAGCTACAGTTGAAGTGACTGTTTCATAATTCTTGCTCATACAACTCGCTTTAAATTAACTTAAACATAAAACTTTGGAAGTGGTGTATCAAAATGCTCATTCATATAAAATTGGGCGACTTTTGAAATGTATGTCATCAAATTCAGTCACGAAAACTAAAAATAAGTAGTGTTAAGCCACTAAACATTTCATCTGAATTTGAGAAAAAATAGTTTGTTCATATAAATAAATAATTTATAATTTTATATAATAAATTAACTGAATGTCGTATTTTTTTTTTTTTACACCAGAATAAGAATATGTCTTAAGCCAGTTTTCAATACGATTTTGAGCCAATATCCAACATTTACAGTTTCGCAATATAAAAATGAACAAAACAAAATTATCTTAGCTTAATGATTACTTAAATTAGTTATTACTCTTTTACTATATCATGTAATTCATATATTTTAAATTAATTTAATAATATTGAGTTTACAAAAATGTATAATACATAAAAAAAAACATTGTTAGTCAGTCGATTGTTGACTTAAGTTTGAATAATTATTTTTTCTATTAAGTGCATCTAATGTTGTTGTAAATTCAAAACCATCGCTCATATTTGCTTATTTGAGTTAAGACAAATCTAAAGTAAAAAAAAAAAAATGTATTATTCTATAAAACATATTTTCTATAAATAAAAAAAATATATCAACTAAAACTTCCATAGTAACTTGCATGCTTTAATTTAGTGAGTTTACTTGACAATTATTTTTGTAATTAACTATTATGTTATTACTGCAAGTATATTTCATGTAATATATGTTTAAGATTATGTTGTGATTATATTATAATTATTAGTTATATTATTGTTATAAATTATTGATTTAAGAAAAAATATTAAAACAAGTTTTTTTACATAGGAGCCTGAACAATATTTACCATTCAACCACTACTGCTCTGAATAGTTTAACAGAAAATATAGAAATATTGGAATTCAAACTGTGTTTATAGTTGAGCTGAACATTCATTAGTTAAACACCATGTATTAATTTATATTGATGATTTTATTACTTTTTAAATGATACACTTTAAATTAATTGTTCTTTAAATTAGTATGAAATTTAAGAAAATATTTTATAATTTATAAATTTTAAATGCATACAAATATGGCCCCTAGACAAAAAAAAATGTTGGGAATAAAATTCAAAAAACAAATTTACAAATTAATGACATGGTGTACCCTATTTTGTTTGTTTTAGATGTTCATATTATACAAATTTTTTTTATTTTCCAATTAGATCATTTACATGTAAAGTGAAACACCAAACTTTAACATAATAAGATTTATTAAAAATTTGGAATTTAAATTAATAACATAAAATAATAACAATAATAAGGAGCAAATGATTTTTAAAAAATATTTTGTACACCAATGACTGACAATCAAGTGTTAAACTTTAGTTGAATTTCTATATATTATATGCAATATATTTTTGAAATAACAAAAAAGTTACCTTTTAGGTTAATCTCCTATATGTTTGGGCATATAATATTTGTTATTCAAATAATTTTTTACTAGGTTAATTATTTAAATATTGAAATATACAAATTATAATTCCCCCAATAAATTCTGGTATTTAGGAATGTTCTATGAAATTTGCCCATCATTGGGTATGGGTTAGGTAGAACTATATTTAGAAAAGATTGCGTAAAATAATAAAATAACAACAATTATCAATTAAAACTAAAGTCATTCAAAATTGATAATAATTATATAACTTACAGCTTGGATCCTCAGCAGCTTCAAAACGTCTATGCAATTGATCATTAGAAAACTTTACAAATGCTTCATACTGTTCAGATAATTTCATGTTTAAAATCTTATCATATTCTTCACGTAATTGACTTTCACGTTCATTTAACATACGCTCACAGATCATTCCCACCTGAAAAATAAAATCATGATTAATAAGCTATTTTATAAAAGCAATTGATTTAATAGACGATTCATACTGTCAAAACTTTATAATGTGATATGTTAAATTATGATAACTATTCTGTTTTACACATAAATAATAATAATAACCATTGAAATTTAAAAACTTAATAATATAGCATATATTTAATCAATAAATAGTTTGGTTTTTATTGAGAGTAAATTATAAAAGAAAAATGTCATTAATTTATGAAGGCATTGTAATATTTTTGGAAGTGAGAATGGCTTAAGTCAATTTTTTTTTGAAACTCTCATTATATGCTACACCGAAAACATATCTACCGCAACTGCAATCATTACCATACTTTTCGGCATTTTTTTTTTTTTTGACATTTGAAAACGACGTTTATCCTTAATATTGCCAAAAAAAAAAAAAAAAAAAAACTCAAAGTAGATTTAATTTATCGGTTAGACCAGAGATAGGTAATAGACGGACTGCTTGCCAAATCTAGGCCATAGAGGAAATAAATGGATCTTCAAAATGTTTTTACTTAAACGCTGTTTTTCTATTTTCATTATTTGTCTCAGCGTAGATCCAGAATATCCAAACGTCCGAAAACAATCTATATTTATGATATCATACTTGGAGTAATTGTATATCATTAAAAAATTGTATATTTATATTTTATTCTATAAATAATTAAATAATATTGTACAAAAATAAATACATTTATTAACTAATAAATTAATGTTTTTTCTGGAGATGTTAAACAAGACAGAACAAACACCAAATAGGGAAGAGTTGAATTTTTTTTTTGTTTAATTCTAAAATACTACTAAAATATATGGCCCTTAAAAATGTTTAATCAAATTATCTGGTCCACCTTAGAAGCTAATTGCTGACCCTTGAGTTAGATCATACAATTTATATACATATATAATATATATGTATATTGGTATTTTAAAAGTAAAACACATTTAGCGTAGGGATAAACTAGTTAATCCAGAAATTTGATCGGTACCATAAACATAAACTATACCTATGGCAAAAAAGCACATTATCAATGTCCAATCCGCATTTATTGTCAGAGAAGTAGACAGCATACCTTTTTTCTCTTAATTGCCCATAACTATATCATTGTTTGTTATTTTAAAATGTTATATATTAAATTGACTAAAGCCATTATCCTTAGGACCAAAGATATATTAATTACAATAAAGAAAATTGTATTAAATAGCATCTGGTAATATTATATTTAATCAATGTTAATACTAAATTAAATTTTAACCATCAAAAGAAATAAACTTGCTTTACGATGAGAACATAAGATTATTCGGGGCTGGCTCCTTAAAGATTCTAATATCTGATCATCATTATATACTACATACCCAAATTTGAACAATATAGTGGTTATAACTGATCATACTTCTAACGTGTAATGCACTAGTCAATCCTTTTTCTACAAAAAATATTAAAGGAACTTTCTTATAAACTTTATAATCTAGTTAGTGCATTGAGGTAAATTTTTAATTGTTCTTATAGTTTTTCTGTCACATTTTTTATAAAATTAATTAAAATCAACTAATGAGATTATGCTAGGTAACCAACGATATACTAAAATAAGAATGGCCGACTATCACACAGTGAAATGTTTTTTTGGCCTAGGTAATCGGTAGATATAAATAAATAAAGAACCCTAGAATATAATAACATTAATTGTATTTTAAATATTTGTGTTGGTATTAATAAATTAAAAATACTTTTGGAATATGTTAGTATCATAGTTATCTACACTTTTAGTGATTAATTGTTTCCACCTAAATTTTTACCAATAGAATATACATTGAATTGAAATTTGTGTCCTTTTACTAACAAACAAAAACATTTTAAGACAATATGCTAACCACATAATATTGGTTTAAACGAATTATAGATTATAATGACACAAAAAGAACGAATAAAGATTAAATTTGTAAATTTTATTATTTCAAAATTATACATTTAATATGGTGATATGTGTAGTTGGTCAAAACTCATGGATAATTTGAGTGATGTCAAACAAAAATTCCTCAGTTTCATATCTTGTAAAAAGTACTACTTAGGAAAGATTGACAAAAGCAATAGCTATTAAAGCTACTATCAAAAAATAGGTAGTATTTTTAAATAATTATAAAGGTATCTTGTTATTTGTTATATATAGGTACTTAAAATACAAACCCTTAAATTGAATTGAATAGCTAATAATTTATACTTTGTCTAATGAAGTTTCTACAAGAAATACCATAGGTAAACTTAGTTAATTTAGTTGATATAACATAATATTTAATAATATCACACCGATTATGGTCGATCACATGTGCCACAAGTTCACACCTGTATAGATAACTATAGGTAGTATCGGCATAACCTGATTATTGTCAACTTTAAATGGATAGTATAATATGATCTAGAGAGAAAATTCTAAAATGCATTAAACATTCTATTCACAAAACTATTACAACATTATATGAGATGTGTCAATGAATATCAATTGATAATAAGTAGGTAGTAATCATAAATTTGTTTTATTATATACAGGAACTAGAAAGATAGTTAATTAGATCAATAAATATCTAGAATTTGTTATTATTATTTTTTAAATGTTATATTCATAACAAGTAAATTATCGCTGTTGATTAAAATTAAGTATAATAATATATAGTTAAAAATTATAATTTTGTGAACTTTTTTATTTATTTATGAAATAATTTTTTATTATCTAAGGATGCTTGACTTTAATGTTGATATTATCTCAGGTTTAAAATTAAACTGTGATAATGATAAACAGAATAAGCACATTAATAGACCTATTATTCAATAATTAAAGCAGATAACTTGATTTTTTTCAGTTATAAGGTAAATATATTATATATATATATATTATTTATTATTTAGGAAAAGTAACAAATAAATAATGAAATACTTTACTTGACGAAAAGTGAAGAGCGGTTTATCTTTTGCTGATGATGGAAATGTGTTCTCAGATGAACTATCTGAAGAACTGTCATCTAAATTACGATTTTCTGATAATTCCATGTTAAGTTGACGTTTGCGACGCATCCTTTGAACCTCTTCAGTTAAACTAGCTGACAGCATTTCTACAATTAAAACAAATATACAAACATATATTAAAAAAAAATGACAATAAACTTAGCATAATATGTACTACATAAATTTAGAGTAATATCTATTTATAAAAAATCAAATATTATTATAGGTTAATTAACATTAAACTTTTTGTATGGGTTAAAAACCTATGTTTTCCCTATTAAATTATGTCGAACAAAGACTTTATAATTTACTGTTTGAAAATATATAAAAAATATAAATATACATAACTACTTAACAGTAAAAAAAAAATATATAATGGCTAATTTATAACTTAGCTTATTATTTCTTAAAATTATTTTTTGATGATACCGGCCAAAATAAATAAAATTTAAGAATATTTTAAATCATAAATTATATACATAGGTATTAATTGGTTATCTAAACTACTACCTATGATTTTCTGGTATTATCATAGCCATCTGCTAATGAAATGTAATTATTAAAATAGGTATAATTTTACCATTATAATAAACAATTTATTTATATTTTTTAAAATATTGAAATACAATAGTTATCTGTTTTTTATTATTATATAAAATGGAAAACAATTGTATTTGAATATGTTTGTTTCTTCGGTAGTTCACTACAAAATCAGGTGACTAGTGATATTAAAAAAAAGTACTTAATATTATTTTAATAACAATACATTTTTATTTTTATTTTAGTTTGTTTTGAAAATTAAAATAAATAATATCTTATTTAAAAAAAATATTATATTATTCATTTAATATAATAGGAAAATTATAATCTATAGAGATGTGACAAACTAATCGAAAATCTAACTGAAAATTCCAAATAATTTAACAGAACCGAATACCCAATAGTTTGGTTCAAAAATTATTATATGCCGATTCTATACAGTCACTAATATGATATTCTGTGGTAGGAAAGTGCAGCCTTATTACAAAAAAGAAAAATTCTATTTTTTTTTCACATTAGTAAGTTGTAAATCACAGAGCCAAGTTTGAGAACTTAGGTTTTTTACCCAACTTAACCTTTTTACTTTTTGAATGTTTGAGCACAAATAAAAATGTGTAAGTTTGGTTTGGGTTTGTTAATAATTTTAAGAAAAGTTCTGTTTGGTTTGGCCTTAAAAGTCAGGGTTCATAATACCTCAAGAAAATTGTTGTTTAACACTTGTGTATAGGAACTGTAGAATCACTCAATAATTAAAAAAAAAATAATAGGTAATAATAACCAAGAAAGATTTCAATGTTAATTATACCAATTGCATATAATCTACCAGATTGTTAATAATTGATTGAAATTTTCATTATATAGCTAATAAGTATAACATATTATTTTAAACTAATATAGGTTCCTATGTTAATAGATTAGGTAGGGAAATCCCTTTCAAATCTTTTAAAATCATTTATTTATTATTTTAACAAATTAAATCTTAAAAAGATATAATAGTTAAGTATAATATGAAAATATGGAAGAAAGGTATAATTTAACTATTAAAATTCCAATATTTTTTTTAATGAAATAAATACAATAGATTTTCTAATTGAATTTTATAACCAAAACTTTAGGCATAAAACAATAATAATATGTGATAAAGCTCAATAGTTAAAAAAATAATTCTTAATTATGATTAATAGAACATAGAATAATACATTTCTGGTAATAAAATGTATTAACTCTACCTAGGAAGCATACATCAATTATTTGTTGTTTAAGTAATTGCACAAGTGACTGGACATAAAGTAAGGGTATGGACAACAAAGTATCTAGGTACCTATTATATATATTGAAGTATTAAAAATAATACTGTCAATATTTGTGTCTGGATAACAACCAAACCAATAATACAAAACTATAAATATCTTAGAAGGTATTTTTTTTTAAACCACCAAGTACAATAAAAACATTAACACTTATAGTCATTGAAATATGATACTACTGGCTAATAAGTTTGTTGGCAAGTATTAAATAACTACACTATCAGTTGTTATAAAACCGTTGTTATAATTGAATAAAATGGTATAATGTACGTGTTAATCCTAAGCACAATATTTTAAATAAAGTTTTACATAATTGATTTATATCATACAGTGGCATCAACACGTTAATATTAATCCAACAATAGCAAAACAAATGTAGGCAGGTACCTCAAAAAAATTGTCGATTTACCTGCCGTAATTTTGGGAACAACATCGCCGCCAAAATGTGGTGAAACATACTCAGACCTGGAGCTGTTTGGTGGCGAGCTAGAAGGAGATATACTCATAGGCGTACACCTTTGTCTTTTCGTTGGTCTGCACATAGGGGGTTCGAAATCCAATGACCGTTTTAACGTAGCGCAAGCCATATTTCACAAGATAATACACAAACGATAGTTAAAAAATTAATTGATTTGACGCTAAAACAGATTTTTATAAAAATAAGCGAGTAAAATCAAAAGCTTAAATTAATAAATCAATTCTGAAAATGGTATCGTAGTTTCGTACCAACAAAATGGCTTCTCATGAATTAAAGCAACAGAGAACGCACGTCGAAAATACCAAGACGGCACAACACGGCCACGAGCACGAAACAAAAATGATGGTCGATTAACAAGAAAACTCATTTAAATAACTATACTTCGAACAGTGCTACCAACCAAAACTTCACATTATCGTTATGCGACGTTGTTCTATGGAAAAAATTATTATTCGCTTCATTCCACCAACGATTATTCCATTGCATGAACGATTGGTTACAATGAAGCCAATGCATTATGCCATCATGATTATATATCATGTGTGTAGTATGACATTATCATTAATAAATAATAATTAATTAATTACTAAATCATCCTTAGTGTAATGTTTCATGATACCACTGCCTTAAATAATATCTGCACTATCGGGAGTTTTATTTTTAGTTTTACAGTACTTCCATATTATCTACAAACTTTGCATAGAAACAACCATATTAGCATGCAATGATAGTAATCCGTAATCTATGATGGAGGTCTAAACTAATTGAGACAAAATCACACGAATGATAAATACAGTAAAGGTATTATTATCTACAAACCGTGGGTCTATCCGTTAGATCATATTGCAAATTAAGTTTTAATGTTAATTCATTAATCATGTCTCAATAACTTATTAAGCCAAGAATGAATAATTTATAATTTATTTTTCCATCAATGTGATTGCTAAACCACGATGTAGATAAAATTTTATCTCACCGTGTATAAAACTGACTGTTCTTATCAATACTCGAAGTTTGCTTTGTTCATTGATAATAAACGAATTTTTTATTATTATCTGCTATAATTTCATCATAGCACACGAATGACGAATTTCACGGCGTAGAATATGTACCTATTGTTAACTTGTAATTATTTTATATTTTAATTTTGAACTGTATTCTACGAAGAGACCTTATGAGGTCTATGGTTCCACTCTTTAGATTAAAGACTAAAGTTCTCACATTTAAATGTTTTACTGAATTTTTTGTTAGTCAATAAGTTCACGACAACAGCAAACAGTTTATTAAAATTTATAAATTTATGCTATGCATTTCATAGCTCGTTTTATATTTATTTTATAGTATTATCTATGATAATTTTTTCATTTTATTATATTTATTATTATATATTGAACTTTGTATTACCACAGTACCAAGTATGTAGATACAATTTACCATGATTTGTACATCAGTGCTGGTACCATTTTTGAAGTGAATATTACTGATAAAAATAATAACAAGATAAGAATTAAGATTTCGGAGACATCGGACGAATAGAGATTAGAGACCGAACGTCACCATTTAGGCTGATGATACGACGTATTACGTTTGTACCTGGTTTATAGAGTTATTATCATTAATCGTGGTAATGTTTATGTGACGGTGACGTGTTACAAATATAATTGAGTATTGCAAAATTGGTTATTCCTTTTCATAGAATAATACACCGTTTAAATTAAATTCGAAATATTTGAATTTACAAAATCATGCTCATAAAATAAAAGTTCTATTTTAATATAATTCGAAACTATGGGTGGTCAAAAATTCCAGTACGATGAAAGCGGGGCAACATTTTTTTATTTCATATTATCGTTTTTAGCCCTCTTACTAATTCCAGGAACTTATTACTGGTGGCCCAGAAAACAAAAAGAAGGTAAATCGTAGTTTTATTTTATTTTATGCATTTCTAGCTAATATGATTTTGGGGATTTTAGATCCAAAACTATTGGCAACAGAATGTTATTGTCCAGGGTGTAAAAAGAAAAAACTTATTCTGCAATCCACAAAACCATGTGAACTAATGAAAAGAACATTAATGTAAGTGTATCTGATTTAATTCACAGTACAGTCTATATTTATATACCTAGTCTTTATCCTAAAAAGAACATATTTTTAAATACCAAAATGTTATTTGTAAAATAATGCTTTTAATAATTGAGATCATGAAATATTAACTATTTACTTTGTATATTTCAGAAAATTCATCATTATTGCTGGCTGGGTATTATTAGTTTTTCTGGCATACAAAGTGTCTCAGTTTGATTATGAAAGTGCAAGTTTTGATCCTTATGATATTCTCAATGTTCCTATAGTGAGTATATATAATATTAAATTTCTTCTTAACAAATTATAAATATAATTATTATTATTTAGGGAACTAGTGAAAAAGTTATTAAAAAGGCATATCGAAGACTTTCATTAATTTACCATCCAGATAAAGAGTCTGGAGATGAAAAAAAATTTATGAAACTCACTAAAGGTAACATTCAAAATCAATAAAAAAAAAAATGTCAACGCTAAAGTATAATCTTTATCCATGTTATACAATTGTATAGTTAATCTCTGTATAATATTAAGTTGTGTTAATTATGATACTCACAGAAATATAAACCCAAATTTCCCCTTCTAATTTAGACTAATTTTAATAAATAACCTTTATTATTTTATAAAAGTTCTATGTGAAATTTTTATTTTTGAAAATAGATAATTTTTTTAATTGTTAATAAATATAAGTTCATATCTCAGAGTAACAATAAAAAAAGTTTTACAGACTTCAGGTGTCGCCACACTAAACTAAAACAATAGTGCAGTTGTTTCCCAAAATGTAAATAAATTGTGATAATTATAAATTAATACATTTTTTAGTTAGAAGCGTCAATTCAATTTATGTACTCTGGCAACAATTTAAGTTATCAATTGTTATAATATTTTTAATTTGATCATACAATAGAAAATTGTTATATTATGTTAAATATTATTAGCTAACTTATTAAAAGATATAGGCTCCGCTTTATCAAGTAAAATAATGTGATTCTAGTTTTTTCTAAATTCTTTTATGGCATTTTATAATCCACAAATTGTCAAAACAAAAAAAAAAAAAAATGATATGCAAAATTAATTTGCCTTTTTTTAAATAAGCCAAGAATATGCAATGAAAGTAGAATTTTTTTTTTACATTTAATATTTGGTATTAACTGTTATGTTCATTTAAACATAAAATTACATTTACATTAAAAATACATTTCTATTAAGCATAAGCAATCCACGCATATTAGCTTTTAATAATAAATTTAATTTCTTAAATATACATTATATATGTATATATGTATTTTTTATTATAGCATATCAAGCTTTAACTGATGATGAATCCAGAAAAAATTGGGAAAAATATGGAAATCCGGATGGACCTGGTGCAATGAGTTTTGGAATTGCATTACCATCATGGATTGTTGAAAAAGAAAATTCAGTTTGGGTAAAAATTATTATATTATATTCAATATTATTTAATTATTAAAATTTTTTTTTTTTTTTTTTTTTAATAGCTAAAATAATTGGATATAAAAATAATTATTGAATGCCAAAAATTTGAAAAAGTAATTTTAAACATACCTTAATAAAAAAATAAAATAAAAATTGATAATTTTAATACTAAAATGATTTGTGAATATATGTTAAACAGTTTATATAAAGTACCTTATCGATAAAACTTAAAATTTGTTTATTGAATTAATATTCAATCATCTTTTATAACTAACGAAAAAATAATAATACAGTATATTGAGTTTCATTTTAGTATATTTTTGTTTTTTCAAACAACAATTGAAAATCAACAGACAACCTAATTAATGAACAAAGTGTCTAAATCCTAAATTTGATTTTTTTTTTTTCAAAATCTGGCATTCAAATAACTGACTTGGTACTTAATTTTTAAATATTGAATTATTATTAATATCACATATGTTTACATAGTTAATAATATTAATGATTTCAGGTTTTAGGACTTTATGCTTTAGTATTCATGATTGCACTTCCTACTACAGTTGGTATGTGGTGGTATAAATCTATTAAATATTCTGGAGATAAGGTATGATGTAAAATATTATTTTTTAACTGTCAAATATAATATTATTTGTATTGTGTTATATCTTCAATATAGGTATTATTAGAAACATCTCGACTATACTATTACTTTTTGCATAAATCAAATTCAATACCTCTAAAACGAGTAATAATGATTTTAAGTGCCTCATTAGAATTTGAAAAAAAGTACAATGGAGAAATTGTTGAACGATCTTCAGATGAATATGAAATGCCTCAGGTAAAAATTATAATTAATGTAAATGTATCCAAAATAAATACATTAAAAATATAATTCAATTTTTTTATAATTTTCCATATCTACAATTTTAGATTTGGGAGGTAGTGAGAAATGTTTTGGTTTTACAGTGATGAATTTTTTTTATACTGTGTACAAAATATCAACCAGAATTCTTGCTTCAATGTATCAAATGTAGCACCTTTTCTGAAATTAAATTTTATCTAGTTAGTTCTTTAAGGTGGTAATCTTTTGATTTTCTAATCGGTCTCCATAACAATTGGGAAAAAACCTAGAGATAAATTGACAAAAATTCATGCCATAAAAATTCCATGATATTACATGTTTGTAACTTATGTTTTTTACTAAAAATCTTGCTTAAAAAAAATAAATCAAAAGATGGCAAACATAAAAACTGATAAATTTATGGTGTCACCATTCCTTTATTTTAAATTAGTACAGTTTATGTTTTCTATCAGAAATATTATTCAAATAGAAAAACAACATGAGATCATTGTTGTATTTTTAATTTAGTTGAGGGAGTTAAAATGTCGTTTTTTTGATTTTTGAGCAAAACGGAAAAAAAACTTAAAAAGAACAGAAAATTTATGAAATTATTACTTTTATTATTATTTTAAATTTTGTTATTTTGTTTTTTTTTTTGTTTTTTTTTTTTTTTTGTAATTCAATTAAAAATATTCATACAGAAATTTAGTTGAAATTTAGACAGAAACCTTATATTTTTCTTTTTTTTACTTGGTAAAATTTTTGAACTACTTATAGACATTTACATTTTTATATGGTAGGTGTTCTGTAGATAAAAATTTTAGACTAAACAGAAGTACTTACAAATTACACAATAAATTATAAAAAATATTTCATGGTCAAAAAATAAAAAATACTGCCTTTCAATACATGTTTGACCAAACTTTGTTTTAATTTTATTAATGTTTTATTTCTGCTTATACATAAATAAATACCTTATTGTATCCTTTTCCCAACTTCTCACCTACAACAGCGGTACATTCATCCTAATTATTGGCACTTTTATATTTAATATCTTTAGAGTTAATTTTCTTTGATATATACAATTCAGAATATTTTCCTTTTTTTATTTATTAGTTAGAAATTATTATATAGTTTGTATATTATTTGAATATATGTGTACAAATTGATCAAAATCATTTTTTAAATTTAAATGGTTATTTATGATTGTAAAATTACAAATGTATATTAAAAATTTTACTTTTCAGCTTATAAAACGACTTACCAATTTTGGAGAAAAGACACAAAAAGAGCCACCATTATCCTATGGTTATTCAATAAAAGCTAGAGCTTTGATACATGGACATTTGTCTCGTATATTACTTAATGCAGATACATTAGATATAGATCGCATGCGCATAATAAAAAAATGTCCATATTTAATTAAAGAAATGGTTGGTGTTGTTTCTCAATTAATTTTATTAGCATATGCTCAAAGAAGTTAGTATAGTTTTTTTGGTTATATAAGGCATATTGTATAAATTTAAATATGGTTTGTTATTAATTAGTACCCCGTTTACTTAATATTGAAACCATTGAAAACTGTATGAAGCTTTGTCCAATGATAGTTCAAGCATTATGGGAGTATAAAAGTCCATTTATGCAATTGCCCTACATTACAGAAGCTCATCTTAAACATTTTAATGTTAAAAATGTTAGTAAAGAAATATATATAATTTAAATTTAAAATATTCTATGTTTTAATGGTAAAATATTATTTTTTAAACATATATATTAAAATTGTTTAGAAACGGATTCGAAGTATTCAACATCTTGCTCAATTAAAAAATGAAGAAAGACGAAATACATTAAAATTTTTGTCAGATAGTCAATATAAAGATTTAGTTAAAGTATTAGGTAGAATGCCTTACATAGATTTTAAAGTTCGTTGTGAAGGTATGTATTAATAAATAATAATAAAATAAATTAGGTTTATTTATTAAATTTTATATTGTTTGTTATATCTGTCTTCAGTTATTGATGACGAAGCTACTACAGTTTATACAGCTGGTGCTATAGTAACTGTCACTATGCAATTAAAAAGACAAGATATGAATGTACTTTTTGGAGATGAATCATACACAGATAAACAACATATAAAGATTGAAAAAAATGTTGCTAAAAAATCAGACAAACCATTACCTAATGGAAATTTAATAGATAATAATGAAGAAATAAAAAATACTGACAAAGAAAAAAAAGCACCGAAAGGTATTTGGCAACAAAAACGTCAATCGGGTAAAGCTAAAAAAGGTGGATATGTCAAAAAACAAAAAACTGTTTTATCAGCATCAGCTAAAAAAAAGATTAAAAAGAAAGAAAAATTGGAAAAAGCAAAAGTATGTATTTGTTTATAGACATTTACTATAGTAATGTCTATAAATATAAATATGAGATAATTTAATAAATTATTTTGTTTTTAATATTTTTCCTACTAAAACTTTTTTATTTCTCTTCAACATATTTGTCATATAATTTATTTTCCTTCCTTTCTCAATATTTCTCAAAGCTATTTCTTTCTATTTTTATGAAGGAACAATATTAGCTTTAGTATTTTTAAGTTAAAAATAAGGAACCTATAAAATAATAATATATCAATTATTTTCCTAACTATCCATATAAATTAACACTAACTTAATGCATTTTAATTATAGCTAGGTGAACTAGAAATTAAAGAAAATGAAGAGAAAGAAATAATTAAAGATGAAAAAGATGATAATGTGTCATCTGATGATGATACTGATTCTGAAAATAGCTCAAGTGATGCTTCAGCTGATGAAGAATCAGAAAAAACAGATACTGAAGAAACAACAGATGATAAAAAAAAAGTAAAAATAATTTTTATATTTTTTGAATTTAAAAAACAAAAGCATTTTTAAAGTGTGTAATTTAGATTGGAAATTCAGTGCAAAATGTATGTTTAGTTCTAATAAGATGTCATTATTTTGTTTTAATTATTTAAAAACATCTATAAAAAAATTAATATTTACTACATACCTGAGTTAAAAAAAATCATTTTAGTTCTATAGTAAAGCAAAATCATATTCAATAATTGAAATTTGTTTGGCTTTACTTTTTATTGTATTTTTGATATTCTGATATGAAAAAATCATAATTTCAATTGTGTCAAAATAATGTACAAGTAAGCCATGCTATGAAAATTAGCTTTAAGTTGATACTTTCTAAGATATCACGTTGAGTATATCTTTGTGGGTCATCTTGTAGATTACCAATTAATTAATTTTCAATAATTTTCTTTTTTTTCAATTTAAAATAGTAAAACAATTTTTTTAAAAACAGTCAAACTTAAAATGTTTTAACTAACACCTAATTGTTAACACTTTTTGTGGCATTTTTTTTTTCAAATTAACCACTTAGTAACAAATTGATATTTTATTAAATCTATTTATTAAAACATTTAGATTTCAGCAAATGATGATGATGACGATGATGATTGGGACAAATTTCAATCTGGAGCTAATAAAAAAGACAGAGTACTTGAAGGCAGAACTAAACAATCACATTTAGTTCATTGTCCATATTTTCCTGAGGTGTTAAAATCTCATTATTTAAAAACTGAAAAGAAAATATACTGCGATTTTTATTTTACTAAACATAGTTGTTATGTTTTTACAGGAAAAACATGAATATTGGTGGGTTTATTTAAGTGACCGGAAAAGTCGTACTTTGTTAACTGTTCCATATCATATTACTGAACTTGTTGATGAAGAAGAAATTCAATTAAAATTTACAGCACCTAGATGGCCAGGTGTTTATATTTTCGCTGTTTGTCTGAGATCAGATTCATATTTTGGTTTTGATCAAATGCATGATATCAAAGTTAGTATCATTTAATATCTAAGAAGTATAAATAATTAAAAAATCAAGAAAATTATTTTATTCTAATAATTTTCATATTATATACTTGAATTAATTTTCAAAATATTATCTTTCAATGCCACATAATTTCATGATTTAAATTTTAATTAATAATAGAATAATTTGATTTTATTTATTTATATGTAGTTTACATAAACTACTAAAAATGTTAGAAAAATTGGTTTATTTATCTTAGCCCTACTAATTTTCATAAAATATTCAACACTCAATAAGAAAGTTTTTTATATTATAATAAAATAAATTTACAATCTGTACTACAAATAGCACAATAAGTATATATTATGATAGTTGGGAGAGATATTCTGTAATTGGGGCTACGTGATAGAGGTTAGGTGCATGCTAGTGATACTTATGTATATTAAAATATTTGTAATCAAGAGTTCACTACACCACTATCGCATTTAAATCTATGATAAGGATTTCCAGCAAGTGAAAGAATATGTAATTAATTTATGAATTAAGTGTGGATTTGATGATGACTGCATTAAAATTAATAGGTTAATTTTAGCACTTGGATAGTCAACAATAAAAATATTTTGTGTCTTGAGCTGATCAAATACATAAAATGTTGAATAGTAAATGTAAAAGAATACCTCCTTGATGAACTCTGGCATTAATGATAATTATGGCTAAAGTTGAAGATTTGTAATGTATTTGGAAGTGGTATATCTGTAAGGTATAATTTAATTAAAAGGTTAGGTTGTATCACTCTATCAAATCCCATAGAGATATCCGGAAGGCTAGTGCAATTTTTTTTTTGAGAGAGTTATCAACATCTGTAAACCTGATTTACTATGCTATATTTAGTTTCAAACCCAAATTGGGAAGATAAAAATGTATAAACTTTTGAAAAATAAGTTAGTAGACGAAGTAAAAATATCAGGTGGTTTATCCGGCTTGATGAAAATTATTATTAAGAATTTTCAGTCCTAATATCGTTACATTTTTAAGTTTATTTTGGAAAAATGTATCAAGGTATCTTTAACATTATTCTTATATTGTAATATATAAATATCCTCATAGGGTTGAAAGGTTTTGGATAAATGAGACTAAAATTACTAGTTCTTTTAAATAGTTGTTTTGTTATGAATTTCAGCTGGATGTAAAAGAAGCACCAGAACCCCTCACAGAACATCCTCAATGGGATATATCTGATGAGGAAGATGACCCTAAAGAAGATGACAAACAAAGTGATATTTCAGAATTTACCACTGATGAAGATGTTGAAGTCTAAAAGATTGCTTTGAGCAACCTAACAAATAAAAAGAAGTTCAAAAACAATAAGTATAAATTACAGTAAGTAAATAAAACTTGTGGTAATTTGATTGGTTTGATTTTCTGTTAGTATTTTAAACATAAGGATGATATAAACTTTGAAAATATTGTTGGAATAGATAAAACTTTACGTATTTCTAAGGCTTTTAAACATCATGTTAAATAAATTAACAAGCCCCAACATTATTTACTAAGTTGAATTATAACATCACCCATACGTTGAAAATACCAGAAAAGTACAATTTCGAACACTACTCTAGTTTTATAAATTTAAATTATTGGTACTTTTGAGAACAAATTAGTATATTATAATGTATATGTTATAAAAGAGAAAAAAAAATGTTGTCGGACTGTTCATAATTTATATTCAATGTTAAGTTAAATTTTAATATTTATTGCTTAATTTTAATTGACTGACAAAATATATTTTGTTTATATTTATTATAAATATAATGAATTTATATATTTTTTAAAATCTACCTTTTAGATTCTGAGTGTAGCAAAAAAAATTAATAGTTTTACTAAGATATAATTTTATTTTTTACACAGTATCCTAAGACAGATTTTTCGCCTAATACCTATTTAAAAATTGTTTTAAAATCCCTAACAAAATTTCCTTTTATTTTATTTTATAATCAATATTTATAATTTGTTAGAACTATTTGTATTTTGTTGATTATTCTCAACAAAGATAACAGTTCTACATCAATAACTATACTGAGTATAGTATACAACATGATTAAAGATATCTTTAATATACAATGATGCAGTGAAACCTCTCTTACCGGACAAAATAACTGTCACAACGAAAAAATATGAATTCCTATATATTTCTACCTGTCTCTACTGAACTGTTTCAATTAAGGGGACACAGAAAGTAATATATTTGATAACTGACAATATTATATACATACTGCGCTAGAGATCAGTACGGGCAGTTTTTTTTCAGCCCGGTCCATATTTTATTTTTTTTAAGTCTAGCCCGACCAGGCCCGTTTGTAAATAAAAATATACATCAACTTTATTTCCTATCAATATTGACTTAGTAGACAAAAACATTTCATAAAGACAATAAATATATTACAAAGAAAAATATGCTAAATTTTATTAAAATTTAAATATAATATTAAACCTGCCAATTAATTAATTAATAATAATGAAATACAATTAAAATACAGAAATCAACTTATAATTACATTTTCTTTTTGTAAAAATCATTTAAAAAAATAATCGCACAATAATAAAGATTAAACTAAAATATTATTGGTTTTTACCAGTGATCTATTTATAAATATCATACAGTCTAGTAATTAAATTATTTATAGATATAGAATACATATACACAATGTTACAAATTAAATTAATTAGTTTTATTTTTGACCGACCCGGACCAATGAATAATATTACGATTCCACCTATAACCAACCTGTAATATTTAAATTGTGGTTCGACCCGGAACAAGCCCGATGTGAGTCGGACTGGCCCGGCCCGTGCTGATCTCTATACTGTGCAACAGCGTTGCTGGTCTATTTTTCAAATACAGATTATGATAGATTACATGTTCCATATCACCAGTAATAAAGATAAAGTTAATTTCGTGGTCAGAATAATTAGAAACCAGTATTCAGTGCTTATAGTGCAGTATTACTCAAATATCGCTTCGATATTGTGTTTTGTATTATTGTGTATAATTATAGTTATAGAAACCTTTCTATAACTGATACATTTGATGGTTCCAATAATGTCCATTATAGGAATGTTTGTTTTATTGTAATAACCTAAAACTATTTGTTTATTATATTTCACATGTTTGTTTTTAAGATTTGTTAGGTTCAGGACAAAATTGTAAATATTTTATTATGTAATAATTCATTATTTTTCAAATGAAAGGTATAAAAAAATTTAAAAGTGCTGGAACTTGTCCCTCCCCCTTAAGGATGGTCCTGAAGTTTTTTTCTATAACAAATATATGATAAATTGATAATAATATAATAAACACAATAGTGCTTTTTTAACTATTGCAATTTTTTTTAGTTTTATTAAGTTTAATTAAAATAATTTTTGTTTTGATAACAAGAGTTTAAAAATTTGATGAAAGGGTATAAACATTTTACACAAAATTACACCAGTAATAAAATATTAAAAATCTGGTTAAATTATGTACTATTTTTCAATTTGTGTCATTGGCCTAATAAAAGTTTGATAATTTAATTCAATGTTCAATGGTTAAAAAATTTTGTAGAAATTACGTTTTAAAACTCATGTTAAACCAAATTTTAGTCAGAATGTTTTTTGTTACATAAAAATATAAATTAAATGAAAATGATAGTACTAATTGCTAACTCTATTGGTATGCAGTCATTTCAACACATTATATTATTACACCGATTCATAACAATGTTTATTACCCAACTAGCTATTGCTATTATTAAACAAAAATACATTTGAAACAATTTTGATATTTTAAAATCAAATAATTTATAAAATAAAAACTTTAGAAAACTTTCAAGCAAAATTAGTTTATTTACTTAATTGCATAATTTATGAATGTAATAAAAAAAAAAATGTGCAGTATCTATTGGATCTTATATGGTTAAGATATCAATGTCAATTAATTTATTATAGTTAATAAATAATAAATGCTTATTCCATAACCATAATTTATTATTTAAGTTAATATTATAAATTGAAATTTTATAATAGCCGGTTAAAGAAGTAAATATAAATTTAAACAGGAAAGTATAGCACTAGGAATATCTTATTAAATTTTATATAATGAAATTAATCATTAATTTTAACGACAGAAACTTGGAGGAATCCCATCATCTGTTCTGGCACGTTTTCTTGCATGAACACCAGAAAAAAACTCTTTCACATCTTCCGGTTTAACTACTTTACCTTTTTTATTTAAATCGGTCATCCACTCTACTAACTCTTCTTTGAACTGATTATATCCTAAAATATAATACATCAAGCATTTTATTATTTTGTTTAATGAAAATATAAAAGAAAATACTAACTATGAGCCAATTCCACAGCTGCAACTCTATCCATTGATGATAAAGCTTTAGAAAAATTTTCTTCACTTTGTTGTTCTTTAGCTCTTATTCTTTCTCGGCTTATATCTTCATAGGCTTGCAATGTATCTTTTTGATCAGTTATAAATGGAACACCTTCAGTTTTATATAATTCCTACCCAAATATCAAAGGTTAAAAATATTAAATTACATTTTATACTATCAATCTTACATTACAAGAAGAACATGTACAAAGCTCTTTTCGCCAACCTTCTACCCAAAAAGAACTCCCAATAATTTTTTCAAGGTCTGTTGCATTATTCATCTTACAAATTTCACTATTTGATGTACTGGCTTTATCATAAGTACTATCAGATTTCTATAAAATTATAAAAAAAAAAAAAAACAATAATTAAATGTGTACTTAACTATACAATTAAGTATGCTGAAACATAATAAATTTGTAATTGAACTACTACTATTACTACTCAATTACTTTGACGACCATTTCTTTAGAAACATCACTATCCACTTTTTCGGTATCATCTGAAATAATAATTTAAAATTTTTTTTTTTTTGTTAATATAATAATTGCTTATTACAATATAATACCTGCCGATACTTGGTCTGCATTTTCCACATCTACAACCTAAATTAAACATACGTATACATAAGTTTAAAATAAAATGTATTTATATTAGCATAACGCATTTTAAAAATAAAAATAAAAGTTTGATAGTATAGTAGTAATAAGTATAAGGCAAGTAAATACAAATAAATAAAAAAGTGTACAGTATTTTAACACCCTGCCAAAAAGTAGTTGAAATAACCTAACCTAACCGATTTTGAATGAAAACGAAAGTAGAGAAAAATGTTCTGAAAGCATTTTAAAGACTTAATATAAAATATTTTTTTATGTAGGATAGATATACAAATTACATTTTTTATTTGGCAAAAATATTAAACATTGAATTTTCCTATACTTAGATTATATATTTATTAAATATCAATTAAGTATAATTATAATATCAGTTTTATGACCTAAACATTCTTATCTGTTTATTATTATTTCATTCTATAGACTTAGTAATAAAATTGAGTATACCTTTTTGTTTAGTTCATTGTTAAATAAAGATCATTAATATAAATCAAACACTAATAACTAACAAATAGCATATGATGTACGATCATATTAAAATAATTAATATAATATGTATTTTTTTTTTTTGTTAAGGAATCAAATTTCATATGCAAAGTCAATGACCAGACCAGCAGGATGAAAATTTTATTTTATAATAATTATTTTTGTATTGTATATAAATTGTGTAATCAATAAATTAAAAACATACCTCAGTCTCGTCACCTTTTTCTACAGTCTGTACTGAATCATCGGTTACTGTAAAATAATATGATTAATTAATATATACCTGTTAAAATGTAAATATAAATTTGTATATTAAGGAAGTCTCTAATTGTTTAAATGGTTGTTTTTTTGATTACATTATGGATTTTTTTTAAAATATTGAATAAATGGAATAATTAATTGTTTTTGTAATATTTATAAAAAAAATAAGTATATTATTTATTAATTATTCATGCATACATTAATTTTAATAAAATAAAATACAAAAACAAAATTGATAAATAAATCTACATAGACAAAATAAAATGTTCAAATTTGAATACTACAAGACAAATACACATTGTTTTTGGAAGCATTTTGAATATAGTTAATGCTTTAAGATAGTTATTGTATATTCTTAATACTTGTTTTAATAAAGAAGAAAACCCCCCAAGAAAAATAAACATTTTCAAGAATATTAATTTTAACAATTTCTAGGTATGAATATAATCAACGCAAAAAATAATAATAATTAAACTATGATAAATAACAGTAGAATGAAATGGATCAATAAGAGTAATCAAACTTCCTTAATTCATTTCCTCAATATTTTAAACTTTTTTTCTCAATTTTAAATTACAAAGAAATTAGACATTTATATTATATTTAAATTTAAGATGTGATGGAAAGGCAGAAGGCCATTATTGTCAACATTAAAATTTGACATACATGGGAGGGGAGGGAGAACTGGCTGATTCTTTTATTGTTTAAAACTCATTATCTTGGCGAGTTTTAATTTTTTTTGGAATTTGGTATTATGGAAAATTAGAAAAAAAACACTAAAATTTTACATTTAGATTAGTTTTTTTTTTTTTTTTTACAAATCCCCAACTTTTGGAGGTGAAACAACTACCTTTGATTTTTAAGTGGTATCTTATATTGAAAATGCATTAGTGTAATTAAAATGTATTAGTTAAAATACATTTTGGTATTGAAATTTTAAATGTCTGTCAATCTGTTGACGAAATGTTTCACTTTAAGTTCAGTTGGTCAGAGGAGAGTAATAGTGCATTATTCAAGTTTCGCACTTTGCCCCCACACACAAATGTTACTCCGCTACTTTCTCTTGACCAAAATTTAGAAGTGTAATACCTTGTCAATGAATTGACAGAAATTAAAGATGTCAACATCAAAATTTATTTTAACTAATACTCCCATCTATTTATGGAATTTTTCATGTAGCTTGCTATCTAAATAATATCAAAAGAAGATAGTTAGTTTACCCCTCAAAAAAATGGAGATGTAAAATTTTAGTTGCTTTTTTTTTTAAAAAAAAAATTTCTTTAAAACGGGTAACAAATAACAAGTTAACTCTCTAAAGATAATGTGTTTAATGTTAAAAAAATCACCCGGTATATTAAATCTTAAATATTCGATTTTTAGGTGGACTCATTAAAAATTGTACAAACATCACTTTCCACATAAATATTATATAATTGATTGTTATATATCTGTAGTATGGTGCAATAAAAGTTTATACTAAATAAAAATTGAAAATCGGAAGTTAACAAAAATATATTAATTCCCAACAATCTAATAATTATCAATAAAAATAATTCTTAATTAAAGTAATACTTTTTTTTTTTAAGACACTGGGCCGAGGACCAGACCACAGGTGAATTTAAATACATAATGATTCCACTAAGCGTGTTTAACCCACAGTTTTGATTCAATTTAGCATACATTCTAATCGTGATTTTGGAATTATTTAAGCATAGTTAAATAAATAAGTTAAATATTTAATATAGCTAAATAAATTTAATATTTTCAAATAGGTACTTAGATGTTTCACAACACTTAAGGAGTACCATCATCTGGTAAAACCAACTTTGGTTTTTCAAGTAAACATATATGAAATATTTCACCAAAATTTAGTTTAAACTACACTTAAAAATTTCATATATCAGAATTTAACCAAAAAAAAAAATGGAATGAGCACACTTATTGAATCACTCTGTATATATATATGTAAGCAGGCCATTTATGACTTTTTTTTGTTTTAAGATAAAATGAAGGAAATTGAAAAAAATTAAAAATAACCTAACCCTATCTGTTGCTATGTCACCCATCCATCATATTATTTCAAGCTTTCCAAGCTTAGCAGTTTACTTGTCTAAACATTAAATTATAGTTGGCTCTTGCAATACATTCTCCCACCCACCGGTAGGTATTCCACACTCTTAAACAATTATTAATATTATGTTTTTCTTAGCAACTATTTATTAGGAAAAACTGAATATACTTGATAAATAATGAATATAACGGATACTGGAGAATGCATTTAAAACAGTGTCACTTTTAACAGTGGCGAAATAGGCATGGTTGGAAATTTTAAGTATCTAGGATCTTTTATAAGATTAATAAATATAGCAGTAACCAGAATGTTCAGGTGGATGATTGAAGTGAGAAGATAGGATAAAGAATGAGTAGATAAGAGGTGCATAGGTGTGGCTTCTATAGTGTAAAAAAGGGAGAGAAAATAGACCCAGATGGCTTAAGATGGTCAATAGAAAAGATGAAACAAAAACAGTATAAATTGTAATGATAAATAAAATAACACCTTTCGGAAATATGTATATGTATAAAATAAATAATATTGTCTATGTGAAGTAAGCTAATATTTAAAAAGCATATTGAATAACAGTGGTTTTAACTGACAATTTAAACCAGAAAAGTTTATTATTTTGTATGATCTATACCATAGAAGTAGAAAAGGGTTATAACTGATCATGGAAAATGAACATTAAGTTTATTATTCCTTTGTTAGAGGTTATACATGCATATCATAATTTATTTACAGATAGTCTATTCAAATGTTTAAAAGAGGAAAGGGGAATCCCCATTAGAAAATCAATATTATATTCTCATTTAGGTATAAAGAATAAAAATAAAGCTAAAAGATTCAATAATTATTGAAAAACAGAAATCAAATTCACATAAAATCCTCCATAAAATCACTGCTTATGATAAATGGACCCTCAAAATATATTTATATATATTAGCATTCTGCAACAATAATTGATTAATATTAATAAAGCTTTATTATCGTAATATTGTAAAATTAAAACAAAGTTACAGGTATTTAAGTATTTCAAAAATAAATATGAAATAATAACAATGGTATGTTTGAAGTTGATATAAAAGTGTAATCAATAATCACTATATTTAACCATAAGCAGCTTACTTTACCTAATAAATACTAAATATTAGATAAACAAGATAAATATAAATACCATGTTGACTATTAAGTTTTAGTCAATTTCTTTTCTTAATAGAAAATTCACCAAATTAAAATTTCAACATAAAAAAAGGTTATTTCGAAATAAAAATTCACCCTTTAAAGATTACTCCTAATATAATTTAAAGATTAGTTAAACAAACTATAGCATACTAGTATTTTAAATCTTCAAACTAACTAAATTCTTACCTATTAAATGTTTATAAGCCGGTAAGAAACTCAATTTAGAAGTACAACCTGAACATATCATTTCGGAATAATCTTCTGGGTCCATATCTTTTGTACCCAAATGCTAAAAAAAATTATTTGAAAAATTAAAATATAATTTATTTATATCTCACAAAAATGTAAACAATAGCAATACCTTGCTATGAAACCAATCTTCACAAACAATGCATTGAATCATTTCATCAGTGTTTCCTTCATCAGGATAAGGGCGTTTACAACTGCAGTACAATCCTTCAAAATTTTGATTGTAAACATTAAGATCATTTGCATGCGGTTTTGTCTGTTAAATGTAAAGAAGTATAATTAGGTATTTTATACAAATTAATTTATTATACCTAGATCAAAATATAATATGAAAATTCTACACAACTTTTGTAGGGACCATCAAAATTATTGTAATACAAAAAGCAAGAAAACAATTAGTTGATTGGTCCCAGAATAGTTCGTGGAACTTTTATACATAAATGATTTAAAAATTATTTTTTGAAGTTAATATATTTTATTTTTCTAAAATAATCTTAAAATGACATTAAAAACTTTCTTTGTACCAATGATGATATTTTTAAAAATAATGTATTACATATACATTTATAACATTATTTACTATCAAATATTAGTAAATATATAAAATCCTAAAAAAATTGTGTGTATAATCAATATGAATATGAAAAATTAAAAAAAAAAAAGGTATTTAATTTAGACTTAAATTAGTTAAAAATTTAATATAAAAATGAAATTTGTTATTGCCTCATAGAAGTGTAAGTCTTGCGTTCATTAAATTTTTGTTACATGTATGTATTTATACATATTTTGTGTAACTCATATAAGTAATTTAATTTTGTCGACCTTTTACAGATAATACTGATATCGTTTTGGTTAACATATTTATCATAAGTACTGTTTTTATTTATTTTAAGTAATATGTAATTCATAATCGTTTTTTATTTTAATGAGTCAGTTGTTCAACAAGACTTGCTATCCACAAGACAGTTTTCATGTACATACATAATATTACTATTACGTATTTACATATTTGTTAATTTATTAATATTATTTGCTAATATGACAACAAAACATCCAATTTCAACTTCTATGATTTTTAAGGAATAAATTGTAAGTACGATAAACCGATTTATAAGTATTTGTTAATTTTAGTACTGTATATAATTTAATAAAATTTAATACAAATAATTAAATCGTACAATAATAATAAAATGTATGTAAAAAGTGAAACACTTAACATTATGCTTCCTAGTAACCTAACCTCGACATTAAATGAGGATTATTGTAACTGTATTACTAATCTAAAATTGAATTAAGTCACAAAAGATTATTAGTATACAATAATAGCAATATGTATTAGAAATATTCATGTTCTAGACATTAAGTATTATTAATATTAAAGAAAAACAATCACAAAGTGATAATTCACTACAATAATATTTAAAAAAAATGCTTATCTAATTAGATAAATTAGTTAATTAATCTAATTAGATTGGAGGCATATAACAATTTCTGTTTGAAATTCTCATTTTTCAAACAATTTTGTTTCAATATTTAATATGTAGTTGGTATTCAAAAACTAAATGTTTTTATGTCAAATGTGGAACCCTCATTAATTGGCCGTAAAATGAATAATGATATTATATTAGTAATGGGAATTTTCATTTCTTTAATGGAATCATTTCAATCAGTACAGTTTCAAAAAAGTAACAATTCCAAAAAAAATGTTACATAGGTAATTTATTTTTAGTAACATGTCATGTCATCGATCTTGTCTAATCTCGATTTTGAAATTTTGGAATCCCTGAATTCAGAAAAAAATAAGCTATCATATTATAATATATTCTGTATGCTATCTTCATGAAAGAATTAATAAAAAATAAAAAACAAGAAACTCCCATGTGTTACCTACACATGAATCGTTAGTGAAATATCTTCTTTGTAGTTAAAAATGCTCTATGTGACATTAATCGTTATTAGAAAACGTCCTATGTAACATTGAAAAACCCCGTATGTGACGTTAAAAACCTATGTGATTTTAGCAAAAATGTTAAACCTATAAAATGATAAAATATTAACAATTTAAACAATGTATTAATTATAACTACTAAGTGTTTTACTTCAATTTTATTTTTCAGAAAAAAATATTTTATGGTGTTACAATTTTAAAATTTATTTTTGCTAATCATTAAAACTTTTTGATTTTTTAAAACGTTTTTTGTATCTCCTGAAGAACCAGGTTTTAGCACATAGGTTTTTTCACGTCAATAGCAACAATATGTTGTTAACTGCATGCAAATAATTATTATTTTAAAATTTTAGTTGATATATTATATTTATAGCGCACTTAACAATATCACCAAATGGTAGCTGGTAGATTTACTATCATTATCAATATCACGACCAATCAGAGGGTAAGACATGAAAACATGAAAATAGTGATTTTGTATTTAATAATCAAAATTTATACACTGAATAATTCTTTTACTTACAGGTTCCAATTGACAGTTAGAAGTAAACTTATCACTTCCACAATCACAGCGAAAATTTCTAAAAAAATAAAAAATGTATGTGTACATAATTAGTTAACGTTGTTATTTAAACAAAATAATATAACAAATGCAGAATGGAAGATAATTGCATGTTTATTTCACTAATTCAAATTAAATTAATCATAATAGTACATATGTACATTTTTTTAAAAATATTAATCATAATATAATTCTTAGATTTGTTTACGATATATATTTGTTGGATGCTATACCTACCGAATGGATCAGATTTCATATTTTTACATTTAACCTTTTGATATATTGAAAAAAATTAATTATTATAGTAGTTATTTCATAAAATCTAGTTATTAAATACAATTTTGATTTGATTTCTATTATACATTTAAATATAAAACAAAAACATACACTATTATTGTTTATTTATTCTTCTTTCTTGTATACAAAATTAAATTTGTTTAAATAAATACTAAAAGATAACTTATAAATTCATAGGTATTGATTTAGTTATAAAGCAATAAAAATATAAAATATTTAAATTTGAAAAGAAATAGTATAATATTATAACCATTTGAGATTCAGAGCATAGCGACAAATATTTCAATTTCATTTATTTGAAGGCCCAAAATATAAGTATAGTATAACAATACAAAAGCAATTAAACTAAAATATAATAGTGTTAAACGAAATAGAGGTTCTTATTAGTTATATTTTATACAATTATAATATGAAAATTTCTGAGACATTTTTAATTGTTATGTATCTGTAAAGCACTTTCTTATTAGAAAACTATTCCTATATGATTTTTAAGTATAATATATATTTCAGTGAAACCTTTTGATAGATATCTACTTTATGGAACACTTTTTTTTTTAAAAACTTTTGTAGTTAAGCATTCTGAAAATTTTGGTGAAGTTATAATTTAAAACTCGGACTTAGTTTTTGAGTTAAATACTTAGAAATCAGTATACATTATTTGTGCTAAGTTATTATCAAGCGAACAAGTCACAATGCCGAGTCTCTAGTTCTACCGATAATACTTTATTTTTCCTACTAGTCGTGGCTTTGCACAATAAATCGAGGGAAATTTTTGTTTTTAATTGTCCGAATGAGCGAATGACCATATCAGGTAAATATTAGTATGTATAATTAAAGCCATACAGGAGAATGGAACGCTGAACACCGAGTTATAATTCAAGCGAATTAATCACTGCACAACAGTTCAATTGGCTATAACTTTAAAACTAAGCTCATGTTCCATATTCTGATTTTACAGACATTTTTTTTTAAGTCCTTCAACAAAGAGGTGTCTCAAAAAGTAGTAGTAAAGTTCGAAAATTTTTTTTTTTTTTTAATTTTATGTTATGAAAAATTATTTAAAAAAAATGAATTTCTTGACTTACCTCTTTGTCCATAATTCAACCAGGTTATGATTATCATGACATTGAAACATACATGGTAAACATATTGCACCAGATACTTTGCCTTCTTCAGTACAAGTTAAACATGCATATAATGCTTGCCGGTTCATGTATCCCTGGAACACAACAAAAATAACTAAAATCTATTCACTACTTATAATTCTACAATAGTTCTATCATTATAAGTTACAAACCATTGAATAAGTACAATTTTCACCATCCGATGCTTCAAGTATCAAATTGGCTTGTTCTATTTCAGCATTTTGACCATTAATGTATTCTACAAAATTTACAATTTGATCATCTTCATTTTCATTGAATGAATTTCCTTCAGATTCTGACATAATTTCAGGTCAAGACACTTAATAGTGCAGTCTTGATCTTAAATAACAACTCTCAATGGCTCAACAATATGTCCACGACACAAACATCAACTAGAGTACGTTACGCAATACGGACCCATAAAAAACAAATTACATGAAAAACAGCATCATTGAAATGACAGTAAATACATAACAAAACAGTAGTTAGTGCTCATGCATAGGTAGTCTATGGTTTATTGTGTTAGTAAATTGTTCAGTTTAGTACTACACTACTGCCATCACCGTCGCGGCGTCGCCGCGATGGTAGTTCATCCAAAGACCGCGTATGGAAACAGTGATACCACCTTGGTCTTAATCAAGAATAACCAAGATCACGAATTAAAAATATAATATACAGAATACGTATTTCAGCCATAGACATATTATTTCAGCATGAAAAAAGACCCTCCGATAAATTAGTGTTTAATAACCTTTCGACATAAAATCACACAAAATTACATCGAAAAACGACATCCGACTAAAAATCATCATAAAATAATAGTACCAACCTTACAATAGGGTACGCATTTTACGGAATCAAGTGTGTAGCGTCACTCCTAAAAGCTACTCGACAATATTAACACACACTTAACTTAAATCCACGTGATAACAAGACTAGGAAGAAAAGAACGGAAAAAAATAATATTATTTTCAATATTGTCGTTATTTCATATAGTCTTAAAATATTATTCTATAATATAATTTTTTCGACCCGGGAAAAATGCATCAAAACGACCAATGAGCCTGCACCACGAATTAAGATATATCTTAGTTAAGACATCTTAATTAATGACACATTTTAGATTCCGAGCTTAACAAAGAAGCTATTGGTTTTACAATGTTGTTTATTTCTTTTTTTTTATTGTTTGCTCCTGTCTGTGTACATGTTTTTTCCTAGTAAACTTGCTCTGATTTTGATGTATAGCAACTTTTCTGAAAGCTCAAGTTGTCTAGACTATACTTTAGAGAGGTCATTTTTTGATTTTTGACGATGTTTTTTAAATGAAAGCACTTAAGTGGGAAAAAACAGAAAAACATACAATTTCACGATTTCATTATTTTATAAAAATACGGACGACGTTATCTACCAGAAAAAATGAATAAGTCGAAAAATCACAAATTACCTTTTTGATTTACTTTTTTACGGTATCATCACTAAAACTTTAGAGGCACTTTTAAACTTTTAAGGAATTAAAAATTTCGCTATAAAATTTAGTTATAAATACATGTAGAGACTTGGAACTTGGTAATAATATTTATTGGACTTACCTTAGATATGGTAAAATTTTCAAAATTATCGGACGACTTATTTTTTTTTTTTAATAAGCGTTTTTAAATGAGATTTAAACAAAAATCACAAAAAAAAAATATACGGCACTTCAAATTATGTATTATCGAACTGCGCTCAGAATCGTCTACCGTCAACAATGGTTTATCGTAGCTTACAGATATAAATGAAATAATCTTATGTATCCTACCTTCCCAACTTTCCACTTACAACAGTGGCTACACCCATCAGCTTTGTTTTTTTTTTTGTATTGAACAATCAAAAAACGTGTTTTGGCAAGTTAATATCAGAAAAGAATTCCAATTTTTAAAATGTAAGTTAATTTTTTCAATTAAAATAGTATAGTTAAATTTTTTTCAAAATTTATGTTTATTATATTACCTAACATAGAATTTTCACAAAAAAATTATTTTCCCTTTCCATTTATAGTAATAATCAGTAACCTATATATAGGGGAGGGTTTTGGGGGTTCAACCTTCCCCCCGAAATTTATTTTTAGCACGGCACACGTGCGAAATATTTATTAATCTATTTGATCTATGTATTAACTAAAACCCTAAAGTTTTTTGTATAACTTGCCTTCAAATTAATTTCTGTATACGCCACTGGTAATAATGCAACATTAACACAATAAAACCATGGGTGCAACTAAGGGGTGTTAAGGGGTTTTTAGCACCCCCAAGTTAGAATTAGTCCCTCCCCCTAAAAAAATCCCAATCAGTTTTGTCACATAGTTACGACTAAATATTTTATTCGTATTATATTTCATAATTAATGAGCAGAAGAAAGTACAAGTTTCCTACAGACAATGTATGTGCAGTGTATGAAAAATAATGTTAAAATAGTTTTGATAAATTTGTGTACACAAAATTGTATATGAAAGGTATAGTTAATTATTGTAAGAGCCGTTTTGAGAGGATTCTGGGAGTATAGCTCCCATGCGTCTTCGATATTTCCATAATTTTCCACCCCCAAAGTTGATTGTTTAGTTGAATTTAAACCCAAGTTTTCCATTATTTTTCCGCTTTTTAAAATATATTAGTAAAAATTATGCAGTTTAACGCAATTTTGAATACATATTGTTAAAATTTAAAAAAAAATTGCTTCATATCGCTTTAATCATGTTACACATATTATTTTACACGTATTATTGATAATATTTAATTCAAACATTTATTTTGTTTTATTCTTCCACAAGTTTCTCACATAAAAATAACGATCTTATTTTTTTTACTCATCCAATGAATTCTAGGCAATTTACAATACTATAATGAACAAAAAGAATATAATATTTGATCACCTAAATGGTTATATCACATATGCAAGCATATCTATTATTTTCATTATTTGTTTACTAAACTATTATTACGATTGTATTGTAAAAACCTGCACGATGTTAGTGCTTTAGTAACTTTAAACGTAATTTAAAATATAATAATAAATATAATATAAGATATGGGATATAATTTATTATTTGACGTACAGATAAGGAATACCAAAATTTAATATTGGAGTACTGATTAATTGTACTATAATATAGAAAATAATAATTTATATTAAATAAATAAATATTATGATCATATATTATATTAGGTAATAACATAACTTAAACTATTTGAAAAAGAACAACAAATTAGGAACAAAGACTTTACATTATATAGAGAGAAAAAAATTTAACAAATAATTATATTAAATTGTTTTGTATTCATGAAACATTCGTTAAAATAATACGAAATAATAATTTTTTTGTCAAAAAAAAAGTTCAGAATGATAATTTAAATTATAATTATACTATTTTTGCATAAAATTATTCAAGTACTCAATCTAAAACGGTTCAAATATCGTTATCAAATGAAGCAGTGTGTAACGTTATATGTTTTCATTGTACCATTTACGGATTAACTCTAATTATTTTTTACTGAAGTCTAAGGTTGTATAATAATTGTCAACTAATATTATTTAAATTAGACTTGAATAATCGACAGTTCATAAAGAAATTTAGACTTCCAAAACATAATGTTCGTAATCTGATAGGTCATATACAGTGGTGGCGTGATAGGGAATACCCTATGGCCTCATGACTAATTGGGTGGTGGTACTCACAGTCTAAAAAAATGAGATCTCAAAATATCTGTGTATTTTTTTAAAAATAGGCGCCAAAATGATCGTATAACCAACGCAATTTTCATTATTTTATTAATGTTTATCTTTATTAGATTATAGCCTACTGTCAAAAATACAGATTTTTCTTGTTGATCGAAAATCAGTAAACTAGAAAGCTTATATAAATATATATAGATAAAAAGGGTTTATGATTAAAATACTAAATTAATGTAATATGAAAATTAAAATAATATACCATAAAGTTACATCAATATATCAATGCTAATTGCTAAATTTCAAAAACGTTATCAGTAAACCGTTTATGATAGAACACGCCTATTATAATAATTGTCATTGTCGTCTTGCCAGTTTATTAGTTGCGGAATGTAAATTTGTGAAATTGTGACAGTATGTAAAATGGTCTTTAAAAACACAGCAGCTTTATTGGACGGCGTAAACACCGAATTCATAGTTTCAATATTTGAGTAATTTCATTAATAACATCTATCTACTGGCAAAATAATAATACATGACTCATTGAATACTATTGTTTTGTATTTACAGGGATACTATTTTTATTGTGATCACTCAAAACTCAAAACTAGGAACTTTGTATCTGTTTAAACCAGAGTGTTCTAAAGACCAAGAATACGACTTACAGTAAGCACTTGGTTTATCTATTATAATATTTATTGTGTGTACATTTTTTTATTTCAGAGTACTTTTTGGTCGGGAGGACGATAATTTAACATCAATGGTTGTAAGTTTAATGCGTGCAATTAACATTGACCGCAGAGCTATTATTTCACTTATGCTGGATAATACATACACTATCAGAACTATAAGAGCTATAGAAGAAGTGTTATCCAAATTGATTTAAATATTTTCTATTACAATAAAATAATAATAATGCCACTATATGGTCAATTTGTCATTGGTCCCCCTGGCAGTGGCAAAACTACCTATTGCGATGAAATGAGCAAGTACTTAAAAGAAATGGGCAGACAAGTAGCTATTATCAATATAGGTTAGTTATTTAGTTTTAAAATAACTATATATTAAACATAAATTTGGCTATCCTTTGCACACACATACATTTTTTGCAATCATAACGATTAATAAAAATCATGTTTCTCCCAATGTATCATTCTGTGTAAACAAGAGAGTGGTGATTGTGATTGTATAAGAGAAAGATGAAATGATATTAGTGATAATGTCAGCATACAAATTTGTGTTCATTGTTGTATCCTTATGTTTAATATTTATAAAAATTAAAATTTCCCTTGTTTTAATGTGCTGGTTTATAACATTTCAGTCTGAATATTTATTATGGTATAGTGTTATATTTATTAATTTAAACTTTGCGTACATTTAACTTTTTTCATTATATGCCACATAGGCTAAAACCATTGTTATTTACTGTGTTTGCTTAATGTAATAATAACTAATTGGTAATATTAGCAATAAGTATTTGTACATTACGATATAAGGTTAAGGTTAAATATAAGAGAATGTCATACCTATATCTACTGTCTTGGTTTAACTAATAGGATATATAATGAAATTCCAAGGATTAAAACATAAATTGCGACATTATTTAGGTTAGAATTAGAATTCAAACAAAAATAAAAAAATGTATAGAGGTGAATATTTTTGAGTGTTGTGCACAGCTTTTTAAGCTTTTAAAGCTTTTAAAGATCCATTTTAGATTCTGAGGGTAGCGAGGGAACTATCAGTTTTACTATGCAGTTTATTTCTTCTTTGTTCTAGTCTGTGGACACATTTTTTCCTAGTAAACTTGCTCCAATTATTATGTATAGCAACTTTTCTGAAAGCTCAAGTTGTCTAGACTATACTTTAGAGAGGTCATTTTTTGATTTTCGACGATGTTTTTTAAATGAAAGCACTTAAGTGGGAAAAAACGTAGGAAAACATACAATTTCACGTTTTTATTATTTTATAAAAATACGGACAACGTTTTCTACCAGAAAAGTCGAAAATCACAAGACACCTTTTTTGTTGTCATTTGATTTACTTCCTTATGGTATCATTGTCAAAACTTTTGAGCTTTTAAGGAATTTAAATTTTTGGTAGTATTTTTTCTGTAAATCAATTATAAATAAACGTATACTATAAACTAGAAACTTGGTAATAATACTTATATTGGACTTACCTACTCGTGGTAAAATTTTCAAAATCATCGGACGACTTATTTTTTTTATTAGTAAAAAAGATTTATACACTACAACATTTAAAAAAACTTTTTTATTTGCGTTTAAAATATAATTGTATATAACCTGTTATTATTGAGTAAAAGCACGAAATTATATAATACTATGAATCAAATATTTAAAATTTTTATGAAAAATAACTATTTTATATTGTGTTAAAGTAATATGTATTCTTTTTTTAGATCCAGCCAATGATTCAGTGAAATATGAAGCCGCAGTTAATATATCAGAACTTATAACAGTTGAAGATGTAATGGAGTATGTAAATTTAGGACCCAATGGGTCATTGATATTTTGTATGGAATACTTGGAAAAACGGCTCACTTGGTTGTTGGAAAAATTAAGAAAATACACGGATTATTATTTACTATTCGATTGTCCTGGACAGGTACATAATTAATTGTATATAATGTTCATTTATTACGAGGTTTCTAGTTAATTTTATATAATATTAATTTATTAAATAATTCTTTAAGTAACATGATATAATACTATAAATTTAGGTAGAAATATACACTCATCATAATTCAATGAAAAATATTATGTCTGCAATTCAAAATGAACTCGATTTACGATTATGTTGTGTTCAGCTCATCGACTCACATTATTGTAGTGATCCAAGTATATAATTTATCTATTAATATTAATTAACAGTATAGATAATTATATTATTTATTAACGTGATAAAAATTTTACATTATTTAAAATCATTTTCAGGTAAATATATTTCGGCACTATTAATGTGTACATGTACCATGTATCAAATGGAATTTCCTCATGTGAATATACTGTCAAAAATTGATATAGCTATTAAACACAAGTCTAAGCTTTTATTCAATTTAGATTATTACACGGATGTTTTAAGTCTTGATCAGTTATTGGATTCTTTGCAAAATGATCCTTTCACTGCTCGGTAAGTACATTGTTTTGTTTTTACTAATTATTAACCAAATTAGAAAGATTTTTATAATAATTGGTCCCTCTGTCATATTTAAATTAAATCTTCGATTTTACCATATTATATATAGTGTATTGCTATTATACATTTATAACTTTCAGTGTTTTGTAGTAAATAGTGTTCTTTTTTTTATTTAAATGTCCATACTCGATTTGTATTAAATAATTTTTTTTTTTATAGATATTATCGGTTGAACAAGGCTATAATTAGTATGATTGAAGGATACAATATTGTATCATTTATACCACTAAACGTAAAAGATAAACGAACAATGGAATTAGCAAGAAAAAATATTGATAAAGCAAATGGATATATATTTAATTCAGAAGAGAACCAAAATGCTATGTTAAATTCAGTTATGCAATTGGACATCAATGATCTAACTCTTGATGTTTTAGAAGATTTACCTAAAACTGATTCAATTGAAATGGCACAAGATTAAATTTTATTGTTTTCTCCAATGTGTGTTATATAAAACCTGATAAAAAAATAAATAAATATTAAATATTATAGTAATACTAGACACGTTTAATTTATTTGGTCATTAAATAATTGTTTTGTTTTTTAACAAACTTGTGTTAGACAAAAAATAAAAATGTGCGCAGGCAAGTCTAAAGGTGGTCTCTCCACCGTATACGTGTTTTGTTAAAAAGCTATACAAACTATGTATCTTCACATTTGATGTTTCCTGTTTCTCAGTATTTTGTACTGTTGTTTAGTTTTTACATTTTTAGATATGCAATTTGTATTATTCAGATCCTACAAACATTTGTGCTTTTTAAATTTGTCTATTTATGTTAGCGCTAGTTCATCATTCCACTCTGACACTATGATTATAACTAATTGACAAGTTAAAATTGTTACAAAATGTGATTTAACACAATATTGATAGTAAAATGTTGATAGTAATGGGATTACCTATATTAATTATCAAAAAATATACACTGTTCCTGAAAACAGCGCGAAACAACACAAAACACAATTAAACAATGAACATTTTTTTTAGTGTTCTTTGATTTCATCAATTTACTGCCTTGGTTGCAAAACAATGCAAAATGTTTTGTGAAAAAGCCATACCACTATTCATAAAATTACTCAAAAACTTAAAAACACGAAACTCGAAACTTACATAGTATGGAATGGTTTTAATAATATGTAATATTATGTTGCAATCATCAACTAACAAGTTGTTTTAATATAATACAATGCAACGTGGGTAATGTGCAAGTAAATATAGTCTCTCTAGGTCTTTATAATATAAAACTGGACATACATATTTTATATTTAGAGTATATTTCATTGTCTAGTATATAACATATTCCAAAATAGTTTGATAAATTTAAAAAAAAAATATCAAATATAAACACAGTATTAAATGATTATACATATCTAGACCAAGTAAAAGTGTAATTAATTTTAACAACAGTGAAAACACATTAACTTTAATAAACTTAAAAATACAATACTATAATAAGTTTAAAAACAAAATATTTCAATTATTTTGCCTAACTATCAATAAAGAATGATAATATTTTTTCAATAATTTTTAAAACATGATTAAGGAAATTTAATTAAAACATTCCTGAAGGATTTATTATATAGTATACAATTAAAAGTTTAAATCTTACATTAATATACTGAATGACCAAAAAAAAAAAGTAAATATAACAATATATATAACATAAATTAAATAACAATAAATTGTTTAAATAACGCCTTAGAAAATGTAATTATATAATCTCTTAATAGTTTAAAACTGAGATTATAAAGTTTAATTTTGATCACAGTCATTTTAAATTCTATATTATCCCTATGATAGGATATTAAAGATAATTCATTAACAAGGCCTTTTCATAATCATCTTCTTTAGAATTACTGTCACTAGATAATATTGTATCAGAGTGAGATAGTGAAAATCCGAGTAACTCATTAACTGAATCTTGTAATGATGGTTGTGCTTCTTTAAGCTGTTCATAAATACTATATGCAGTAGTCAAGGCTTTATCCAAATCGATTCGTTCACATAAATTATTAACATGCTGAAAGTAAATGAAAGGATTCTCATGTTATCACTCATTTTAATAAACAATAAAATAAATGACATCACTAACTTTTAATATTTCTGTTAATCCATAGTTCTCATTGATAATTGTATCTTTTTCGTTATCCAATATTGCTACACATATTAGCAAATGGAAATTTGCACATGGAATATCTGTCCACAGTACTTCCCATAAGCGCATAATATCAGAATGAACAAATTCTCGTTTAAACAAAACTAAAAGCCATCTGAAGCAAAAATACATGTTGCTAGAATCCATTTTTTTTAAATGATTTTCTAGTTCTGGTGATACAGTTGTTAGCAAGTAATGTAAATCATTTAATTGTTTTTTCATGCCAGTTTGTTTTAGTTCAAAATTGGTGTTCTAAAACAAAATAATTTAACTTAATTAACTTTTTTAAATAATTTTTGTTTATTTAACTCACAACTCTGTTCATGAAACCAACAAAACACCAAAATGATTCTACTTCGTCGCTCTTCATTATCATTAATATTGGTGATAGTAGATCACTCATACCCTGGACATAACCGAGATCAAAATTGTACATTACATAAGTCATTAATACATTGTGAAGTTTAACAAGATTTTCATTTCCATCTCCAGCAAAAAAATCAAGAGTTCTATCTGTTCTATAAACATCTTTATCTGTAGGATCATAAAACAAAATATATAACTATTATACATTATGTTTAAGGCGCCATATGGTGATATTCCAAATTTTCTTTAACTTAGTAAAATTGTTTATTTATTTTTACCATGACCACCTTAAAGATAAGACGACTTCCACTAATCTACTACTCAATACTCATTTAGAAAAAATGGATAGGGCCAGTTTTATGAAAGAAAATGACTGCACAGAAATAGGGATAACTCAGTTCTCATTATAAACATACTTAATTTTTTTTAAATTGATAAACAATATTTTACAGTCTACAATAGTAAAAAAAAGTTATAACAAAGTTTGAAATAAAAAAAATATTGAAAATATTGTTTGTGGGATGTCTTCCTCTTTTCAAAATTAAATGACTGCGAAGCGTGAGTTTTTCTCATAAGGTGTGTTTTTGAGCTAAAAACACCCGAGCATCAGTCCCCTTAAAATTAAAAGTACAAAATCTAAAAAGTAATGTAATATTTACCTATCAGACTCTTCCGATCTCTGTACATATTAAATCGTGATATTTGATCTGGAGACATATTCATCCATTGCACTTTCATTCTTTCATATTCAGCTGCTTGTAGTTTATCAATATATAACCTTTGTTCTCGGGTAGAATTCCAAGGGTAATATCCAAGTAAGTACTTCCACACTTCGTATCTTATTAAATGTTCACAACCCTATAACATACATTAAATAATAAATACTTATTACATACTGAATCTATACTCAAACAACTTACTCCATAAAATATAATATTTTTGATATTATCTGGGTTTAAAATTCGACCCTCGTTATCCATGGATTGATAAAAAGTTGCTTGATTTAAAGGATTTCCTCTAGGCTTTGCTACTGGTCTTGGTGGTAATACAGATGGGGGATGATCTACCATAGTATATTCATCATCATCTTCTACTCTATTTAAAAGCTCAGCCACTTCTTGGTCTGGTCTTGTGTCAGGTGTACGAGTCACTAAATATTTAATTGGAGTAAATTATCTACTGCAGTATCCCGATAAATAGTAATAATGCATATTTACTCACAAAGAACATCACTAATTTTTGCAAATGTTTCATAAGTTTTTTCTACAGGATTATTTTGAAATCCACTAATAAAACTCCAGACAGTACTTGTGGGTGGTTGATCCGGAAATATTTTCAATTCTTTAATAGACTGACAAAGAGGATCTGAATCTTGTCTTTCACTTAACACTAATATCACTCCAGTAGGTCTATGGTGTCGAATCTCTCTATTATAATATTAATATTTGTAAAATGTGTTACATACATTTTTATAATAGATTTATTTACTTTTCTGTGTGAAGAAGTGTTTTTAAGGCTGTCACAAAATCATTAATTGGCGAGCTTTCAAATAAAAACGTAACTAGAGAACCATTGGTTTGGAGTATGGATATTTGATGTTTCTTGTGTTTTTTCATTTTATAACTCTTCATTGTTGCCAAATTAATTTTAATATCAATATTACAATCATCTAAGAATACAAATTAAAATATTAGATTCACGATGATAGACATATTTACATACTTAGGTAACTTCTTACACTTTATTCAGTATTGTAAAATTAAAACAAAACCCATATGTATAATTATAATAACAAACTATTAAAATAATTATAGTTTTCTTTAATAAATCAGAAATATCCTGTGTCCATAATATACACAATACAAAATAAAGATTTTTTTTTTATACACAAAGAATAATATCTTGACTCATTGATAATTACTATTAATTGTCAAGCAAGTAGTACTAAATAAATGCAAAATAATCTGAATTTACACTTACTCTTATTTTTCCCATTTTGTTTATAATCTGTATCAACTATATTCCATTCATCTGCATCAGGAAATATAGACATTTCAGTCGGCTTCCATTCAATAAACTTAGCAGTTTTCTATAAAATATGTTTTATAATAAATAAGATAATAGATGGAAATTTTATAAACACATTAAGAAAGGGAGAAATATTAGGGTAATTGGGAAGACAGATAGAAAAGGTACCTCAAAGATAAGAAGGTTGACAAGGGGTTATTGGGGGAGATATGAGGACATGTGGAGAAATGATGAAATATGTCTTATTTTTCTCCTTCTCTGCTTTCATTCCAACTATTTGGGGTCTTGGGGTAAGTCACCTCAAATAAATTATAAATCCTCGCATACACTCATTCGCTGTCTTCATATCATTTTTAATCACATTCGATCACCCTTTTGGTTGTCATCTTTCTTCTGCCGCATTGACCTAAAATAATCCTGACATCCTTGTCAAAGCCACTGTTCTTTTGTGCAACAGATTGTTGGCAGGTAAAACTTTCAACTTTGCCTATTACGTCTTTGCTTATTGTTGTTAGCTGTCTTATCCTGTTTCTTCGAACTCATTCTCTAAATATTTCATTTTACTTCTACTTATCTTTAATCCCTTTCCTTCAAGTGCTATTCTCCATTCTTCAAGCATATTGTTAATTTCTTCTAGATTTTCTCATATCAAAGTATATCATATACAAACATAATACACTATGGTACCTCACATTGTATTTCCTTCAAACTTCATAATGATGATGAAATAAGCGAAAGACAAATATAAGAATATCAAGTATCGATTATTCTGAACTAGAAAAAAGGAAAATTTTACCCCTTTATAATTTGCTTAGATTACAAAATCTTACATATTTCATAATTTTTAATAATCCTGTATAATGAGTCTCTGAGTCATTTTTATGTCTCTTTGATCCTTTAAGTAATTTACTTAAACTTTTTATAGCTACTCCTTGTTGAACAAAATATTCCTAAAAAATTTAAATAAATATCTTAGTAGTAGCCTTAATAGTACATAATAAAATAAAGAATTAAAATTGACAGTTTACTGTGCCAAATTCTTCATCAGAAGTAACAGATCCAGAGTTTTCAGAAGTTGAGTTCATATCTGTGATAGTAGTTTTCTCATATAAAATTACAGTACCTGTTCCAGCTAAAAATAAAAATAAAGACAACTTTTTAATGAATAGTAACTGTAGGCTATAGTATATAGCATAGCATAATATACATACAAGTATTTAGTATAAAAATATAAATATTTGACATATTCATTTAGTTTTATAATTAAATTTGATACATAACCAAGCGATACAAATGAAATATAAGTATGTTAATAATAATATATATTATCTAAACAGGAAATACTTAACAGTCCAAATCCTGATACCATATTAGTCTAGAATGCAACTTATGCAACTTATGCAACTTATTTTTGTCATTATAAAACATCAATCACTCTACCTGTATTATCATTTGTATTTGTATTTGTTTCAACAACGGTTGTACTGATTGCCATTTCTTCCATTTTCCTCATTAAGAACAATATTCCTTTTAATAAATTTGACCTGTCTTTTCGATCTTGTGGTTCAACAGCCGGTAATTTATCAACACGATTCATTAAATGGCATAACTTAGCATCTACTGCTCTATAATGTTCACTGTACCTGTCCCCTTTAATATTTTTGACCATTGTGTTGATAACTTGTAATTTTTTAACACACGTTTTCACTTCACTTTTAACATCTATAGAAACGCTGCTGTCAGTTGCTAGCAAAGATTTACCTTCAACTTCAATTTTTATTAAACCCCGCAAGACATTTCTCATTTCATTTACATTGTTCATCGGTGCTATCCCTCTAGTCTTTAACTCGTACGATAATTCCTCTTCGTCCAGCTTCGCAAAATCCATCTTTTTAATTTTTTAAAATAGATAAAACAAACAACCAAAATGAAAGAAACACTGCCCCCAGAACTTATTGCAAAATCACATGAAACTGGCCGTGATGTCCTTGTGTAATTAAGGTCACAATAAACCTGTTATTTATTATTCCTCTCTACTGGTGTCAACATCATACATTTCTATTTACTCAATGTTTATATAACCCTACCTATGTACTTATTAATTGTCAATAACACAAAAGCATATACACACACACTATACATTATCATATATATATATAATAGGAACACATAGCCACATAGGTAATAATATTATTGAAGAAGTTCAATACCTGTTTCAGACGATTCTGAGACAACTCACAGTCCTCAATGAAGACGCAAAACAAAGATTTTTAATACTAGTTCTGGGATCATTCTTTGTAGTTCAGAGATCAGAATGTCAGATGTGAATGACCGAATGGTGGAAATTCTTAAGATTTTACTTCCTATGGTGAAAACATAATAGTAACACGCAAAATCACCACTATAACAATGATAACATTAGCCGTTATCACATGAATATAGAACCTACTATAAGTCCAAAAAATTATAACAAAGTCAAAGGAACAAAATTGATAAGAGTATAAGACGCATATCGTTAACTATTAATACATCATAGAATATATTATGACTTACACTCTTTGTTATATTCTTTACAAGTTAAATCTGTGTTATTATTTATTGACATAGCAATAATAGTATGATTATGGCAGACAGGGGAACCACGGCGAAAAATACATGAGAAGTCCCTTGCCTTTTTTCAGACAATCAGTTATTGAGTAATTGAGACATGAGTCATCTCTATGATTATTTGTCACCTATCATTTGTCAGTCACGACGCAGAAAAGATTCTACGCCGTCACCGTTATTACAATATTTTTTTACTTGAAAAAATATCATACGTGTAATAGATTATGTAAAAGCACCCTAACGGAGATACCTAGGTAACGTCATTGATTAAAAATATTAAATAATAATGGTTACAGGAATAAACCCTTGTGATGATCAGAAAAATGTTAACTTCTCAGAGTTAACTACACAGAGTGATTCATTTGAAAGGCTACACTCGATATTTCAAAATTTATTTATTTTAGACATTTTTAGAATCAAGCAGCTCTAAAATTTTACATTAACATTATTTTTTGACATTTTTATTTTTGGGGTGAAATTACCAAACACCGACTTAGGAGTCTACCCAGAACACAAAGAAAATACCCAAGTTAGCGTTATCTTACGATACCTATGTTTTAATGAATTTTGAAACAAAAACCATTGAAATAAAATAATCTTTTTTGGGTTTTTTTTTTGGAACATCACGAAGCAGCTGATTATGCAAATCTGTTACGCGAACCTCTAAATATATTTAATATAGATATTACAAGGTTATGATGCAGCATATGTTATGAATGGAAAATATTCTGACGTGCAACAATTAATAAAATCAGATGTTCCCAATGCAGTTTATGTTCATTTTGTTCATTGTTGCGCACACAATATTAATTTGGTGATTTCTCATGCTGCAAAAGGCACAAGACAGGTGCAACATTTTTTTTGAAGATGTTCAAGATATTTATAATTGTTTTAATATTAGTGCTCCTAGATTGGCTCTTTTAGTTTTAAGCGAAAACCAAGCATACACATTTTTGTTTGTTTAACCTTGAGAACCAAATTCATTTAATGTCTACAGTGTAGACTACGTGTTTACTTTTACATACAGAGAATCTGTTAATACTGCAGGAGATAGAGAAAACCTTGTGGCAGTTTTTATTACGCTGTACTACGAAATTAATCTTTCAATATAATATGTCGAATACGGATATGTGGTTCACCAGATAGAATGCTATCCGATAAAAGTATATACAAATGTATTAGTAAGAGCTTTCTGTCTTTCTTCGCGATCATCGTCACGAAAACACCGTATTTCCCTGAAGTTGCTACACGTTGCTTATCACATCACCGGGATACATTAAAAATTGATGACCCTTATATTATTTTTTTAGCCTATCAATAGACGAAACACATAGACGTTAACATAACTCTAAAATAACCAACACACTTTTTAATCTCGTGCTGCGCTAGCGTGATTTTGTACTGCACTAATAGTATCGCACAGTAGCGAATCCAGGATTTAATTTGGGGGGGGGGGCGTAAATCAAAAGTCAGTGATAACTTTGGGGAGATATTTCTTTATTCACAATAATTTAAACTTTGGTTATAGTTTTTATGTTATTGTTGAAAACCTTTGAGTTTATATATCATTTGGATCGAAAATAATCTTCCTACTCCAAACTATTATTTTAAAAATAGTGATCTGACCGACCACTTAAAATTTTTCAATAATTAATAAACACTAACAAAAAGATAATAATTTAAAGTGTATTGTATTTTTTATTTATTAAAGATGGTATTTAAATTATAATAATATTGTAAGAATAAATATTGTAGCAATAAAGATGATGTAAACACCTAGGATTAGATTTTAAAAACATATCTAATGCGTATTTTTATTTTAAAAAAAAGTATATTTCACTTTGACGCTTTTGTGATATTATAAAACAAAACAAAACAGAAACTGTAGCAAACGAGAGCTAAAGTACGATTTACGACGACGACCGTGCAAGTATTAGAATTTTAAAATTGAACACGATAATACCAATATAAGATATAGATTAAATCTATTTTACAAATATGTGATATAAATTAAGATAAGATAGCGATGGTCGGTGGGAAATTTACACGGCAAGAATAGTAGACCTTTTTAGATAAGTTATAAAATCTGGTTTTGAGCAATTACCCACGGTTAGGTTAGGTTGACTTACGCACTGGCGGATTTGAAACCCAAGTCGTTGCCACTGAAGCGACACTAACTAAAATCACTGTACCGCCAGCTTTGACCGCATGTCCTTTGACCCTTAATGAAGTTGCAATGGTTCCGACAAAGGTTTCTCTGTGCTGTGAGCATTATTATCCGAGAAGCTCCAAAATCAAATCCAAAACCAAAAGATCATCTTCAAGAATCTCAAAGAATATAAATTTCATTACTAACCTCTTCAACAAACTTGATTCTTCTGTTCTTGCATCAGATATCAAAAGCCTTCAGAATCGGCAAATCGGATAATAACAAACTACGACTTTTGAGAATTTTATTATCCAGTCAAGTTTTTTCTCAGTCAAGTATTTCTTCAAAAGGATCTTGAGATTTTTACATTCCCTCTAATTTTTGAACACCACAACAATGTTACGGTTTCCAGAACTATCAAAATATTGGGCTTTAATCTACGCAGCATCAATACGTTTTCATTGGCTTCATTCCCCTGTTCTCTTTCCTTTGCATTGATACGCTCCGTCCGAAAATACGATGTCGTATTCTGGCGTCCTTATTTAGCTAAAGACCAAATTAGAATAAAGCGCGCCCAAAATAAATCCTTTTCTACCTATATCGTATTCTAAAGATCGCTCACCCTCAAAATGATTACTTCCACATCCGAGACTCCCTTAACATTCCTACTCTTTCTTCGCATCGTACCGTATTCGATCATTTTTATTCTTTTCTCGTCGACGACTACATGAACAATCCTGATTTTCTATACAGCATCTCTTTCTGTGTGCTCATTCACTATACCAGATACCTTGCTCTATATCACATTCCGCCCCACTTCATCATATAATGCACTTTGCCAATACTATTAAACTTTAATTTTAATTTGCGCTTTTCGTTCCGGGCCACAATTTTTTCGTTAAACTTACATGTAATGTTCACTGTATTATTTTTTATCATTCATATGTCTTCTTAAATTGCATTTCGAGCCTTGAATTATAAAATAAATAAATAAATATAGTGATCTAAGACTTCAGCGCTGCAGAACCTTTTCATTGTATAAAAACGTGTAGACAAATTTCGTCAGGTTTTAACACTATAAAAATAAAATTTATTTTTAACTAATACTCCATCTATTTAAAAACTTTTTAATATAGGTTGCCATTTGAAAATCAAAAGTAGGTAGTGATTTAAACTACAAAATTAAGGATGAGAAAAAATAACATAAATATAAAATTGTAGAGCTGCTTGTTTCTTAAATGGTCTAGAAAGAAAATTCTGAAAAAAATAATTTTCGAGATAATTAGTGTATCTACTTGAATGAATCACATGGTATATTATATTAAGCTATTTTGCCTTTTTATACTGCGATTTTTGGGTTTTTTTGTAAATTTTGTTATTAATTTAATTTAATTTTGGTAATAATTGTATAAATGATATAACTTTTAATTGTTAACATATATAATTAAATTCAATGTTATTACAAAATATACTTTATATTACACATTTTGTCGTTCAACTACATTCTGTAATCATAGTCGTGCGCAGAATTCTGAGTAAGGAATGGCTAAATTGTACCTAACCACCCACCCTCCGGTGACCATACCTCGAAAAAATTATAAAAATTTCCTATACAGTGTACAAACTTCAAGAGTAACTTCTTGTTGGTGACTGGCAAAAACATCCATTTTTCATTACGATCATGCACATCTAAGATTCGTCGTCATCAAAAAGGATTTAAGGAAATATTACCGATTAAAACAATTAAAAAACGTTTGAAACGTATATAATACGTTTCGAACATATTATGTACTAAACGTACAGGAAATTATATGATTTAATAAAACTTTAATATTAATTAACGTTTCATTGTTATCAGTTTTGATTTTTTGTTGTAATGCAATTACAAATATTTGAAAATATTGAAAATATTCGTAGAGACTTGAAAATATTTGTGAGCTATTTATAGGCATTTAACACTTTTTAGTTTTTTTTTTTTTTTGTTTTTCTTTGGTAGGTTCTATTTGAATACAATTGTTTGACCAAACAGAAATGCTTGAAAATTTAACACGAATTTATTATAAGTTTAACTTAGTAGTAAAAAAAATAAGTTTTGCATTATGTAGTATGGTCAAATTATGATTAAAATCGTAAATATTACGGCATTTAAAAACATGTATAACTGAACTTCGCTCAAAATCGCAGGAGTGATTCTCATTTTCGTCATCATCGCTTAAATTTTGTATGGGCAACACTAGTAGTTCCAAGGCGGGGGCGATCGATTGATCGAATCCCTTCTTGGTCCGTGTTTATGTGTTAATTCTCATGTTCAATAGCGAGAAGAAAATTGTATACCTTCTTACTACCTACGAAAACGTGCAATTGTTTAATATTCATTTTTACTCACGACAAAGAATTAAAATGTTACATTTAATTAGTGTTATATGTTATAACGTATAATATATAGGTACGTTTACGTAACAGTACTAATACATATAAATGCATTTACGTACCTATGTAATGATATCCAAAATAAGGTTAAATGGTTAAATATTACCTAAATTAGTGTATTACTATAAAAATATTGAATTATAGATTACAGTCCTTGGACCTTGACATTAGATACATTATCAATATAATATATCTATATCTATGTATAGTAAGTATACAAATTGTAAGTGTAAGATAATAATATTATATAGATTGGTATCGTCCACCATAACCAATTAAATTAAATATTATATCAAAAACTGCCCTTCTTGCAACATGTTACAACACTCAATAATAGTAAATTATAATAATATAGGTACAACAGGTAAAATTAATTTTCTGGATCGGAGAGGCCACGTACCATAGGCTATTTTGAAGAAAAATAAAGGTATAATTTATTTTAAACCTTTAGTTTGTAAACGGACCCTCGGGTTCTAAACATATTATAGATAGATTATAACAATATATAAATTAATTAATAATTAGAAATTTATATAGTGGTAAATAGTGAAAATGATGTCATAAAATTGTCATACATCTACGTCTTATTCATATTCATCTTCTTTAATTTGGGTTTTTTAGTCTCCGACATTATTACATTATTTTTCATTCTTATATAGCTTTTCTCCATTCTCCTCTGTCTTCTGTTTTAGGTAATTTACCAACAGATAAAATATACAATAAATGTTAAATAGGTATACATTTCGGATGAATATGTTAACTTGTTAGTACAAGGTGGAGAGATATAATGACATATTGATATAGGCGTATGATACGGAAGGTTAAAAGGCTACATTACACTTACTCCGTACATTTTTACATAAAAAAAAAAAGGTAACGAGAAAACCTTTTACTGCATGCTTATTTCCATGGAAGCTTGAAATATTTAGAGGGCCAGAGGATATTTTATGGAGCTATACCTCTCTGGACCCCCCCGTATCCTAAGCCTATCCTAAGCCGATGTATTTAAAAATAATTTTGTGAATGAATTTGTTTACATGGAAATTTTAGCTTAAATGCATCATTAATATTAATCGTCAATATAATATTATAATTTATAGTATATACGGTATATTAGTATATTATACTTTATGGTATTGGAAAATATTAAAACATCATGTTGAGAAGTAAATATTTGATATTATCAAATTAATAAAATCTATCTATATATTAAAATGTGGCTGTCATATTATTAAAGATAAAGTTTATAAGATTGCAAAGTCCATTAATATATTTTAGTCAGTTAGTGTGAAACAGAGAAGATTTATTGTAACAAGTTGGTACTTTAAGAACTAAATTAATATAATAACTGATAAAAAGAAAATAATTATAATAATTGACAGATACAATACAATATCGAAACAAGATTATTAATAATTTGCAGAATTTTTAAAAACATTACTCAGTTAAATAAAAGTACTGTTTGTTTTCAAACCGTAGCCTTTGGGTAACCCGTAGAAGTGGAACAATTTTGACAAAATCAGAATTAAAATTGCAAACATTTAGTACCTATTTAAGTGTGTTTAAATGTGCCGATTTTACGCGTTTATCCCATTTCACGACCGAGGATATAATTAAATTTTCAAATTCTAAACAATATATCATACAGAGTGGCGGATAGGCCCTATCCTGTATTATTGTACGAGGGCTTCTAAGCCCATTTATCATGTAAGTATTAAACCTAATTAAAGATACACATGTGTGATAGATATTTAAATTATAAATATAATTTTATATTTTATAAGACATTAAAAAAGTCATGTTGTTTGTAGGCTCAGTAGTGTTATCATAACTACGTGATACGTCGTAATTTATCATTTGGCGGGGGGTATTTCAAATCAAATCATACATACTACCACAGATATAGGTAATAAACTAAATTATTACCTATTTACATAAAAACATATTATAATGAAAAATAAATTATACACGTAAATCATTATTCAAAGTGATAGTATAAAAAAATAAGAATATTTATAATAATAAATTAATAAAAATAAAATATGATTGTAACATGTAAAAAAAACAAATCCGTAATAAATATGATCTAAAACTTACTTTAATAAATGGAAAATTAAAAATAAAAACGCATATAGAACAAGATGATGAAGAAGAATCGACCATTAAATTACTCGTAGACAATGTTCAGTTTATCAAAACTATTATTGATAATGTATTATATATAAATATTTCTGGATATATAGTTAAAAAACTTATCCCGATTTTGCAGTGAAAAAATAATATTAAAACATTAATTGACGTATCAAATAACACAAATGATTATGCATATTGTCGAAAAAATAAAAAAATTTAATAACTTGAAAAATTAAAAACAATCGAGGTGGTCTTCAACTAGCATTTGAAAGAGTTTTCAAAATGGTCAAACCAGTGCCAATCCGATTTTGGGGCCCGATGCAGAATTTACGGGGCCTCATATATTATATATATATTTTTTTTTCTAACGGATTTACTTTTTTCATATAATTTTATAAACTTTAAGGTCTTTTTAGAATTATAAATTTGTACCTATACATATAATCTAATTTGTATATTTATATTAGACCACAAAATGAGTAGGTACCTACTACCTACTCAGGTACAAGCAATATTTTATTAATTAATATTTTTATTTTATTGAACACGATGATATAAATATGATATAATAAGTATACTTTTACTTTAAATAAAATAATAAACATAGATTATGGTAATACAACTGATAATATATAATATTACTTAAACATTTTTTTCGTGCTTTTTTTAATAAAAATAGGTCAATTGTCTCATTGTAGCTCAAAAAAAACTGCAATATTATGTTCGATGCTGATAAAATATGTTTGAGTGTTTTCAAGCCAATAACAATGCTATTT